GCCTCTACAGCAAATGAATTTCTTTATTAACTGAAGTTTGGTGGCGGTTTGCAGCCTTAATACTGGTATGACACATGCATCACCCACCTTAAAGTCAATGACATGATATCTACATTTGTACTCATCTGCCATGTCTGTCTCGCCCATTGTTTCAATCTAAAGCCTGAATGACCCCCTTTTACTGCCACACTCAATACCCATGTCCTTACAAATGCTTTCTGGGATGACATGACACTGAGCTCCAGCGTCAATCTTCAATGGTATCTTCTTTTCTTTAATTTTCAAATTTATGTAGCTCTCATTCACCGGGCATTATTTCTCTCCGTCATTGCTACCTTCCTTGTCAGCTAGATGAACCTCTTTGCTCTCAGCCTGGCTACACTTGTGAAATGGTTAGGCCTGTGACAAGCTTTACACGTCTTTCCGTATGTAAGACAACGGCCTAGTTTGTGATGACATCCTTAGAATTAAAACATGTAATCATACCTGCTTTATACTATCTTTCGAATTCCCATGCTCATCTCTCTGAATATTTCTTCTATTCAATGCATCATCCCTCGAAAGGTGCAATGATTTTTCAAATTATTTGAATAGGAATGCTTTCTATCTTTTTGTTTTAACAGGATACTACATGTATAAAGAAACATCCGTGCAAAGTGAAGATCACAAGTTGAAGAGTCCCGAACTAAGATTTGAAGACCAGCCCATGTGCCTTAAATTCTTTTACCTTATTTATTGCTCTTCATTTGGAAGCCTTAAGGTCACTATCAGTAACTTAACAACGTTCGTTAGAAGTCGTGATAAGTTAGACACCACATGGTATGCAAAGAGACTGGACATAACCAATCTGTCGGGAATGTATGAGGTAAGATATGATTCGATCAATTTGTCCTAGTATCTAAATCTATCAGGATAAACTACAAGGCCCGGTTCCTGAAAGGTCGATTAGCGTTAATCCAGGATTAAAATTTGGTTCCGTTTTTGTATTTTACATTCCTATGCTTTGCTTAGGGTAACATTTTGTGTTATCATTACTGTATCTCGTAGTAAAGGCTCAACAATGTTTTGTAACCTGAGTTGCATGACTAGAAAACTGTGCTTGAAATTTGGGTTAATCCTGGGTTAAACTTAACCATCTTTCGAGGAACCGAGCCTAGGTAGTCGAAACGTACCCTACTATAGCGTCATAAATTCTCGGGAGCAGAAGCGGGTAATCGGCTCCCGTCCTCAGAAGTAACTGAAGTACACAGAGTGAGTTTTATCAGAAAAGCAATATCGTACCCGGTGGCAGGTCATGTAGAGTCGACGTGTTTGCGCCGATTGTCATGGGTGGAACAGGGGAGGTGAGGAAATTCCGCGACCTTTTCTTTTTATAAGAAGTTTGCAACCAGCAGTATGACGAATGGTGTTTTGCAACAAGGGTGTCAGTGTTGGCAAAATATCTTTTGATCTTTCTTATCCTCTCAAGATCTAAGACCTGTTTTGCCTGACGATCTTACAAACTTTGAGGAAATGAGGAAGTTTAAAAGATAGATCTTGGGAACCTATTTTGCACTAATATTCACTAGGTGCAAACGGTAAGAGAGAAAGAAAGAAGAAGAACACACGACCAGAGCTGATCTTTCTTGATGTAAACAGTAGAAAACAAAAAAAAGAAGAAGAACACACGACCAGGAAATGACAATACAATCACGCATGGTGAAATACGTTAACATTAAGTTTTAACTGCGACAGACAGTAAGCCCTAAATACAACAAGACGTAGGTTGCTTGACATAGATCTCATGTTTCCCGAGGTTGCGCTTTTTGGGTAGTCATGCACAGCTTCTCTGGATCCGCCCTTTACCGTAACATAATATGTTTTACAGGTAGAAATAGAGGGCTTACTAGCACCAGGAAACAGTGAAACATGTGGTATTGCAATTGACGACTTCTCGTTAAAGAAGGGACCTTGTATTCAAGGTTAGTGTACTGACAATTTCAAAGTTTCCTTTGAGTTGACTGTAACAAGAATTTTGATGTGTGCATACACCTCATTATGCCAATGACAGATCGTTTACCGTGTACCTTGAGATCCAAAATTTGCTGCTATTTTTGTGTTTTGTTGTTGTTTTTTCAAATAAAGGCCTACATATGGCCTTTAACTTGGAGACGAATTTGCTGAAAAAGAATGAAAATGTTAACCGATCGTTAAGTGGCCTTTTTTTGTTTTAAGGTTATGTTACACGGGACGATTCGCAACAACGATTTTTAGCGCAACACAGCGTTGCAACATTGGTGCGACATTGTTTTGAATGGTTACAACATTGTTCTAACATTGCAATGCTGTGTTGCGGCAAAAATCGTCGTTGCGAATCGTCCTGTTTAACATCACCTTTAAATGGTACATCAGTGTAAGAATATAATCTGAGTACGGTGTTTTCTCGCACCCTCGAAGGGGACACTTTAAAGAACTCGAAGAGAATCTGTTTGCTTGACCTCAAGGGAGTATCTTTGTTTTAAGAAATGCAACAAACAGTCTTCCAAGAATTTTTGTTTCTCATAATAATTCTATCTCTCATTTATGTTGAAAGCCATCTCTGTACGATCACCACCATTTTTAACCCTTATTTTAACATGTTCTGTAACATTTCATCGCAATCGATTGGTGCAAAAAACGCCACATGTCTTGTCACTGCTTTGAGTGCAGAAACGCACAAGAAAACAAATAAATTAAGAGAAAAGGTGTAAGATGATTCGAACAATTACATTTTAAAAAAAATGGGGAACTGATTTGCTGAAATTTAATTCAAACAGCTGTCTTACACATGTATCTTTTATTTTATGAATGGATTAAGGTATCTGGCTTAAATTTAGTTTACTCTGAGCGCACCACATTGTTTAGATGCGAAACACTCATGGAGATATCTGGTAACCTTGATAGCCGGATAGCCTATAAATGATATCTCACTAATATTCATTCTAGCTATGAAAAAGACTTCATATCACGAGATCGGAATATATCTTGATCGGTGACTGAACAAATCCTGCAAGGCCACCATATTTGGACTCGTTAGGAAACAATGTTTCACTTTGTTGGCTTACTTAACAGTAAGACTTTTTTTCCATGTTTTAACGCTCATTTTTAGCAATTCACAAAGCAACCGTTGACGGTTTCGTGGTCTAAAAGCGTAACATTACATACTCTGCGATCTGAAGCAAGACTACAAAATGAACAAAAAAAAATGGCAATTTACTGTCATGAGCTAGTAGAGCACCTACATTTTCGTTTTGAGATATTTTCTCACTGCATAAAGTACTTCTCAAATGTCCATTGAGGGGTTTCAAAGTGTCCGTTGTCCGTCTTAGAGAGGTGTCCGTAGTTACAGTAAAATGACTGACAGGATCTTCGTGTGAACGGGCCTTAAACCGCTCTAGAGAGCCGGATTTCAAAAAAATGCGGTTCGGTGACCGGATTAACTGGTTTTGTGCAGGTGTGAACGGAGGGACGATTCATGTAATAAGGTATGTTACATTTGAGGATCGCTGAAAAAAATCCTAAAAATTAGAACCCGCAAAAATTTCTTGCCACACGGTATACGTATCACGTTATTCTTTCTCGCGCGCTCTACATGTTACGGTGGCTCAGCACAGGTTAGATGCTGGTGTAGAGCTCAACTTTGCCATGGACAAAATACAACTTTATCAAGTAAAAATCACGATTTTCATCGTTGTCGCGGCAACACGGATAATTTTAAACAAGTAAATGTTTTAATTTAGTACAGTGGAACCCCGATATAACGATATGCCAAGGGAGCAGTGGAATTAGATCGTTATATCGAGGTATCGTTATATCGAGACTCCCGATATAACGATATTGCCGTAAAATAACCGAAAATATCGTTATATCGGGGTAAAATTAACATGTACTTTTTTAACTACATATAGTTTGATTAAACTTGTAATGAGTATCAAATGACTCACAAATGTAGCGTTTCAAGCACGCAGCAATGTCCTTAAACAATTTGCAAAGCATTAGACGTTATCAAGGTTACACAACAAAGTCTGTGGTATGAATCGTAAAAGGGAAACAAAACAAAACTTAAACATTTGAAGTTGCGACTGTAATCGTCTTTTCTTTTCGCTGTTTGCGTGTTCATTGTTTTTCTTTTTTAACAGACACTTGTTCATTAATCAAAGTACTCTTCAAGTTTGGTTTGCCTCGTTTGTTTTATTTGCAATCTTGAAAACGCATCCTTCATCGCTGAAAGAGAATACTAAAACTGACCGAACTATTCAATGACAAGGAGGATAAAGAGGCATCGTAAACTGAAAGCTGTTTACAGAAACGTTACAGATTACTGTACTCGATTACTGCAATGTTATTGTATTAAACTAATTCAATGTTTTGTTTAAATTGTATCTGTGTACTGATACTGTAATATCGTTATATCGGGGAAGATTTTACGCTCGGTGCGCTAAAAACTCATCGTTATATCGGGAATATCGTTATATCGAAGATCGTTATATCGGGGTTCTGTCCCATACAATTTACTGTAACTTTTGCCGGGACATAGCATATTTATCGTTATACCGGGGATATCGTTGTATCGAGGATCGTTGTATCGGGGTTCCACTGTAGGATTACTCAAAATTTATTTCTTTATCCTCATTTTTTACAAATAAAGTAGACCAAATTGTGACAAAATCAATTCAAATGGAAAGGAAATGGCTGTCATGTAATTGTTGATTGTTCGCTCAAATTTCGTCAATTCAAACGAGAAGGGTCAGATATTTTCGTTTGTACACGTGGCCTACATCTGCAAGTGACCTGCAAGTCGCCAGTTTCATAAGCCGAACCAGACTACTAAGAGTGCATGCATGAGTGTGCAATGCCAAGCTGCATGCCTTAAAGCGCGGCGCCGCGACGCAACCATAAAAAATACCAGTGGGAGGGTCTTAACTTTCTATCATACCACGACGGCCTAACCGCCACAATTTGTTGGAAAATAACTAACAGGTCGCATTGTGGGTGGAAAAGAAGCAAAACCACACAGTTGGCCATGGCAAGTGAATCTGGCAGGCTGCGGTGGTTCACTGATTCATCCTTATTGGGTTTTAACAGCAGCACATTGCCCTGACCGGGGAAGTGTCAGGTTTGTTGAACTTTATCTTTTTTTTTTCAGTATGTAAACCCACAACCCCGAATAAAAACCATTCACGTGACTCCGGTCAAATAAGACATGGTCTACAGACCAAAGACAAAGAAATAGAAATAATACACGATCTAAGACTCTAGTAGGACCAAGTCTACTGACTTGATTTGAAAAAAGGAATAGGTATAAAATAAGGAATTCGGACTGTGTTTGAAAAAAATGGAGTAGATGGATTAGGGAGGTAAGATAAACCGATTGCAGACTAGTATAAAAAGGTGCTTTAAGGTATTTATTTACAGCATTTTCATTGTAAGTGTCTCTTGGATGGAACCCAATAGAACTGGCTTAATGTAATAGAATAGGCCAGTTTCACCAAAGTTTCAGACCAAAATTCATACTTGGCTCCAAGGCTGAGGCTAATATAACAATAGAAATACTGAGTCAAAATGCGTTGTAGTAACGTAGTAAGTGTAAGGTGTAAGGTGTTTCCTCATTGGTCGCAGAAAACAATAACACATCATTGTTTATCATCATTTCCCATTATTAGGGTTAGGGTTTGGAACCAATTGGCTCTTAGGGGTTGGGAGAGCTCCTTGTAATGTAACATGACCCAACTAAAGAGAAGACGTAAGGGATTTCTTTCTCCAGGGACAAAGCAAACTGTCCGTAATAATGAAGTGTCCGTATTAAGAGGGTGTCAGTAAAGCGGGGATTGTCTGTAAAGTCGGGGTCTGAATCTCACTGCGATTTTGTGTTTTTTATACTCCTCAGCCTAAGGGCCAAGTCAAAATTCGAAACTGGCCTATTAAAAGCTTAGATTGCAAGCCGTGGATTACATACTGTATAAGAGGAGAACTACTGACTGCTTCTTTTTCCCGCTTTATAATCTTTTATGAAAATTATAAACCAGGGAAAATAAACAGTCAGTAGGTTTTTTTATACCGAGTTCTGATTTGGTACCCCTACTTTAGTAAAATAAAAGTCATTCGCATCGATAAAACATGCTTTTAATTAAACCAGATTTAACAGATTGAAAATCAGACAGAAGACTCTATGACTTGCGTTTACAAAGAGATCAGTTAGGAAAGTATCCCATGAGGTTTACGTATCAGCATGTTTAAAAGCACATGTAGTGTAATTGTTCGTCTGTGCGTGAGTGGTAGGCGCTGAAAGGGAATGGGGAACTGTGGGGGAGTCGGGTGCGCTAAAATTTTTCCTTTTCCCTCTCCCCTTCGAACGCCTGCCACGCACGCTTATTGTATCTGCACATAGAGGACTGTTTAACGCCTTACCTTTATATGTCGTCCTTACGTCCTGGCTCGATTGTCGATTAAGAATCAGCCAGAGCACTCTGACTGGGAACGTGGACCACATTGCTATCCCAGAATCCTTGGCAAGCGCGTGAGAAACGTGCACCACATTTCCCAAATTTTTAAAAAGAGGTTCTTTTTAAAAACTATTTTGAAGCAAATACGCGATGGGAGCGGCATTAATGGTCCACAATCAGTTTTCACCTTTCCTTTCGGATTGTATTTTCCAACATAACATTGTTAATACAAAGCCAACAAAAGTCCCAAAGCGCTTGATAGCCGCTTAATAGAGGTGACATAAATGGAGGAGCTCTCGCGGGGTGGCAAAAAAGTGGCCGCGGTGGCTTTATGGGGGTGGCCGCTTTATAGAGGTTAAATGTGTAAATCTTTTCTACATTCATTTCGGGAGCTTGATTGCTCGCCGCTTAATGGATTTACACTGCTTGTGTTTTAATCACAGTTGTGTGAGTGACCCTCCAATAACCCTCTGGCACAACAGCCTTGCTTGATTAGAATTAATTACAGCTACGTATAAAAACATTAACTTTCGAAATTTTTCCCTCTTAGTGATTATTTGCCCCGTGAATCAGAACAACTTCGCAGTGGTCTCTGACGAGTATTTCTACATATCAACAGTACCCTCCCAAACGAGAAAAACCCTTTTTACTCAAAAGACATAGTTCGGCTTTGTTTTATTACCATATCAGAGAAAAAAAAAACGAAATTAAAAGGAAAAAGAAACTGGTCTAATTAACTGCGGTTAGCGCGCAACAACGGAACCTAAAAGATAAGAAAGTGGCGGGAACTGAAATTTAAGCAAGGGCGCTTACCCTGAAAAGTCACGACTGACCGGCCGGAACGGTCATTTTGGAAATGAAGGTTGTTTACAATTTACAAAACGTTTCAGGAAAATCTAATGGAACAAGACTTTTTGAGTCATTCCAGCGAAAGGTTTCCGGGAGCAACGGACGGAGTGTGCTCTATCCTGCGGTGCAGGCGTATTTTAGGCGCGCGAAAGCTGCTTGTTTATGTTCGTATTGTTGTAGCCGCCATCTTTGATTTTATGACGGAGGAAGATTGGGGAGGTGCTTTCGCGGTGGGCGAAACATTCACGCGCCCCCAAAAAACGCCTGCACTGCAGGTTACATGTACTACCTAGCTGTAACACGATCTGTAAACAACCTAAACATTACTTGTTGTCGCTTGGCAACTGGACAGCGTCGCTTTGCCTATAAAGGGCTTAAAATCTGGAACCGATTAAGGAACCATTAGAATATATTTCTTAAGAGTATTGAGACTAAAATTTGCGAAATTTTAAGAATATTTTATGTATAAATCCGAGGCTGAGAGTTTGAAAAGGAATCATTTTTGTATGTTGTATCATATCTTTTTATTTTAACCGTATTAAATTATGAAAAGACAGATCTAGACACAGAACACTGGCAATTGAAACCCCAATACATTCTTAAGTGGAAATTCCATAAACTGTAATTTATAATTAAGAATAATTCAAGAATATTTTCAGCCTAAAATTGACAGAGAAAAAACAACCTCGTCCCCAGGGCTTTTCCCTTAAAAAATGGAAAAGCCCTGGGGACGAGGTTGAGAGAAAAAAGAATATTCAGCCAGGGCAGGGAAAAACAACATTTTTATATCAAAACTAGTGTAGTTTAGATACATTTAAACGACGTATTTTTAGAAAATATTTAAGAAGTAAGTATATATATTCAATTTTAATTAATTATATTTAGTTTAGCTGACCATTATCATTCTTTTTTTTTTACGTGCAAAATTGGTGCTGAAAAGCCCTTTTTAATTTGTGGAGCAACAATAAATGTCATTGTATGTGGGACTGTGTATGTATGTGTGTACGGACGGAATGTTGCAAACGGAAATTCGTGTTCCATTTCTTCAAAGCCATCTTTGATAGCAGTTTTTAGTCTTTGATGCAGTTTTTCAGTAAATAGAACTGGTTTGTACACAGGTAGCCCAAGCTCGAAATATGAGCATCGGCGACCATCGACATTGTTGCATAACATTCGAAATACTGTACAAAAATTTGTATGGAAAAAAAACCTATCGTTTCCGTAACCTACGAAAGTGAAAGGATTTCAATAAAAAACAGCTTACCTTACTTAAAATGTGTGTTACGTCTCTCTTGTGTGGTCCACGGGCCGATTTATGGCCGTTTTATGGGTTTTTATGTAAACGATTTTCTCTCTATGTAGGTAAGCTGTTTTTTATTGAAATCCTTTCATTTTCGTAGGTTACGGAAACGATAGGTTTTTTTTCCCATACAAATCCTTATATTCTGAATGTTACGCAACAATGCCGATGCTCGCCGATGCTCATATTTCGAGCTTGCGCTACCTGTGGTTTGTACAAATGGTAACCACGATTCTGAGGCAAAATTTACCAGTCCTGAATTTTGCTTACCATTTGCCCAAACTATCGACTGAGCGGTTTGCCATGTAAATGGTAAACAACCGAAATGTCCTCTTTTCAGAGTTCTCTCTGCCGGAAAACCTATCGCTGCCGTAAGTATTTAGGAATAGTCAGATATGGCTGGACTTTTCTGATTAACAGCGAAATTATATCTTTACTAATGGACAGACCTGGCCTTTCAGATGTGACTAATGGTTAGAGCTCTAAGTTTGTGGGGAACGAGTGGCCTTTTTAAAGATTTTTTATATTTTTAATCTTAAAACAAACTTGTTCTTAGCGCATAATTTTACAGAACTTAAAGTGTGATTACGGATTAATATTATGATTTTATTCAATGTAACTCAGAGTGGGAGGCCACAGTATCAGCGGAGGAAAACAGATCCTAGTCAAGCGAACAATTCGACATGTCAACTATAACGATAAAACTACGTCCCATGATATAGCCTTACTCGAACTTCAGTCCGCTGCTCCCGTTGAAGAAGACGGTGTTGGCCTTGTTTGCTTGAAAAGCGGGCCTCCGCAGCCAGGAAAAATCTGCTGGATTACTGGATGGGGAACGAGAAACGAGGGGGGTTCCTCAGCACCGAAGCTTAGGGAAGCACAAGTACCCCTAGTAAAAACGACCGATTGCAAGAGATCCTATGGTGAAAACGATATAGACAATACCATGCTGTGCGCAGGTTATGAAAAAGGTGGTGTAGATGCCTGCCAGGGTGACAGTGGGGGACCAATGGTCTTTAATGAAGCAAACACATGGTATTTGGCAGGAGCTACTAGTTGGGGGAGAGGATGTGCGCGCCCAAAGTTTTATGGCGTCTATGCAAACGTCCCCCATTTTTATGACTGGGTTCTTAGGGAGCTGAAAAAAAGTGGACATGGACACACTTTACCAAAGCCAGGTAAAGTAGTAGTATGAAAGTAAAACCAAGGTGAAATTTTAAGGTTTCCATCAATTTTTAATTTTGTAAGTTAGAAAACAATAACTCGATATCTTTTAGTAAGCACGCTGTGACTGGTTAATTTTGCGGGCCGTATTTTCCTGTATGGCCAGCTGAATTTGAAAGTTCACTGTCCCAGGAACCCGATTAGCCTCCGACATCTAATTATTAACAAATTGAACTAATTTCTCGGTTTTTTACTCCTTGATTAAAAAGGCGTACACCAAAGCTTACGTGTTAAGGAGGTCCGCAGGTTAATTCCTGTAACCCTAATGGTCCACTATAATTATAAGACATATATATTTCCCTATTTTAGAACATTGTTATCCGCTATATGCTTGGTGTTGGAGGAGGTCAAATTAAAAAGTTACAGGACACGACCACCCTCTATATTAGAGGCGCCAAGGATATTCTAACCTTTAAATTTTTAAACGTTTTTTGAATGAGCACGTTTTTTAATATTAGCAGTGATCACTTTTTTAATGTTATCTCAACACTATTCGTAGATAGATATAATTAGAAAAGAAATTATTAAGGAAACATTATTATTAATCTAGCCGGATTTTTGATAACGTTATCGTCAAATGGGCCTTTTTTACTTTTCCCCAAAGTAGCTATTATAAAAACTAAGAGTGCAACCATTGCTTTTTTCTCTTTTTCTCCTTTCCTTCTCCTCGATCTTTCTTTTTCGGACGATCCCGCACCTATTAGAAAGATTGTTTTGGATTAGCTGGGAAAACAATAGGGATTGTCACACAACAATGCCCTTATCCCTAAAAACAATGGAGGTGCAGATTAAAGAGGACCAGTGAAATAAGAGGTTTAGAACGGTGCAGGTCTACTGTCTTTTTCTCATTTCCTTTTCCTTCGTTACTGTGATTTTGGAGCTTCTCAGTCGGGCTTAAGAAACCTGCCTGTTGACGCCTTTTCAATCAAATGACTGCAAATTTCGTTTGGTTGGTTTTCAAAAAATCGGCTATATATAGATAGGTTTAGGGATAGATTATTTTCATATTTTACTCTTAATATTTATATTGTTGTTGTTTTGTTAATTAATTTTTTTTTTCACACACATGTTTTGACGAAATTTAACTTTGTTACTGATAGTCGGGATGCAAGGAAAACCTGTTACTATTGCCACTTTATTGATCAAATAATGGCCATTTGGTGGTGATGACAATAATGATGATGATGAGATAATCGATATTTTATATAAACATGCACACCGAATCCCAACCCTAACCCTAAAACAGCATTCCTTAAAAAAAAAAAAAGATAGACCCCAACCCCGCATTTTACTGACATCCCTACGGTATGTTTGATTACCAACTACTGTTTTCAAAATAACATTAACTTTACGTTTACGTGGATTAAATGTTGTAGTTTTTGTTTTTCTTTAAAAGATTTTAAAAAGATTCCTTTTAGTCAAAATTTGAAATAGGCGCCCGAGCGAAAATACGTTGAGTGTGAGGACAGTGAGGCAATAATCACTGAATTAGTTAAAGTAAGGGTTTCCTGACGAGATCATTCTTTTTCTTACGTGTTACAGGAAAAGGCCATAAAGATTGTGGCAGACGTGGTAAGACATAAGTTGTTTGCATTTTGATGCTTTCACAAGTCATCAATCCTTCATTGTCAGTGATTACTAAGCTTCCAATAAGAAATATGGTCGACTCCCGATAACTCGGACCCTCACTAACTCGAACCTCGTGCTTACTCGAACAAAAGTCGATTTCCCCTGGAATTCCTTCATACATTGACGGTAATTTTACCCTCGGTAACTCGAACCCTCCATAACTCGAACCTCCCCCTAACTCGAAGTAATTTTTGCTTCCCTTCAGATCATTTCTGTATAACTTTACCCTCGATAACTCCAACCATGTTTTAAGCGCGTGACAAGTCGGAAATAAAACACCGTGTACTGAAGTCCGAGACATTGAATTTAGTTCAAAACCACCGTGTCAATTCTTTTTGTTTACTGTTCCGTCACTCTAGTTTAAATTCAATGTCCATCCCTGTATACTTTGTTGCTTAATTGCCATTCCCTCCCCGTCCTTATTACCGATTAATTTGCTTCAAACTCTTGATAACTCGAACTTTTTTCGATTTCCCTAAAAGGTTCGAGTTATCGGGAGTCGACTGCATACTCAAAATAGCAACCAATGCTAGTAAATGCACTTAAGATAGCTTAAGATAAACTTAACGTTTCGTATGACCAGATTATTGGTGTTGCCACGACTTCACTTTACGGGGCCGTCCGGCCTAAATTGTGTAACGAGAGGAGGGTTGTGGACAGTAAATTCATCTCTCAGTTCCAGTCAGACTTTAAAAGTCTAAATACAATCATTTAATATTTGCTAATAAATTTGAACAGGATTTGGCTCAAGATTCTCTATTTAGTGATCCTCATCCAGCAACTCAAAGACAGCTCTTTTTCTTTATCCATTTATCGTAAGAAAACTTTCACGGGTCTTTCAACAAATGACAAATTGTGAATGAACTCTTTCACTCCTCATTTGTATAAAATATACTACATCCCCACGTCTTCCTAGTAAGTAACTGAACCTAACACAATAGCTGTACTTGTAAACGTTTTATTGAATTAACCAAAGACTGGACCAATTGCAAAAATCTTGATGCAAGAAATCGCCGATCAGCAAAATTAAACTCCCGCAAAAATAAAGTGCAATTTGGTATCCACTATTGGACTTTTGACCAGCCAATGTCAGGGTTTTTTCAGGGTATTTTTTTTTTACAAGGCAAAAACCCTTAGAACAAAGCAGGTTGGATTTTCCTATCCAGTATGCCTTACACGTACATCAGCAAAAGCGTTTATCATCGTGTTCTAATGGCCTTTTTATTCTATTTCAGAAGGCGGCGACGGCGACGGCGACGGCGGCAACGGCGGCGGCGGCGGCGGCGGCGGCGACGGCACAAGTAAGTAGCACTGTGCGTTCAGCCAACTCCCCGAAATGCATTATCCCCCTCATTTGGTTGGTCGAGGTTATTGAGAACCATTGGGCTTTGCCGTCGACGACTCTCGCAATAAACAGTTAAACATGAAAACAAAGTAATGTTTGCCGTTTGAATCTCAGTATAGAAAACGTACTACACTAAATGATTCGTAGTTAACGTGCTGCCTCGTCGAGTTTGTAAATTGTTATGAAATTTTTATGTCAGCAATTCATTTTTAAAAAGGATAGCTCACGACAAGGAGTATGGATAACTTACCATAATCATTTGGAAATTCCCATTGCGTTCGATCAACTAATGCATGGCTTCTGACAAGAAAGAAGGAGTTAAAAGCCGTTTAACGCAATAATATCGGATTCGTTTTCTCTTTCTTGTTGTTTGGTTGATTGGTTTGGTTTTTCTTTTGATCTATAGAGCGGTTTTCATTTGAGTCGAAAAGTAATTGGTTTTGCACTTTCTACACGATGCGATTGGCTTAAAAGATTCGCGCCACCTTTTCATCCAATCAGAAGTGAAACCAAAGCCAATTGTGACGCGCTCGCATGCATTTTCCCGCGCTTAAGCCACATGTAATTACTTCGAGTTTTGATTGGTTCAATGTCTTGTCTGTGTCCTATGTGATTGGCCAGAGTAATTACTGTGGTTTTGGTTTTACGACACTCAAACGAAAACCACTCTATTGAAAATTGAATACTGTACATTTCTTAAATTTAACAATGGTTTCGAGCTCTTTTGGTAGTTTATGGTTCAGTTTTATTAATACACTCATTGTACTGGATACTCCATGATTCTCTGTGATCCGAAGTTCATAGAAATCTAACCGACATGTGAACCTAGATCATCACGTTCGGACTTGTCTCCTATACAGCATATCAACCAAGTCCCCAGGTTTTCTTTCTCGCTTCGTAGGTTGACAGCATGTCAGGGTGTCTGTCAGGGTTCATAATTTCGAAATGAATTAGTCTACTTTGTGTAGGGCTTATATCAGGAGGAGGCTTTTTTTCGTTTAAAATTCGAGTTGCGGAAATTTTTCAGCGCATCATTGTTGCAAAACAATAGACAACTGCCGACTTACAATTGAATATCAATAAAAACGCAATATTCACGTTGTCCGGACTTGACACTCGCGTCCCGGATGAGAACTCGATATATCGTCAAAATCGGGGATTTAGACCGTCTGCCACGCAGACTAGTGGTGCCAATGATTGAAAATTTCTGAAGTCAGTTGACGAAGGACAGATGGTTGTAAGAATTTTTGATGAGTTATCAAACTTTGGAAAATAAACGAGTCCAGGCCCCAGTTGTTCAAGAGCTGGATAACACTATCCACCGGATAAATCACTATCCAGCGGATTAGTGTTAGAGAAACCAATTTTGCTTTCCACCGGATAGAGATTGATCCAGTGGATAGCTACTACGACCAGAATCATTCAAGGTATTGCTTTCTTGTGCAAATTAAGGCTTTTGTTAATTAAACCTCACTGGGACTACCAAATTTAAATATGAAAGATAAAACGAGATGAATTGTGGTCTTAGGGCCTGTTTACATGGAGTGGGGGACCCCGGTCTAGTGGGGCTGGTTTCTTTTGTTTTCACGCTCTGGGGGACACAAAACAAAAGAAACTTACCCCACTAGACCGGGGTCCCCCACTCCATGTAAACAGGCCCTTAGTAGTAAAAAGACGCCATCGTGCAAATGGACCATTCCTGGTAAGGGTATTTGTTATTTTTCTAAACTATAGTAACAATTACAGTTAATTGATATGTGACTCCTGACTTTTAGATTTTCAGGTAACTTTTTTCTTTTACACATGTTTTACAGGTTGTAAGGACAATCTGAAAAAGTGCCAGAAAAAGGTCCAAAAATGCGAAAGAAGCAAAAGTTTTGCACAAAAATGTAGGAGAACATGCGGAATTTGCGGCAATCCATAAACGTAAGTTAAAGTAACTTGAAGACTGGTACTCTTTCATGATAGAGCAAGAAATTACATATTAAAATATTTAACTTCAAGACGTCTGCGACTTTTACGAAGTCTGCTTTTTATTTGGTAACCAAATTGTGGCAACGCTGTGGAGTAGCAATTGCAAGAGCTCAAGAGGTTAAAGAGAGATCGCTAGCCGACGGTTCTTGTGAGCAGTCCATTTTTGAAACTGTCGGAGCACTTGCGTTCCAGAGCATGAAGCGATCTCAAATAATTACGTTGTTTTCACCCGACGTTTCAGTCTCATTTGGCTTAACACCTTCTAAGGTAAAGTAAAGAGAGGCAACGAGACACTTCAAGCCCAAACGACTAAACGCCTAATCCTTGCCTTGTCTGAAGGGATACTCGAGCTCAGGGTATAGGTAAAAGTAAAGGACCAAAGCCAAGTAACCTTATTTCCAAGGTTTCCTTTCTCGGTCACTGGATGCTCTAAAAAGACTAAAAAGAATAGAGAAAATAATCAGAGAAAATGCTTTTGAGCAAAAGAAAAAGAAATTCGGATTAAACTTAACCCCGTGTTTGCGCTTATCGGTCTTCGAACAACTAGAACAACTCACCCAGGGGCCCCTTTCTCGAAAGTCCTGGTAACTATTCGGGAAAGAAATCAAATATTCAAATCAAAATTTAAAGAATTAAATGAGGTCCTAGCTAACAACCCAGTTCATTTTGTTTTGTTAACCGATAGTTACTATATTATTTACCTGCAAACTATAAAAAACTCGACCCTAAATTATTTATCATTTATCGTTATTTATCAGGACTTTCCAGAAACAGGTCCTAAGGTGGAGAAAGTGAAACAAACTTTCTTGACAATCTTGTTCCCAGAGATCTATAGACTCTCTTCTTCATGGCGAGGCCACGGTTCATAAAGTGGCTACTAGGGCAATAAAATGTCAAAGAAACCTGAGGTGGTCGCCATAACTGAAAGTTCTTCGTGATCACACCCTACCTGGTTCTGTCTACACGAAAACGTAACCTCCAGTTGGAGTGTGGCAAAATTTGGTTATTTTGAAATTAGCAGTTATTGGATGAGCTCAAACCGAGTATGATCTAAAGAAGTATGCAAATCGAGGAGCATGAGTTATCAGCTGAAGCCAAACACCCTCAGGGATCTACATAATTTTTTAGATCACACGTAAGCCGAATTTAATAATTGTTGCATTGTTCTTTCAAAATAATTCATACTTAAAAAAAAAAAAAGCTAAAACATGCTTACCTCGATCGATGCTATCAAATGGTAGTTGTCATCCTTGGGATCGGATCAGATCGCTCAGTTCCAATCCATGACATTACTCGTTTGAAAAGTAACTCTGTGATTGAATGCATGATAAAACATTGAACTCGATTATCGCATAGTTTGCTCAACTTCGTCTAATAATTGTTAATTACTTATATTATTTATACGATAAATATTTATTACTCTTTAGGTTGACGCTGGATAACAAGATAGTAAGGATCACAAGAAAGCACTAGGGATGATTGGAATATTAACTATGCTTAGTGATAGAGGGGCAATAAAAAACGCGGGATAATTTTCAGGGTAATGGCAGAAAATGATATACAGTGGAATAAAACACGCAGGACAATTAAGTGGTGTGCTAGAGATGCTTTGACAGAAGGGATCAGGGTGACAGCGGGATCTTTATAATAGTCATAGTACAAATGGTTGAGAATGAAACTAAACAGAACAATTGGTCCCGGGGGTAGTCTGGATTTCAAGAGACGGGGATAATAATATGGGGGTAAAAATCAAAACCTAAAAAAAACTAAAAAACAAAAAACAAAACCCAAAAATTCCTGGACCAAGATCCCATGCCGAATTTCCCTGCCCTAACAAGTCTGGTTGTACTTCATTCTCAGACCTAAACGGTCACTACCACGAATCTTCAGATTGAAAAAAAAATCATATACTTGCCAAATTTGCCTGCCTAAAAAATATCCCGGAATCGAAAATTTCAAACCCCAAAAAATCATTCGATCATCCCCGTGACTTGAAACCCAGAGTACCCCCTGTACAATTGGTGTAATAATCAGGGCAGCAAAGGATAACAATAAAAGCATTAAAAACGTATCACCTTTGACTGACTTGATTATAGTTTGTTTTAATTTCTGGGTATTTGGCTAGTGTACAGTGAAGAGTTTGACTTCCACTGCAAATATGTTTGGTTTTATTTGATGAAAGCGTCACTTTGTATGCACAAAGAATGGAGCAAAACATCTAACAGTGCCATCACCTTTGTTAAAAAAGACACCACCCCAAACGAATAATAAGGCTGTCGATTGTCTGTTAGACTACGAGTAGTCCCCAGTTTTCCTCAGGGATTGTAGAACGAGCGAAACGCGAGCGCGCGTGAAAATCACCACACGCGAGAAAGTCAAGATTATCACGCGCTCGACACGACCCTATAAGCTTCCATAGCTTTTAATATCATCATGCTAAAATAAAGGCTGTCTGTCTGGCCACCTCTCTTAACAACAGCCTCATTTTTGGCAGCAGTCGGTCTATTGACCTCTCTACAACAGCCACTTTTATGTATTCCCAAGGTGGCCGTTGTGCGATCTTGTTGAAGGAAAAAAAAAAAAAAACAGTGAGAAATATCAGAACTTGCATCGCTCACAGATCTATTTGATAGTCAGTCGATATACAGTTGCGAATTTTTGCATAAATATTACACTATACCGGAGAGCTTTTGCGCCAGCACGAAAACCATACTTGATAGGGCTTCTGTTCACACGTAATAACGGTAGGTAACAGCCGGTTTCGCTACTTGTCTAGTTCGCTACGTTCGAGTTCGCTACATATTCGCTACTAACATGCCGAGTTCGCTACTTAGTTTATTCTGTCCTAATTCCACGATCTTGTAGAACGGACATTTCGTAATTTCGGCGCGATTTCTGTAACGGAGCGAAGCTGCGACTAGACTACGAGTAGTCCCCATTTTTCCTCAGGGATAGTAGAGCGAGCGAAACGCGAGCGTGCTTGAAAATTACGCCACGCGAGAAAGGCGAGACGCGGCGTAGAGAGAGTGAAAAAAAAGATTTTTTTCTCTTCCTGTCGCGTCCCGCCTTTCTCGCGTTCGTCCCGCCTTTCACGCGCCCTCGCGTTTCGCTTGCTCTACTATGAGGAAAAATGGGGACTAGATAGATAGATAGATAGATAGATAGTCTAAGCTGCGACCCGACGATATCTAAAGTGGAGAGTCAGTCATATTGGATAGGTGTTCACACCAGAGCGAATAGTTTTTCGTGTCGTCCCTCTTAACACCTGCCTAGCCTGTTCACAGACCCTCTACTTTCTCTTCAAAGTCTGTCAAGCGCGCGTGATAAAAAATGAAAACCGCGGGGGATTTATTGACCGCCAGCGCAGGGTGATAGGGTGGGGGGAAGAAAAAAATAGATGCTCCGCACTCGTTCTCGCGCTCACCGATGTTTTCGAAAAGATCCAAAAGAAAAATAAAACAACGTCTGTGTACATGCAGGCTCCTCGTACATGCTAACACCTGCCACACGGGCTGTCCTGATCCTGAGCTGTACGTAGAAAGATCGAAGTCACTCTGGTGGCAGGTTAAGCTTGGGAATCCTGTGGTTTAGCAGGCGACAGATGGTGATAGTGTAAATGCACGAAATTTTCATGCTGTGCTTCTCCGAAAATGAGCCTAATGTAGACGGCTGGTTGGTTGTGAAGGCATGTTATGTTCTCCGCTTACAGACTCAAGTTAAGCCAGGTACTAGAATACTTTATTACTGTATAGTTAAGCTTTTGTTATGCGCAAGGGAAACACAAAGAAAGTAGGTCTTACGGTCTGACGGATTGTGCTTGTAAAGCAGTTGTTTTTGAGGCCTGTACAATCGAGTGTCATGCTTTTCGGCGTCACCCTTGAAACAAATGTACAACTGAAGATATTGTGCTCAAAACAATGCTTTACTGGAGGTATTATGCTTCTAATTATTCAGTATATGTGCCCGTTAAATGTGTGGGATGTCCAAAATCGTCCAAGCGATTTCGGAAGATTTCTCACGATGTTCCGAAGACTCCCGAACGTTTTAACGATTATGACGACCCTTGAGCTTTTGCGAAGCTACATAAATAGAGGATATTACATGGCCGCGCGGAGATACGAAATTTCTCACGAGTGTTGAAAAATATTTCACGAGTGAGCGCCGCGAACGAGTGAAAGGTTTTTTCAACACGAGAAGAGAAATTTTGTATCTCCAAGCGGTCATGTAATGTTCTATTTATTATAAACACCAATGAAATACCAAACCATTTCACTTTCATAGTTTTTTGGTGTGAAAGGCACGATTTAATTTGTAGCCATGGCAAAGGTGATATTTTCACATGTGAAGATAACATGTTATTTTCACATGTGAAGATATCAAGTTTTCGCGCAAAAGCTCACCTGGTATTTCATTGGTGTTTATATAATAAAAGGTAATATTTTTAGCATGTTGGGATAAATTTAGGACACAATCCCAGGGCTGTCTATCCCCCATGACTTCAAATATTGAGAACTGGTGACGTTGTAATGCACAAAACATGACATCATTTGCGCAAAAGATACTCGTTGACTGCGATTGTCACGAATTCGCGATGACACAAAACGCGTGGAAAGATGTTGTTGGCATTGTATCATTTAACCTGATTGGTTTTCTTCCCACCATTCACATTTTTGCTTATATTACAATGGCATACCAGGGTTTATGGGGAAACATCTGATGTTAACAGTAAAATAGCTTACACAATGCAAAATATTTGAAATTTTATTGTTGGAAAGTTTAGTCTACGAGAAATGGCGATTGTCCGGGAGATTTCACACTCTTATGTGGAGACCAGGAGAAATGGTCAAAAATCTGGAGTCTCCCGGATTATTCGGGAGAGTTTGCGTGCAGACCCCCTAGGAAACTCCTGCCCTTCAGCCACGTGGGACCTCTCCCCCAAATGATAAATCTGAGATCAAACCCTGAAAAGGATTGGTATAGAATTTGAATGAAGTGACCTGGAATGGTTCTTTTGCTGTAAGCATTCAAACACTTGATACTTGATACCTGGTAGTAAAAATCATAATTTATTAATATGATTCTGTTGAAATCAGGGTTTTGGAGAGTCTAAGTCATGTACAGAAAAACTGGTGTACCATCAGAGGAAGAACTGCTCGACTTGTCTTCGGAACTTGGAGCAAAATGGAAGAACCTAGCGCGAGCTTTGGGAATACGGGAAGCTGATATTGAGGCAGTAGATGAAGAAAACAGACAAGTTGTTGAGAAATGCTATAACTTGCTGTTGTTATGGAAACATAGATGTGGGTCTCGGGCCACTTATGAGGTTCTAGAGGCAGGGTTATGCCATGGTGTTGTGTTGCGGAGGGACTTGGCTGAAAAATATTGCTATAGTCTTCAAGCCATTCCTCAAGAACATGATTTCATGGGGTGATGACCAGTAATAAAAAAGTGTGGACACCAACCAAACGTTTACATTTAACATTGTTTTACTTTTTTCTGTCATGGCTCTATTAATAATATTTGTGGCAATATCAAGGCAAACGAAAATGGTCACGAGAAAACTAGGTTTTTCACCCTTTAATTGAAATCCCAAACTATTAATTTTATTAAATTTAATTATTGTTTTCAAAAGAACCATTACTTTCACTCTAGATGAACAGATTTTTGTTTTATAAGCCTTTTTCAAAAATGCTGCATAATACTCTTTGTTGTCCTTCATAAGCATAAGGATTATTTTACTGGACACTTGAATTGTTGTGATGATTTCTTTTATCTTCCTAACCTTAATTTGTGTTGGATGTAACCAAGTTAGCCTGATTGTATAGCTTGGGGGGGGGGGGGGGGGGGGGGGGGGGCAACCTTTTCTAAGTGGGGGGGGGGATGGGGGGGGGGAAAAAAAAAACAAAAAAAAAATTTTGGGGCCAAAAAATAACCCCCCCCAAAAACCAGGCGACTATGTCATCATCATAAAACTTTAAACAGAAGAGCAAAAAAAATAAAAATAAGTAGAAGTAGTCTGGTGTTATAGATCGTTGTCAGTATATGTTGTAGATGAGAAGTTTGTAGTATGTTTAGGACGGGTTATGTTGTTTGTAGGATGTTAGACGGGGTTGGGAATCGTGTGGAGGTAGGTTACTCCAGATTTCAAGTGATAGGGATGATCCGATGGGGCAAAAATCAAAACCTAAAAAATTCCTTGGACCAAAAAATTAACCCCCCCAAAAGTCCTGTGCTGAATTTCTGAGCCTTAAAGTTTACAAGGAAGCGTTAAATGAAATAACACGAAAAATAAATTAGGTACTGAATGTTTGTGTTTGCGGCTGGGATATGCAGGCACTACCTATGTCTTCAGATTGTTTTGAAAACCCCAAAAAATCCCTTCTTATATCAAGTCCCCCATAACAATACTTGCCAAAGTTTCCTACCCAAAAAATCTGGGAATCGAAAATTCAAACACAAAAAAATCCTTCCATCATCCCTGTCACTTGACATTCGGAGTACCAGTACTCCCCCTGGGTGTATAGTCATCATTTGATAATTTTCTGTGAAAGATAAGTGTGAACATTATGGCAATAAAGGCTGGGGGAAAAATACGAAGAGGGTGTGAACGAAAAAAAATACAGCTTAATTAGTAAGCATCTTCTTTGAGAAAATATATGAAATAAATGAAAACCTCTGTTCTTGAGTCACCTCTTGCAAGTGACCCCCTATCAAAAAACAATTACACCTGGAACGCAATGCCAACTCAAGGGCAAAAATGATACACTATTTAAGGATGGAGACCCTTAAAAACCAAACCCTATCTGGCTAGCCCATGTATAGGAGTCTACCCCCCTCCTGGAACTCCAACAACACACATATCCTCATATTTTCGCTTTTTCCTCAACTTTTGCACTTAACTTGCACATTCTTCACACAAATCAAATGAATGTAAAAAGTTGGGTCAAATAATAAGTTGTGTTGAACTTTTCTACCAAATCGTTAACTTTTCGTGCTTGATATGTTCTTCAAACCTACATTTTGCCCAAAAAATGCTCAGAAAAGCAAAAGTTGCTCAAGGTTGCCAGAACCGCAACAAGCAGGGGCACCCAACGACAATTTTCGGAAAATTTCTGTTCGGAAGACGATTTGAGATCTAGAATTTTCGGATCATTTGTTGTAAAATTTCTTGCTTGCCGCCTCTCCTAGGATTCTCGAACATCTAAAAAAGGGTATAATTGTCCATTTTGAACGGATTTTTGCCCTAAAAAGGCCACCTAGAATTTTCGGGAGCCTTTTTTTTGGCTGAAATTTTCGAAAAGGTAAGTTTTGATCCCCATAATTTTCGGATCACTAGACTTTCAGCTAGGAAATCCGAACAGATGAAAAATTTTTAGGGGATAAAAATATGCGTATGTCTACCAATTAAATACTAAAATACGTTTAACAACGCTATGTTTTAAGTAGTATTGAACTATATTCTCGTAGGGTGCCCCGGAAAAACATGCTCCTGTGTCCCCAAACGCAAAAAGTTGCTCAAGAGTTGCCGAGCACAATCGAGCCAGGCCTACCGGTCAAATCCTTGGACGACCACAGGCAACCAGACTCTGTGGGAGTTCGTTAGACTGTATGAAAATACACAATACATACGTCCTAAATTCCATTTTTTGACAAAAATAGCAATAGAAAAGACACCTTGTGTTCACTGTGTCTTTGCTTCTAGAGCCATTTGAAAGCCATTTTATCGACGTTTAAGATTTTTTTGTCAGTACAACTCAAAATCTTAGACGTCGATTAAATTTAAAGACTTTCAAACGGGGCACCCAACGACGGTTTCCTCCCAAATACATTGAATACACTTTTTAGGATATCCAGAGTACTTTTAGATCTCTAGAAGTGCATTCTAAGAGGCGCTATAAAATTTGTAACTGTTCGGTCATCCTAGGGGAACTTGAGTCTTTTCGAAATTGCAAGGGCTTCATTATTATCTTCCCGAAAATTTTACGGGCAAAAGGTGTTACTGAAGTGAGAATTTTTCTGATTTCTCTCTCCATCATATTTATTTTTGAATCCGAACATTTTAGGTTTCCTTTCCTCTACGAAAAAAGGCCTAACCTAGGGAGTGGAATGTAAAAAAATTAAACTTCAGAAAATCCTAGGGAATTTATTAGATAAGCTTCGAAATTTGTGCATGAACCTCAAGTGACTAAAGTAATAGACTGAATTCTAGGTAATCATTGCTTCCCCTAACTTCGATCCTAACTATACTTTACAGAAAGCAGTTGTGGATGCCCCTGTTTCAAATTGCTCTAGAAGTAAAGAGACAGTAAATAACACACCAAAAACATAAGCTGAGTCGTTTTTATTTTTGTCAAAAAATGGAATTTAGGACGTATTCAAAGACTAAGGAACTCCAACAGAGTCTTACCCTGCGAGCAGAGGCCCTTCGTTCTTCCTAGGAAGATCGAAGGGCCTCTGCTCGCAGGGTAACAGAGTCTGGGCGGCCTGCAGTGTTTCCTTCTGCTTCTCTCCTCTCCCTTCCTTTTCTTTCTCAGCTTTAAAGTGATTTTTAAATTTTTAAGCTTTGTGGAATGGCAAAACAAACAAACAAACAAAAACAAACAAAAAAAAAATGGAGTTTTGGCTTTTTCCTGGTTTCAGACGCATCTTACAATACGTACATGGCTGTTGTTTTTTTTTTACAGTTGTATTTACTATTTTGCCCCTTTTTCCATTGAGATCTTAGCCTGCCTTACAGATTCTTATTCACCTCGCGCGAAAAATGCCCTGAACTCGTGCATGTCATGTAATTTCGCGATTTTGAAGAAATATGGAAGAAAAATAGCTCCGGATTTAACTGGGATTACACGAGAAGTGCATAAAAGTTGAGAGGGTATGCACGAATTTTTTCGCTGGTTACTCTAGTTCTTTTTGTAAGTAATTTGTGGTAGACGAGACAACGGTACAGAGTAATGGAAGAAATCTGGAAAGTAGCTCTTGAAAAAACGTGAAGAAATCAACCGTACAATTCCTTTTATATTGTTGAGCTAATATAATTATATGGTATTTTAAGTTTGCGCAATAAACTGAGTTTTAGCAGGTATATTTTTAGGTGAATTTTTTTGAAATCGTGAACAGCTAGAAGCTAAACCACATTGCATGAACTGGTTATCATCAACTGAGAAGAAATATATAGAATAAATTCCTCCGAAGATCACTCGAGCACTTGCCGGAGTTTGTTTCATACCATATTTGGACCGTTTTGGTTAACGCCTTTCGATCCGGTCACGAAGCCGCCATTTTTAATCTGTTCTGTTGCGGAGGATGTCGTGTTTCCGTGAGTCAAATTCTTCTTTTGGGAGGTGTAGGTAAGAGAGTTGTCGAATATCTGGTGAAGGCTTTGCATACATTTTTCGCGCCCGGGCTGAAATTTGGAGGTAAGCGATTTTGAGGTTAATAACATTCGTTCTGACTTGCACTAAAGATTGTGTTATGGAATTCTATTTGTTTGTTCCTTCGTTTGATTCCCAGGTAGCAGTAAGCACAACAAACTTCCAGGGCGACGCTTAGTTACAGTAGTTGTTCTATAACGTGTAAAACGATTGTAATGTTTTAGCTTGAGTAATTGTTCTATATCAGCTGTTTTAGACATACGGTCTTAATATTCAGTCAAATGGGCCAGTCGTGCTCACGAAACCGTGAATTTTTACGCTTCATGAATGCCTTCTGTTAGAATACAGACAGAGTTGTTGATCCAATGGTCCAGCTGTTTATGAAATTGCCATTTTATATGTAATGTGTAGCTAATGAGACAAAGCATTTTAGAAAGGACAACGTATGTTAAATGGCCCTTAAAGCATCCTTTAACGGTATCTGAATATATTAGCTTTATGGAGACGTTAGTTTTTAGCTGTCTAATCTTTGTCTGTCACGTATCACAAGAAAGCTTACCATTATAGCTTACTGTATTGTCCCCGAAACAATGAACTGGAGTAAATTTGATGTTTGTTCCTCTTAACTGAAATACATTCTGTACAAAATATTCAACAACAGCGAGCCCTCAATTTCACTTGGATCAGTGTCAAGTCTTAAGAATTTCTATTCCTACATACAGTGTACAGACCTTTGTGTCTTAATGGGGTTGAGTTTTTCATTCATAAAACTCTACTTGTTTTACTATGCCATGGCTGCTGATGCCTCTTAAGTGTGTATTTCAATCATCAGTACATGGATATCTTATGGTAAACAAAACGGTTAAGGTCTGTGTTATTAGCTTGTTACACTGAATGTTACATGTAAAAACTGAAAACTCGTTACCTTGATAAAACTGCCCTGCAAATTTAAGGGAAAATTCTTTTGCCATTTGATTTATATGCTTGTTTCGCGTTCATCTTAACTTTGTTTCGTTTGATATTGCATAGTGTTCTGTAATAATTTTCATAAGGCCAGGGTCGCGGACTCAGTAGGGATTTTATTTACACATTAATTTTGTACAGGTTTATATTTTGTTTTGATAAACATCCTCCTGTCTTTAAGTAAATGAAAGAATTTTTTTGGATATCTTTTGGCGAGAAAAAAGATTGGGGCTTAAAACTTAATGCCCGTTTCCCAAATTCCAGGCAAACAAATCAATGAATTAAGCTGCCTAATGAATCCTTCGTTGTGTCTAAGAAAGCACCTGCATGTAATAATTTCAATTTAATTTTATTATTAATTGCCCTGTTGTTAGTCACTACACAAAAAGATCAATATTTACCTTTTTAGTGTTTTTCAATATTATTCAATTTTCTACCTTACAGCTCTTGCTCTTAAGTTTTGTACTGTACATCTATCTCTTGGTCATTATTTAGCTTTCTTTTGAGGGGGTGGCAGGCTTTTTGTCTGTCAAAAAATGTTGCATTATTACTGTGGGGAAAGACCTGACTTATGTTCTGTACTGAAGACAAAAAAACTAAAACTGAAATATTTAGAATGGGACAACAAATCATTCCTACCTTTATTATTTTACATGCCATGGTAAGAGTGAAATCACATTGTGCTCAAGCTTGAATTTATAGTTCTTAGGCAGATATGTGCTTTTGGCCTTTGCGGCGTCTTGTATTTAAGTTTTTGGCATTTTCAAAATGGAATCTGTAATGATCTCAGCCGTCACTTAGCTACATGTACATGTGATATTGTCTCTTATATTCTCCTACATGACGATGTCTTGTAAAAGTTAAAGATATTAAAAAAAAGAAAAAACTGGAAAATGTCCTAGACCACATAAATAAATTATCATTAACTTCACACTACTTTGAACATTGACAATAGAATATTGTCACATAAGTTGGGTTCTGTTAATAACTAATTTATGTTCTTTTTTGGCTGGGTTGTCTATTGTTATTTTCCTCAGCGCCAAACAACCTTTTGAAGCAAAAATCATTTGCACAATAAAATTTTCTGGTCTACTTGGATAACCAGGCAACCTCTGATTTCAAGCGCTGATGGTACATGTATACCACAGGGGCTATGGTTAAACTAGTAACGGCAGTGCTTGAAATTAGTTGAAGGGCTTGAAATAATGGCTGGTCAGAGGACAATCTCCAGTCTGAAATAGGTATTGTCCCATGGTCAAGTCAATGAATGGCCAGTCATGTTGTTATTATACATGTACATTGTACTCATTATCTCTATTCTCATTGGCTGAGAGCCTAGAGCTAAGTTTGGAAATCAGCGCAACCTACAGATTAGTCAGTTATCTGCTAGCAGACAACTGACTAATATGTAGGTTGTGCATACAATGTATGATTTCCTTGACAATAAATTTTATATATCAGTTCACGTTCCTTGCGAAGGTGTGTTTGTCATTATTTCCTTTAAAACAATGTTTAATAAAGCAATTATTAGATTTGGCTTGTGATATCCAAAATAATCAAGGTCTTGGTACATTGTAAGTGTTATCAGTCTCGGCCTTCAGCTCCGCTGATAACACTTACCTTGACCTTGATTATTCCAGATATCATAAAAATCTCATCCAATAATTGTTTTTTAGTGGTACTGCACTGGACGGTGGGACAGAAAACAAACCAATATCTGCATGTTTCTGATAGATCATAAAAAGATGCCATAAACAGGGTTGTCAAAAGTAGCTGGCTGCCGATGAAATTGGCTGCCTACTTGGTTAGTATCGGCCCGCTACTCTGCTTGGCATTTCTTTATGGATGGCATTTTTTTACATAAAATATCCCTGGACTAGCCACTTACTTTGACAACTTAGCTTCTACTTCAAAGCTTCCTGACAACCCTGCATAAATCACCGTCAAAATCCCTCATGAAAAGTTCCTTAGAATGAGCGACTATCAAGCTTCTTCATACACTAGGAATTTTTTTTTTTGTTTTTTCACAACAATGCCACAAAAAGCAAAGCTGTCAGAGTGAATTACAAAAGAAGAAAATGTCCTTCCTGATACGTTGGAGCTGAAGCAGACGCTTGTCAGTGCTGGCATGTACTCTTGTCCAAGCTGACACGTTCATTGCATCAGTTGCACGTCTGCGCTGTTCCCTTAGTTGTGACCTGCACTTTATATGTATTTTAAGGGCGTCAAGCTTGTGACATCATCACTTTGCAGGCTAGCACCTCTCCAACTAAGACAACCTTGCAGGGGAGCTCCCTCCCCTTCCCCCTGTGGCTGCCACTGTCATTACTATTATTAGTGATCTAGTACTGTTCACTAATAATAATTTTTATCTTTTTTGTGTATGTGTTGGTTAGGGTAAAGAAAGATAAAAAAACTGCAAGTCAGACTTAAAATCATGGCACTATCACTGAAGATAAATATTGTGAAGAACAGTGCTATCAAGACATTACAGGTACACTGCATTTCTCTGACTTTGACTTCAACTTGTTTATTGAAATGCATCATTATCTTTTTTGTTTGTTTCAATCAACTATTCAAAAACCTTAATTAGTTTAAAGCTATTTGCAGGTTTAAGGTTTCCAGTACTTAGTGTTTTGTCTACGCACAGCTGTAAATACAACATAACATTAGTCGGTCATAAAGACAGTGTCTGATTAACAACTGCATCGCTCAATGGAGATTGGAGTGCCTGGGATGTCCATGTCTTCCACTGGTGGCCACCCAGCAATCCCATAGACTGAGTACCATTGCTATGGCTGGTAATAAACCCTTCCATGGTTGTTCTCAAGTTTTTATAAAGAACAGTTAGGGAATATCTATCATCACTGCTTGAATGAGTGTAGGAAACTTACCAAGTTTGAAGATTATGCATCTAACGTGAGCGGAGATATTGTGACACAAAGTCGTAAAATTTTACAGATGTTTGTATAGTTGGGGGCGCAAACTTGCCCCAGCCCGCACCCCCGCCCCCACTGCCACCATACACACATCCACATCTTTGCAGAGCTTTATCTTCATTAGTTTTCAACAAATGACTTTTAACCTTGGCAACTTTAATTTCAAAGCATTCTTTTTAGTGAAATTGACAGAATTGCGCTGACTGGTCACAGTCAAAGTTGAAAAAACCATGGAAGGCCATCTATCCCCACAACCTCACCCGGAGCCTCTTGGCCCCCATGCAAGGCCGCCAGCTAGGCACCTACATGTACTTTGTTTGTTCAGTAACTAAAATGGTTTTTTGTTGAGGTGTATGTTGTTCCAAAAAAGAATTGTTTCCAGTTCTGTCAGTGCAAGGAAATGTAGCTGTTGTCTGAAATAATGAATTTGCCTTCTATTGATTACCAGTTTAACCCAGAGGCTACTGTTGCTGAGGCATTAAGGATCATAAGAGAAAGAGTACATGATGCTACACCTGGAAAAAGTAAGAAAAACAAACATACAATTTTTTTGTTTCCTTTTTCTCACTAAGTACAGTCTTGAAATTTGCCAAGAGAGATAAAGTCTAGAAAAATGGTAAAAAGTCTTGTTTTTTTGCTAAGCTACAACATTTTATTGCTTTATGAATGATTTTTTTTTTGTTTTGTTCAAATCTTATTCAATCTTGGCCTCGTATGTTTGCAGTGTATCATGAAAAAAGCTTTGCTTTGCTTTGCTTAAAGGTCTATATTGATCAACTATTTGATAAACTTGAGTCTGGAAAAATAAATCAATTTTTTTGGGAAAAGGTGTGGAAACAGTCTTGAATGTTGGATCCAAAAATCTGTACGAACCCTGTACAGGTTATTGCTTCACAAGTCCAAGACCAGCATTCATTAAAGTGTTTTTGAGGTCAAAATTAATTTCTAGAATCATTTATCTCTACACTACAGCTGTACAATGTATAATATGCTGTGTGTAAAATTCATTCGTAGTTTAAACCAGTATTTGTCTTAGTTTGAAAAGGGTTGAATGAATGAATGAAATTTTATTTCAATGGGGTGCATATTTACAGTGAAAGACTGTAGCCTCCCTTATGGCCCTATAAACATGGATAAGCAGGGCTCGAAATTGGGACCGATATGGTCGCCAATGCAACTAACATTTTCTCCTTGGCGACCAATATTTCTGGTTCAGTCACCACTTTGGTGACCAGATTTGTCTATGATTTAGATTGAAATTAAAAGAGTAAAGTTAAAACAAATATTTCATCTTATCTTGCTTTGCTTTTGTCTTAAAAATTTGCCAAATCGCATAAACAAAGCCAGTTTACCTCCAAATTTATACCGACTTCTGTTCACAATATTTTCAAACAATCAAATGTGATGGATCGTGCCATACTATGAGCTGTGTCGTTTTACATTATACAAACTGGTGACTAAGAAGTTGCATCTGGCCACTATATTTCTCCAGTTGAGGATTTTTTAATTTTGAGCCCTGGTAAGATAAGTGAAGAAGTACAGATCAGTGAGAGAAAGCACATTGCTTTTGATCTCTATAAACAAGTGAAAGGAAAAGGATTACATGTACATATACAGTACATTCAAGCTCTGTGATGAGACTGTTGCACAATGATTTTGCAATAACCAAACAAAAATGCAGTGTCCTTACCAGGATTTTTTATGCTGGGGTCCACAGGACCTATAGGAAATATAAAAGGGGGTCATGAGGGACAAAAGCAGGTTACAATTTTTAGAGTCAGCTAACTCAATGTTTTCACAGGTCTGAATTAGAGTGAATACCTTGTACTTTCTTAGATAATGATGGGTCTTTTCTTAAGATGCCATAACCAATTAATTTTGGCTTACAATAGAACCTCCTTTAACTCAAACTCTGAAGGAAAACATAAAACAGTTTGAGTCGGCGGGGGTTCGAGTTATTGTGGTCGACAGGTTGTCAGATTTGCCATCTTGATAATTAATAGTTACTGATTTTTCAGCACTTCAGTGTATGGTACATCGCTAATTTAACTTACAAATTTCGTCAGAAATGGTAGCATGATTATCCTTTTTTTGATAAAACGGGATCTGTTTGTTGCACGATCAAACTGCCGTAGTGGTTTTACTGTTTTACAACAAGAAGAGCTAATGAAATGGCATCCGAGGGGAGTTAAAGAATTTGAGTTATCGTGGTAAATTCAGTGAATTTTTTTTCAAGGAAGAGTTAGCAAGGAATTAGAGTTTTCTTCCTGAGTTCCAGTCAACTGAGTAAAGATGATTGAAAGTTGGGGTGAAATTCCAAGGAAATTGGACTTTGTTTTGAGTTAGCAGGGAGTTTGAGTTATCCGAGTTCCAGTTATCAAGGTGTATATTATAAGGAAATGTACATATGTGTACATATGTTTAGGTATGTTTTGTAATAAGTATTTTTCCTTCTTTGCGCCCTTGAGACCCCTTGGCTACATGTACCGGTATTTATAGTGCAGCATTTCCTGAAAAAGTGCGATAATGCTGCAATGCCGTGGTCTGGTAAGAACACTGAGCATGTACATCATTAAAATAATAATTATCTGACAGTATTAAAGCAAAATGTTCACTAAAATATTCTGAAAATATTAACCATCAACTCAGACATGATTTTGCACTCGGCTATACAGCTGTAAAATGATACTTGCTACTGGGCTACCTCAGAATTGACATCCTAGCTAACCCACAAACTTGTTTTTAATAAGTACATCTGAATACTGTAGCTGCAGTTAAGATCATATGTACATGTGATTATTATTTTGTAGTATCAGAGTATGGCTTGTTTTGGCAAGATGATGACCCATCAAAAGGAAAATGGTTAGAACCTGCAAGAGCACTCAACTTTTATCCACTCAAGTCTGGTGTAAGTACACTGTAACAAAATGCTAACCACCATGTCTTTTCCTTCAGAAAAGCCACTCTTAGTTATTGTGAACACCAGAAATAGTTATTTCAGCAATTTTATTGTCTGAAAAGAGAAAGCCAATCAGGCCAGAGAAATCTTACTGCAACAAGCAACAGTAATTAGGTTATGGTTTTGTTGCTTACTTGCATGTCCTGAACTTTGATGTTATTGGTCAAAACACAATAAATATATTCCTAAAATATTTTAGGTGTTCATGTTTCTCTGATTTTGACAGTAAACCATTGTATAGTTTACCGCTAAACTGGTTAAGCATTTTTAATTAAAGGGACACAGTCAGCTGGCATGATGCACCTGTGCATTAGATACTATTTCTTAGCTGATTTGCACATCATAAGATACCTGATCCATACTGTTTTCACCAAATATGATAAAGTAATATCATAGGATGAGAAAAAGAATACTCTGGAAGAAGTTTTTCTGTAAAATATAGAAGATGGAATGCAAAACTAATTAAAATGGATTTCCAGATGTATATGTATCTGACAAGTACCTTTGATTTTGGGTTGAGATAAACACTTTTCAAAGTGGCAAAACTAGTGTCCAGGTCAGCCCCGTTCCAAAGCCGACTGAATATATGAAAATACTATAAATCAAATCTCATACTCATAGTTGTTCTCGTCCTTGAGTCTTAAAGTCTCTATTGTACAAGTTCAGATAGGTAGCAATGATTTTCTTTGTTTTCAGGACATGCTTGAATACAAGACCAAAGTAAGACATCTCAAAATAAAATTTATGGATGGGTCTGTGAAAACATTGCAGGTAATTAAGTTGTTTCTATTGTATACACTCAGCTATTATTAGATCTTCATGTTCAATTTCTGTAGCTGTAAATTGTGTTAAAATAATTTCACTAGAAACATGTCTCAAGAGAGGCCATATGACTGAATTAGGAGATCTGTCTCTCAATCAGTGATTTTGTCACAAATAGTTATGGTGAGTTCTGCATGGGACTCATCTTGAGAAAAATCATAGGTTCAAGCCTAGATCCATTGAGTCCCAGATCAAAAAACAATGACTCCTATATTGAAAATGCTTAGGCCTTTATGTAACGAGACAGTTAATCTGAAGAGAGACTCCAAAACTCTGTAATTTACAGTTTACTGGAATAAAAATATAGTCCTTCTATTGTGAAGCAACAAAGACTAAAATAAATATGTGTTGTTAAACAACAGCCACAAGAACAGCCACAGAAATGCACGCAAATAGGATATTCTATGAAACATGTTCAGATCGATCGATCAATTTTTGCATCCCATGGGATGCGTCTTTGGAGATTTTTATGTGTCAGGTACACAGAGGTTACAAAATCACTTCTCAATGCACAATTTTTGGATAAAATGACATAAGGTGAAAGTGTCTTTCAAGAGCCTGATCTGGGTCAGATAGTGGCAGTGTGCAAAGAAAGTTGGTTTCACACTTGCCATTTGAGCAAGCTATAGCTAGCATGGACTAGCCCAAAAGTCATTTTAACTAAGCCTGAAAAAATTTGTTGATGAGCAGGATTCCAACTGATTACAGTTCTTCTTTAATTTGAATTCCCCAAAGAACCTCTGATCACTTGCCTGTTGGGCAAGTCAAGAACAGAATTCACTAGTCTGCTAGCAAAATCCACTAACCTCAGGCTATCAGACCCGCCTTTCTTTGCATGCTGAGTGGTCCTTGCTCAGCAAGTTAATTTTGAAGACATACTGCCCTATTTTGTACATGTATATAAAACTTAAACATTGTAGTCAGTGAAAATGCAGTGGTGAGTTAATAATAAATTTTGTTTTTTTTTTAATGTAGATTGATGACAGTCACAATGTTGGTCAGATTTTAGACTCTGTTTGTATGAAAATGGGTATGTCTAGTGTTTGTGCTGCCAAGGAGGCAAATTACTATAGTTAAACTCCACTGTTAAACCCTTTAACCGGCAGCCGCAATAAGACATGTATGTATGTATGTATGCATTCCTGCGAGGATTACCAAACAGCCTTTATTTGAGTTTTCCGTAATCAGGGATCCATATTATGCAGCTGAGTGGTCATCCTTGACAACTTAAAATTTGTACTGATGAGTGAGACTCCACCTAGCTTGGAGCACTGCAAAGTCTCCTTGTTCCTTTTAGGCAATAGCTACTCAGCTGTATAGGATAAAACACAGACTAAAATATACCACAGAGGTATTAACATCAAGAATAACAAGTGTGCAATGTCTGACTTTTGTGATGTCCTTACAGTGTGTGGTTGTTGTTCTCTTAGGTATCACAAATGTTGAAGAATTCTCATTGCTAGTTGAAGGACAAAAAGAAGAGAAAGAAGAAGTAGAAAAAACAGGAACACTCAAGCGGGTTTGTATACATGAACAAGTCATAAGATATTTCTGAACTAGCACAGCTGTTGTAACTAACAATTTACTTCGTAGAGTTTGAACAAAACGCATTAATACTGGAACAGGTGGACCGCGAATTCAGACATATGCACAACATCTTATTGTAGCACCAGGCCAGGCATTACCGACTTACTGTACATGTAGGTCACATGGTCTTGTTTGTCAAATCAAAAAGGTGAACTCACATGGTTCTTCCTTTCCCTTCTCATTGCTAAGTTCATTGTTTGTGCATTACAGTTATGCAACTAAATGAACTTTCATTGATAGGCTTTCTGGGGATGTTTCATTCTTTTCAGTTGACAGACAATGCCGTTTTTTGACTTAGCTTATGAAAAGCTCATGAGTGTGACCTTTTGAGTTCATCTTTGGGAGTGACCTAAGTTGTCAACTTTTGGCATCAAAATCAACTGTTATTCTGATCTTTGAATTGTGGTCTATCTGTTTTGGTACTGTGTAGAACCAAGTGTTCAGAGCAAGTTACTTTTTAAAGGCTGTGCTCTAAGAAAAACTTGAAGAAGCCCAGTGCTCTGAACCTGTGAATTCCAGGGTGCCCTGCTGGACATAACTATGATTTCTATGAGAAAACTAAGATTTTCTAGCACTTGGCATAGGAGCAATAGTTAGGTGCCTGAGGGTGACTGGGAACTGGTAGGACACAACCAGTTGTTTTTTATTCCACCTTTCCACCATTTTACAATAATAAATTATAAGGAAAGGAGAACACGCAAATTTATTGTTCCACAGTGTTGCACACAGCTCTAGAAAGCTGCTTTATTGCACCATAAATTCCTGATGTTATAAAAATATGGTAAAACACTCTAACCCATATTATTATAAAAATTATTTTTTTATAAAGCATGACAAGTCTGTTAAAGATGTATCACTAAAAAAGATGGAAGAGAGAGATAAGAAAAAGATGGACCAGCTCAAGAAAAAACTCCACACAGACGATGAAGGTTTGATTTATGGTTTTTCCATTTGTACTGGGCGTAAACAGTTTGTTATAATAATAATAATTTAAACATATTTATACAGGATTGCTGCATCAGTTTTAAGAAAAAACTGCTATCAGTGCAGGTCCTGTAAAAAATAAAAAATAAAAAAAAAGATTAAAAATATCGATAAAGATCAAATTACAATATTATAAAATAGTTACAAATGAGTGTTCATATTTATTTATTGTTTTGAGATTGGAAATTGGTCTTTTATGTTTCAGTTGCGGGGCGTGCTGAAAAGGAAACCTGTTTATTTCAAAATTAAAATTATTTTTTTTTGAGATTTACATGTTTAACCAAAGCGAGAGATTGCAAACTGAAAGCTAAGGAAGCAATGTGAAGATTTTGTTTGCAAGTGCTATGAAAAAGTAGCTATGACTGCCCTTCACACACCTGTCTTTTCAGCTTTTTAATTTATAATATTATTCAATCAGCGAGTTAAAATTTAGTACAGTTAAAATCAATTGTAACAGTAATTGTAGTGGAACCTCTATTCAGGGAACACCCTTGAACCAAGGCAAGTGTTCCCAGAATAGAAGGGTCCCCTGACTGGAGGCTGGGCTGGGTGTGTTAATAATTAACCAGCAAATGATATAATTTAAATAGGGCTGAAAAAGGCACCTGCTCTCGCATGCTACGGAATCTGCTACAGTCATTATTTGCAGCAGCTAGATAATGTATAGAAATCATAATCAACTTAACCCTGCGATATTGTGTGTTGAATTCACACAAGTGCAGTACATTGTTTGAAGTGAGTTGATTCATTTTTTTGAAAGCTGTCGCCATTGTAACAAGTGAGCACTTAAACTTATTGACAATTTTTGTGGTCAGTCACTTTTTGATTGCTAAGGTGTCCCCTGAATGGAGGTTAAACCCAGGTTTTGGGATCCAGACAGACAGATAGAGTGTCCCTTTCCCCGGAGTAGAGGTGTCCCTTCAATAGAGGTTATGTGAACATTTTTCTGCGACCAAATTTTGGGTCCCCTGAATGGAGGTGTCCCTTGAATAGAGGTGTCCCAAAGAGTGTAATACTAACCCAGTGAAAATTAATATACACAGTTTGCTCTCATGTGAGTAGACTTCTGCACATAAGGTATTCTGAAAAATTCATGTATTAACACACTTTCATAATCTGTTTTTGTTTGTTTTCTAGTTCACTGGCTTGACCATGATAAGACGCTTAGAGAACAAGGAGTTGATGATTTGTGCACAGTTTTGTTGAGGTGGGCAGTTCATTATCTTCTTCTTTACTGTAGTTTGATTTCTGTTACTTAACCCCCGAGCCTTGAATATATCAGCAATAAGTATTTTCTATCCTTGTCGTATGAGTTTAAAACATGTAGTAACTTACATTCATTGTTACTGAAATGAGGAGGCGGCATGGCCGAGTGGTTAGAGCACTGGACTTGTGATTCAGAGGTCTGCTAGGACACGCTTGTAAAATAACTGACTGGTGTGCTTCTCATCATTTGGAATTTTGTAACCTTGTTACATGTACTTACAGCTGTATGTTGCATTTGAATAATTCAAATGCAACATGTACGTGTAACAAGGTTACAAAATTCCAACTGGAGCTATATCTACAGTAGTACTCAAATTTTTTTTATAATTTTTCCTTTTTTTGTTTTCATTTATTAGACGGAAGTACTTTTACTCAGATCAGAATGTCGATATTAAGGACCCAGTCCAGCTTGGCCTGCTCTTTGTTCAGGTAAAGTATTAGAATAATGTTCTTCCATCATGATTAAATGCTGGGATGTTGCTAAGAGCCAGCTGCAGAGTAATTTCACCGGCTGAAAAAGAGCTTACCACCAGATCAAATTTTCTGGAAAACAAATACATGGGGTAATTTGAAGAAGCAGCTGAGTTAAAAAAAGAAGCTGGCTTAACAAAGAAAAAACCCTGCTTAGCTTTTCCTTAGCTACAGTGTGCATTCTTGTAAATGATGAGTCATTTTCTCCCTTCAACTACTTTTTACTGCCTGACTCTAAATTCATGTACTTTTTAAAAGGACAGGAAATAACTCTGCTTTTATGTTAAGGAATCTGAGAAATGGCAAATATTGCATTGGGTGATCAAAAGGTGCGTTTTTTTTTAAATTTATAGTGTAGAGATGGTATCTTAGATGGAACCCATCCTTGCACCCAAGAAGAAGCAATTCAGGTACTATAATTTTATAATAAGATTATTTCAAGGGAGCTCCATGCCAAACATCTGTGCAAAAAAGAACTGAGGAGGCAAGGGAATGTTTCTGCATGGAGTCTGTCGATATAGCTTATTCTACAGACAATGTAACTAAAGAAAGGTGCAATTGTAGCCCTAAGGCCAAATTCATAAAACCCTTCAAAGTAAAGGTATATCATAAGTACTGTTTGTTGGCAATAGAGTGGTTTTCGTTTGAGTGTCGTAAAACCAAAACCAAAGTAATTACTCTGGCCAATCACATAGGACACAGACAATACATTGAGCCAATCAAAACTCGAAGTAATTACATGTGGCTGACGCAAAGCGCAGCAAAGCGCGGGAAAATGCATGCGAGCGCGTCACAATTGGCTTTGGTTTTACTTCTGATTGGATGAAAAGGTGGCGCGAATCTTTTAAGCCAATCGCATCGTGTAGAAAGTGCAAAACCAATTACTTTTCAACACTCAAATGAAAACCGCTCTAATCTGGTGTCATGATCATAATTATGATTTCCAGCATGGTTAGCTCAAGTAATAGGGTACCAGACTGTGGGATGGTGGGCCTGTGCTTGATGCCTGGCCAGACCAACACTCAGGGTATTTACATAACAAAGAAGGAAATGCCCCCTTTGCTGTGATTGACTGTTAGACTTTTTCGTCTTCTTGGATGCTAATTAGTATTACTTCTGACAGTAAAGGGTGACAGGGTGAACTTCAAATCAAGGCACAAAAAATACCAGTTCTCAACCAACTGATCGTGGCATTAATACAGAGAAAAGTTTGATTAAGAACTCATCATAACTTCACCTTTCTGACACAAGTTACATTAATTTTTTTGTTCATCAACACATTTTTTTAAAAAAGCTATTGTCTTTTGCTATACCCATCATATTTTTCTATCTCAGCTAGCAGCTATCCAGATTCAAGTTCAATTTGGTGACTTTGAAGACGCCAAGTATAAGTTCATTGAGTAAGTGTTTTGATTTAAAACTTGTTATGAGTTAAAAATAATAGTAAATCAAATATCAAACATTAGAGACAAACACGAGTTTGTTGGATGACAATCCATATTGAACTCAGAACTATTTTTCTCTCTGGAAGATTGAGGAAAACAGTGAGCCCTTCTAAAAGGGCATTTAAGCTATAGGGAGCAGTAGGGGATATGTTGGCATTGGTAGCAAACTCAAAAATAAGACAAATCCCTGTCAACTCTTATAAGTCTTAGGGCTGTTAATAAGGGCCAGGAACTGAGGATTTCCTTTTGATGCTATGAATGTGATGCCAAGCTACGTTCAGAGTGGCGGGTCCAGGGGAGGGGCCAGGGGGCCCACCCCCTTATTTTTAGACCAAAAGGAAAAAAAAAATGAAAGGCCTGCCCTTCTCCCCCCCCCATCTCAGGGTCTGAATCCGCCACTGATTCATACATTTAAAATGAAGGAAAGTGGAAGGAGAATAGAACCAAAAGAAATCCTTAAGCTGTTTGATTCCCCTCTCCTACCTTATTAGTACTTATTTTCGCAAGTCTTTAATTTCGCATTTCTTGTGATTTTAAAAAAATTGCCATTTCATTAAAGGTCCGCAAATAAAAATCCTTGCAAAATTTAAACAAACCAGATTTCATACACATATTAAAAACTCAAATCCCGGAAAAAAGGATTCACATGATAAGTGTTGACAAACAGATCTCTCTCTATCCCGGACTATCGGCCGGGACTTCCTTTGAACCCTGATACATTTACTTATAATTATATAGCTTTGGTCTTTTGTTTTAGTCTTTAGTGTCTTTTTAGCCTCATAGTTTTTTGTTGAAAATGTTATCAGGTCACTGGAAAAACAGTATTTTTTTTTAAAGTTATACTGTTATTTAAGCCTTGATTAATTGATTTTGACTGATTGATTGAGCCCAGAGAAAAAGACCCATTTGGAGTTAAGAATGAGAAACAATGCACAATAATGAACTCAAGCTTTGTTTTCCAGGTTTTGCCTTCTAAGCAACACCGGAGAGAGACAGTTGCTGTCTCAATGAATTTACTCCATCATCCCCACTTATCTTCATAAATACACTGATGTTACATTCATGAAAGACCTCTGTACTGTAGTAGTGCTAAGTAGAGTCCATTGTAAAAGGAAGCAAAATCAAAAAATAAAACAATTTCATTTTAAAGTTGATATCACCTTTAAGTTTTTAAAACTCCTTTATTATACTTTTGTCTTTAAAGCTTAAAGGAATTTCTTCCCAAGGAATATGTCAAATCTAAGAGTATAGACAAGAAAATTAAAGAGGTAAGACTTTTTTTTAGAAAGCCCTATCTTCTGAAAGTGACAGCCAGGAGAGAAATGTCATTGCAAAGTTTAAGTATTGTTTCAGCATATTAAGCCAGTGGGCACTGAATCTACCAACAAGAACTTTTGCTTTATTGCTTTTTTGACAATTTCTATAAGATTTTTTTTCTAAATGTTTGATACATGTACCTTTGTATGTTTTGTTTTTTTATCATAGGAACACAAGAAGGTGTCTGGTCATGATGAGCTGCAGGCAAAGTACAGATATGTTCAACTTTGTAGGGGGTTGAAGACGTATGGAGTGACATTCTTTCTTGTGAAGGCAAGTTATCAAATCAGTATTATTGTATAGAATATATACATTTATGTTTTTGAGTTCCACATGTATTATGTATTTTCATTGGTTTCTTAGTGTAAAGTTCAACCTCCATGTGTGACCACTTCTCTCTAGCGAATTCCTCCCATAAGCAACCACTAAAAAAAAAACACCAACCTTTTCCTGGTCAAAGCCCTACACTTAGAACTCCTCATAAATGACCACCTCCTGTAAGCGACTGGAACCATTTTTAGGGCTGATAGTTTTATAATTTTCTATTTTCTTAAACCTCTTGCAAGTGACCACTTATTTAAGGCATGGTCTGAGCTCTATGTTCGCCGTGTGTACTATGCTACATATATCGTAACTGAGAAATTGCTTGCAAGAAATTATCTTCCATAAACTAGATGTGTCTGGATGTCTTCTTGGAAGAGACCTCTGGTGGATCTTTTCTTTCTTTCTTTTTTTAGAAGGTTTAAAGGCTTGTTTAAAGGGGAAAGTGAACTTAGCTTGATCCAGCTAGTTTACTGGCATTCCACTCAAATTTTTAGAAACAAATAATTCAAATACAAAATAACAGGATTAAAACCCCAACTGGTGGGAGGCAACCAGTTGGCTATTTGCAATGGTGGTCGAGGATTTGAACTTGGGACGTCTGAGAACAAATCCAGAAAGTGTTCAGAGCGGGGCTCGAAGCCGGAACCGCCAGATTGTGATTCAATGCACTCATCCCTCAGCCAGGCTGCCTCCTTCAATAGAGTTTTATTAAATACTCAACAGCGTAATGATACTAACGTTACATGGCATTGCCTATCATTACATTATGATATATTACACTATAAACACTAATACAAGAGTAACCACATGTCTACACACCTTTATACCTCTTATTTCAAGGAGAGATATTAAAAAATACTAGTAGAAAGTCCCATAAAACTGGCGCATTTAAATATATTTATGTAGACATTTGCGCCTTATAAGTTTAATTAATTAAATGAAGTAATAAATTCTGATGTTGTTGTTTTTATTGCTGACAGGAGAAAATGAAAGGCAAAAATAAACTGGTTCCCAGGCTGCTGGGCGTGACAAAAGAAAGCATTTTAAGAGTGGATGAAAAAACAAAGGAGGTCAGTGTCTAGTTAACTCTTTGTGCTCCAATAGCATCCAAAATCAATTTTCTCCTAACGATATCCATAGATTGTCAAGTGCAAAGTCTATGAGAATTAATAAAATGATCACCAAGAGAAAAATCTTTGATCTTTTATCAAATTCTCTCAACTAATTCTTTAAGGAAATGTATGGAGATCAGTTTGGAGAATTTGTATGTGGATATTAGGGCTTAATGGGTTAATAGGGAGCTTCAGTATTGATGAAGGTGAAAGCACAGTGTTCTTTGAAAATACAGTGGAATCCCTTTTGACTACTTGATTTTTCAAAACTCCTGATTTTTTTTTTAAACCAAAAGTTGTTTCTCTTTGATTTTCTTCGGTCAGACACTGTTATTTTACCCCTGATTCTTCAAACCCTCAATTTTTTCAAAACTTCAAGATATTTTGAACCAATTCTGTTTCCTTTCAAAAATTTACATTTGATTTCTCAAAAAGTTTGAAAATTCAGGAACCAACAAAAACCTGTTTAGCCACATGCACTACTGTGCAAATTAGTCATTTTTGAAAGAGTCACCAAGAAGCTACAGCGCTGTTGTTGCACAATCAAGAATCATTTAAGATTTTGTAGAGAAGAGTTTCCACGTTGAAAAGATGAGCTTATCACCTGTTATTTCGGCTGAGTGAAGAAAGAAAAGTTTTGAAGTAGACGGCTGAGTTGTCAAAGTAAGGGGCCAGCTAGTCCAGGGATATTTTATTTAAAAAACACCATCTGTAAAGAAATGCCAAGTAGAGTAACCGGGCAATACTAATCAAGTAGGCTGCGATTTTCGCCGGCAGCTGGCTACTTTTGACAACCCTGTCTGCAGCCTGCTTGTTTCTCATACACTGAAGACAGTACCATGTGTAGTAAAACAGGTGTGATTCACTACCACCTTCGATTTTTCGAATTCCTGATTTTTCGAACCAATTTCCATTTCCCTTGGAGCAGGGTGCAAAGAAAATCATTTTTACAGCTTGCCATTCGGGCAAGCTGAAGCTAGCTTTTACTAGCCCAGACGTCATTTCAACTAGCCCCAAAAACGTTTTGTTCTTCTGTTATTCAAATTCCTCATAAAACATCATTAGCCCATCGGGCAAGTTAAAAACAGAATTCACTAGCCCGATAGCAAAATCCACTAGCCCCGGGCTGTCGGACAGTACTTTCTTTGCACGCTGTGGAGGTTAGAAAAATCTGGATTCCACAGTATTTATATTGAGTTATGCAAGGAACGGTGCAGTTATTTCTTTAGAACTGCCATTTACAGTTGGAATGATTTGTTGTGTTGACCTTCAGGTGATGAAGACATGGCCACTGACAACTGTCCGACGCTGGGCAGCATCTCCAAACAGTTTTACTCTGGTAGGTTTTTTCCAGACTAGTTTCTTTCTTTTGACATTGCTGAGCTGACTAGACATGTTGACAATTGTTTGTTCTCCGAAACACGGTGATGATTGTTTATTTAAATTATTTTTTAACAGGACTTTGGTGATTACTTGGAGTCATATTACTCAGTACAGACCAATGAAGGAGAAAAGATCTCTCAGCTTATTGCTGGATACATCGATATTATATTGAAAAAGGTGAGAAGTAATACTATGTGCCTCGCGAATGCTTCCTTCTTCTGGAACTAATTTTCACAGTTATTAAAGTTTATCAGTTGTTGCTCTTAGTTTATTAAGAAAAAATGTATTCAAGGTAGTTGTCTCTGTGATTTGTCACAGTCCAATCAAAGAACACAATACATTATTTATTGTATTAGTCATTACTAAGGCCAGATTACATTTGTCTTCATGAAAGTGAAGTTCGGAACAAATAAAATTGTTTCATTGCAGTCATAGACGCAACTTATGCAGTTGTCAAATGAAAGCCTGAATAAGTTCACACTTGCCAGGATTCCATCCCTGGCCCCTGCAGTACTGATGCAGCGCTCTAGCCAATTTAGCTAGCAAGCCAGTTGTAACTGGGAGAAGTCGTTAAACTGGTTTGTAATATTCCAAAGGTCTCCCCACGAGAAAAATCCCTTAGTTGTTTTTTCATCTTCATCATTCTGGGGGCCATATGAATTTTATATATCCTGTAATTATTGGAACCACAGAATGAAGAAAAATATGCAGAGAAGATTATTGCAGTTCAAGATGCAACTTATATATCATTTTAAAATTGTTTCAGTGGGACAACACAGCTGGGTATAATAAATGTACAGTCGACTCTCTCTTAACGGACACCTCTATAAGACGGACACCTAGAGTTGGTCCTTGCCTTTCTTTTCTCCCCTTATTTGACTCTCTATAAGACAGATACCTCTCTAAGATGGGCGCTTAGTGCTGGTCCCAAAGGTGTCGGTCTTAGAGAGAGTTGACTGTACATCCATGAAGGTTCTTGATTCAATTTTGCCATGTTAAATACTGGCACAACAGCAGGACACAAAAAATTCATTGCCTTTCATGCATTATCCTTCATGCGTTGTGTAAAACCAATTTTAAACCAATTAAATTTTGTTTATCTTTTTTTTGCTTGCAGAGAAAAGGTCAAGAAGGTTTTGATCCAGACTTTGATGAAGAGTCAACAATGGTGGAAGATTCTGTGACCCCATCAAAGTAAGCATAGTCTCATTTCACAGACTGCATAATGACAGGGCCAGAGAACAATAATAATGATTATTTTTGTATGTTATTTTTTAGTTAATGCAGAACCCTGCTCTTCATATTGGAGATCGTTAACATCTGATGCCTGAGATTGACTTTCTACATACATGTGTAGTTCTCATATATCTTTTTTCGCTTTTTGTTTATTTTTGTTTATCAATAATTATAATTTGTTTACTGTTTATGTAAGCTTATGTCACTCATGATTTTGATTTGATTCAAGTATACATGCAGGGTTTGTCAGTCAACGCTATCACCTTTCAACTTTATTTTGCATGAAAACAGTATTTCACAAAGGCTAGTCGAGTTGGGTCAGTTCTTAATCATTATTTTTTTATAATTATATGATAGATGAACAAAATACAGGCCCCCCTAGCTCGGCTGACGCTCAATATCGGGAATATCAACTGAGTTTGTTTGAAACTTAATAGTTTGTTTAATACTTTTGACTGTGTATACTAGGGGTACATATCTTGAACGTCAAACTAACAAGGTTGGCCATGCTGCTACTGGATCAGTTGCTTTACCAGCTGTTATGCGAGCCGGAGGTCCAGGTACATCATTTTTTGGCTTTTATGATCAGTTTTTCAATAATTTCTCTTATTAATTCTTTAGTCCGTTTGTCTGTCCTCTTGTCCTTCCACTTTTTGCTCATTTGTTTATTCGTTAATTATTTGCCAAGACACACATTTATTTGCAAAGAGGTACAAATAATTTTTATAAAGAAAATCAGTAAAGAAAGTACATGGTGAAGAAACCTGAGAGAAACCATGGGGCTTTATAAAGAGTCAAATTTCCTCAGAGGACTTAAAAAAGTGAGCCTAATGCAACAATATGGGCCAGCTAAAGAAAAAGAAGCTTTAAACGCGAAAAAAAAAAAAATAGATGTAAGTTTACAGCCGTATTAATATTATTTTAGTTAATAATAAAAGAACAGGTCTGCACTTTGGTATACTAATTGCTGTAATTTGTTTTGTCTGTCTGTTGATGTTTTTGTTTTTTAGGAGCTTCAAGATACAGTGTGGGTAAGATGGAGCCGGCACAGTATGGAACAGTCACAGGATCAGCTCATTCTGCCCACAGGCCACCCATGGTTAGTGTTAATTTGAGACACTGAGTGCATAAGTGTACATCATTATTATTTATTTATTTATTTATTTTTATTATATTTTGTAATTGATTAATTGAATTTGCATGGTTTCAGTTTTGTAGAAGGTGATTAACTTGTTAATGCTTGTTAAAATAATTCTTAGAAGTAAGGTTAGGTTATGTAGGTTGTATGTTTATCGCTGTACAATGTGGTCTCATGCAACTCATACTGTGCTATTGTATTCACAGGAATTCAAATCTTTCCGTTCATAAATAAACAAATTATTTAATGCCTTGTAAACAAGGGTTAGACTTGTAATCTGCGAGTTCAAGTTGTGGCCTGACTACTTGGTGGTTTTGATTTGGCTCATCTCAAGTTCAAATCCTTTAGCCACACTTGTACTGTACTAGTTTCAATTCTTTTATGTTGAGTTTCATTTGAATTATTTGTTTCATTTTCCCGTAAAAGCCCTTTGAGGGAAGAGGATAATTTAGCATTTATATACTTTTTTATTTATTCACTGGTTTGTAATGAAATAACATTAATTTTGTGCAGATTATTAATTGCTGAATGTTGCATTATTTGTTTTTCCTCAGGGCTCTCAAGCTAAGCTGCATAGTCTTACTCCTGCACAGAAGGCCTACATGGGTAGCTTGAGTCAAGGCTTGGACACCATTGAATCTGCAGAGAAGGATCTGGGGACTCCTGCTCAAATCCCAGCTCTCGGATCTGATCCAGTAAGTCCTTGCTATCTACTCTGGAGGAGATTACTACTGGGTGATAATCTGTAGCATCCATGATTGACATTGTTATATATATAGAGGATATTACATGGCGGAGCAAAGATAAGAATTTTATTTTCAAGTAGCAAAACAATATTTTATGAATGAATGCAGCGAGTGTGTAAAATATTGTTTTTGCCACGAGAATATAAAATTTATATCTTCAAGCCGCCGTGTAATGTTCTTTTTGTTATATAGACAAAATGACATCGATAAAGTAATAGAGGAAAATTACGAAAATTACATCATCGATAAACTCACATGTGATATTATGGAAAATAAACCACTTGGGTCTCGTATGTAGTTTTTAGGAATTTTACGAGTAGTATATTTTCCAGTCTACATAATAAATATTGTTAAAGCATTTCTGAAAAAAAAATTGCAGTAGAGAGTGCATTTTGTTCGACCCATGTTTTCATATCATGCACTCAGTGCTTGAGTCAAATTCCCCTTCTTGTTATTGATTATTTTCAGAGAGAGAGCATGAAATTATCTGTCGTAGTTATCAACAGTAATGCATATTGTGTTGTGTAATTATTTTGTTCGGAATAAATTTTTGCTCTCACTTTTGTTACTTGCAAGTGATCCAAGAAGTGTTCTACAATATACTTTCATTCTATCAGTTCAGTGTTTCAATTCATCTTAGACTCAATACTAACTGGCTCTTATTACTAGGCTTCACTAAAGTGGAAGCAGAATACACTTGACCTTTCTCGACAAAATGTTGCATCAAGACTTGCTGCTCTCTCAGCCTCATGTGCCTCTATTGTTACTCTCACTTCAGGTATTACATATTCATGTGTTGCACTGTGTCGTTCTTCGACTTATTTTTGAAATTTCTGTGTCATTTATGTATGTTAATGTTGGGAGTTGGTTAAGATTTCATAATCTTGCGATCATCAGAAATAATATGATTGACTCAGCTGATCAACCATCAATTATATTCAGATCAATTTCTTTACAAGACAGTATAAGAAATCCATTTTTTATTTTTCATCTGTGAGCAAGTAAAAGTACTATAAACTTTTAATTTTCAGCTGTGGACCACTGTTATTTTGAGAATCATGTTGGTGTTGTGTTTTGAACTACAATAAAACACGCACAATGTTTCAATAATAGTCATCAATGCATTAATCAAGACAGTGTGCATTTTTCTATAATTGATTATCACTTTGCTTAAGGTTTTTGATCAATCATAGATTATAATTGATGACTGGCACACCACTAATGTATGTTAAAGTTGTACAGAGTGAATCGTGAATTCTAAGGTTGTTTCATGTTTGGTCACCTTTTTAAGGGGAGCCTGAAGAAACAAACTATACTGCTGCTGGTGCTGCTGTGAACACTATGTAAGTACAGCTTTATTATCCAGGCCCATAGAATAACTGCTGCCAAGCAATCACTACAATGTGGATTGTAGACTGTTAGAATATGACTATGGAAGGAAATTCTTACACCCATTCTTAATGTGGCTTCTGTTTATTACACCATTAATTTTAATTTTTGCTGTTTGACTCTCCCTTGTTTTCCAAAACAAAGCAAAATAAAAAATTAGGGAGGTTTGCTTCATCTCTAGTGTAATGGTAAAAAAGAAAAATTGTAAAAAATGATTTCATCTGCAGAACCTTGCAAAGTTAATTTGTGTGAAATTATTATTATCATTATTATTATTATTATTATTATTATTATTATTATTATTATTAAATAGCCATGTAATAACTGAAAAAGAGGAAAATGTAACCCTACCACCATTTTCACTTGACAAGTTCCTGTATGTTTTTTCACTGTACTATGCAACCTACCAGTGCAGTGCCTTTTCAGACTTGTAGTTAGTATTATAAAGTATGACTGTCCTTTTCTTTTGTTATCATAATGATTAAGTAACCTGATTCAATTATCCGTTTAAGCTCCTCAAACCTTCAAGACTTGTCCAAGGGAATCAAAATGATCGCTGGCTTGCTGGATGATGGAGATGATGGCAAAAACCTTCTTGATGCTGCTCGAGACCTTGCTGGTGCCTTTACAAATCTACTCAAAGCTGCTCAGGAAGGAGGCGGAGTAGACCCTGAAGTAAGTGTTTTGTCAGGCTGACAGCAAGTATGGGTAAGGTGAAGCAACTCTTATGATGTGATTGGCTGGCTAGCTATCCCAGCAGGAAAGACGGAATTTCCTAATTTCTCATGTACATGCTTCCCCCATGGGCTATTTGTAAATCCCTTATAATACCCTTTTTTACCCCCTCCGCCCCCCACCCCCATAAATTTTGCATGAGCTATTGTTTTCAAATGCTTTTGGGAATATGCACTCCTACAAAGAGAAGGGGGAGGGGCAAATGGGGTGTACCATGGGCGATTCAAAAAATTAATAGAGAATCCAAGAAATGCAGCACAACAGATTGTTTCATTCTAAGCTTTGTTGGCAAGACAAAACCGACATAGGATTAGCTCAGTCAGTAGAGCCCTTCACTGTAGAGTGGAAGGTTGTGGGTTTGATTTCTGGAGCTGGACCATTACTCAGGGTCTTAGGATAACTGAGAAATGAAGATACTCCCTTTGCAATGCAAGCAGCAAGACCTTTGTGTGGCTTGGATGACCATGTAAACTGGCAATCCCGTCTCCAGTAGGAGACGTAATAATATTGTCCCCAATTAGCACCTTCGTGTTAAATACATTGACACTCAAATAAAGTGCTTTTTTAACTGTTCTTGTTTTTCTTTCTGGGAGTTTTTACTGTTTTCTTCATCTTGGTCAGTAACCCCCCTCTTCCTCCTCACCCCACCCCCCCCCCACCCCCCATTGAACTTGAAAAATATCTAGTCATTTAATATCTCATCCTTGGTCAATAATTATTGTACAGTGGCTGTGTCTTAATATTATTTTTTTGTATAGAACCTTAATGTATAAAACCCTGTTATAGCAAAGATCCTGGTTTAATGAATGATAGAGCTTTTCAATTGGAGTTTTTAGTAATAGTTCTTGTGTGTGTCTTAGTTCAGGGACAAACTCTTGTCAGCAGCAGGGAATGTAGGTTCATCTGGAGCAACGTTGTTACAATATATGGGTGAACCAGAGGTGGATCATCAAACTCAGGTAACTATGCTCTTTTAACCTCTGCACCAATATAATTTCAACACTGTCACACTACATGGGTAGCAGATAACCAGATCATCAAACTCATGTAACTATGCTATACTAACCTCTGCACCAATATAATGACAACACTGTCGCAAAACATGGGTAACAGATAACTGGATCAATAAACTCAGGTAACTATACTATACTAACCTCTGCACCAATACAATATTACAACACTGTCGCAGAACATGGATAACAGATAACTGGATCAATAAACTCAGGTAACTATGCTACACTGACCTCTGCACCAATATAATTACAACACTGTCGCAATACATGGGTAACAGATAGCTGTGTCAATTAACTCAGGTAACTATGCTATACTAACCTCTGCACCAATATAATTACAACACTGTCACAATACATAGGTAACAGATAACTGGATCAATGAACTTAGGTAACTATAATGGCAGCTTGACATATATCCATTGGACAGTGATGTTAGGTCATAGATTACCTGTGTTTTCCACGTTGCATACACCCAATACATTGATGAAAATCAAGAGAATTTTGGTATACATGTTTGTCATTGGTGGGGAGCTGAAGCAACTATGACATTGACGGCAAGGAGAATGAAAAATTTATAGTTTTAGATTGGAAAAACATCAATTTTTGCATGTGCCTCATGCCTTGCTTGTACATTTCCTTGCCATCGTCATACAACTATGACATGAAACTTCCTAATTTCACTTTTTAGGGTGGTTATTTACGCAATACAACATTCCTTTTTCTTTCTCTGACTTTACTCACAATCCTTTAGAATAGAATGAGATGGAATAAGACCAATAAAGTTTGAAACAGGCTTAAAAATGATTTGCTTTTTAAAGTGAGGTTTTCGCTGTAGCTGCCATCATGGTTGCTGGTCATGTTACACGGGATGATTTGCAACAACAATAATATTGTTAGTGCAACACAGTGTTGCAGTGTTGGAACAATGTTGTAACTATTCGAACAATGTTGCAACGCTTTGTTGAGCTAAAAATCATGGTTGCAATTCTTTTGAGTAACGTCTCCTTTGAATTCCCTATTGTGTATGGTGTGGGAAAAGTTTTAAGTTGGTCCAAAATTCTCAGTATTGTTTGTATGACATATAAAACTAACAAGTTTAAACTCATCACCAATAGATAAGCTTGGGTGTTGGTGCCTACAAAGTTGGTGGAGCCGGGCAGTGCTCTAGCATGAGGAGGAGGTATCCATGGCAACCCTGCAAGTGCCAATACTTACCTAGCCCATACCTCAAGAGGGAGGGAGGGATGGGAAAAAACTAAAGCACAAACTGGCATGCAAACAGCAAGCTATTATATAAGTCATGAGGTGCCCCTGCTAGAGGCATCGGGCCACCCCTACTATAGCTGGGGAAACAGCTGACCAGCATTGCTTCGAGGTTAACTTTGCCTAAATTACATTTAGCCACATAAAAAATTGATAATTCTTCAAATCGACAACTGTTGAATGTTTGTAAACCCCACAGGAGATGCTCTTAGCTCTTGCACAAGGTGTTGCCAATGCAACAGCAGCATTAGTTTTGAAGGCAAAGAACATTGCTAGTCAGTCTCCTGATACTAAGGCACAAAGCAAGATGATCACTGCTGCCAAGGAGACGGCCAGAACCACATCCCAGCTTGTGGCCTGCGTCAAAGTAGTGGTTCCATCAATAACTAGTCACATGTGCCAGGAACAAGTTGTGGAAGCCGCAAAACTAGTTGCTACTGCTGTTGATGACACTGAGAGTGCCTGCAAGGTGAGTGAGGTCCCAAGAGTGACCAACATATATCTTCTCCTAACATTATCAATTGTTGATCAAAAGAAAAGGTTATGAGAATTGATCAAATGATCACCTAAGGGAAAATTCTTTGGTCTTTTATCGAAATCTCTCATTTAGTGCTCTAAGGAAATGTTTGGAGATCAGTCCGTTTTGGTGATTTTTACAGGCATAGCTTAAGAACTATAATTTATGGTAGCAGTACTACCATTGTAAACAAGCTTTCTGGCTGCTATCATTCCAAAAGGCATCAATGACAACCAACACTTTCTTGATACTACTTTATTATTTTAGACTTGCCCACTGAGCAAAGTCTTGGTGAAAACCAAGAACTGTTTTGCCCCCAAAATGTGACTGCATTATGGAACATTTGATCAATCTTAGCCAGGCGTTGTATGTGAAGTCATGTATGTATCTTCTTCCACCATAGGAAGCAGCACCTGATGACTCAGACCTTCTGCCAGAGATGATGACTGCGGCACAAGTTGTACGAGATGCTCTGCATGCTCTGCTTGTTAAAGTGCGAGATGGTGGTAGGGATGCTCAGCAGGCTGGACAATATGATGCAGCATGTGATGATATTTTAGGAGCTACTGACAGACTGTTTAACAGCATGGGTAATGCAGGAGAGATGGTCAAGCAGGCCAAGATCTTGGCTCAGGTATAAGATTTGCCCGTATTTACGAATAAGCGCTTATTAAAGATTTTATGCCTCAAATGGGCCACTTATTTGAGGGTGGCATTTAGTTGAAGGTTAGATGTGACAAAGAATCGTTACTTTAAGGAATCGATTTTCAGTAACTAACAGTCTTTTGATTTTAGTTGCATTGAGGGTGGGGGGGTGGCACTTATTACAGGTGTAGGGGGCAGTGCAAATAACGTTTTTATCTCAAATGCGGCACTTACTCGAGGGCACGGCGCTTAGGCTTGGGTGACGCTTATTTGAGTAAATACAGTAATCTAACAGTAAAGATCATGCCACCATTTCCACTGGACAATGTTTTTATCACACCTTTTTGACCTGTTGTGCCCAATTTTGACAAATTTGGTATTTTGAAGGCAGAATTGTGGATTTAAATATTTTGTTGCTGCTCTTTTGAAATTGCATGGGTCCACCATCAAAACACATTGCATTTTCATTGGTTTTGTTTCATGATTATGAAACCCGTCTGAGTTCTCAAACATCTGCAAAAAACACACCAAACAAGACGTGAAAAACATTTCGTATGGCAACAGTAATGCAATCTTCATTGTAAAGAATATTTAACAATAGTTTTCTCATCTTCATGTACCCTGTTAGTGTGTGTCTCTTAGCTGCTTATAGTGTGTGTTCTTTTCTATGGACACCAGGCATCATCTTCACTGGTAACAGGAATAAAAGCAGAAGCAGAAACACAGGATGATTCAGATTCACAGAAGCGTCTTCTTGCAGCTGCAAAGGTGTTGGCCGATGCTACAGCAAAACTTGTCGAAGCAGCAAAGGTTAGTCAAGGCTGTGCTGTTAATAGAAATTGAAGGGAGTGCGATGCTCTGAAATAATTGTGACATTCAGGGTGCCCAGCATGTGATTTTTATGAAAACAGTAAGGTTTCCTAGCTATGCAAGAGCAAATGTAAGGCGCCAGGGGCTACTACTACAGCACAGCCCTCTTAGTTTGTTGTAATGATCCAGAGAAGATACCTCTTGTAAGGTTTTAACTTGCTTTAAACTCAAATTATCACCTACTCATGCAGGTCAGTTTTTTCTCTGAAATCTTTGGTTCTCATTATCATGTTACATTACAATCTATTTCTAACCCAGTCTATACCCATAAGGAGGGCCAATGGCTTGTTTTCGTGCACTATGCAAACATGAGAGTAAGGAAAATATACGAACATGAAATCTTAATAAAAGGGCTTTAATGATTGATTCCTAGATGACCCTGCGTATGTTCTTGTTCTGATTCTTGCATCTCACATTTAGACTAGCCCTAAGCTGCTGAGCAGAAATTGTTTGAAGAACCAGTTGGGAATACCACTGAGTAATGGTAATGATGACAGATGACAGACAAGTCACAATCCAATTAATTTGTAAGTTCTTTCCCTAGTGCACCCTCATAGCAATAGTCTATATACTGGTGTCTTGTTATTTTGCAGGGAGCTGCTAAAAACCCGAATGCCGCTGACCAACAACAAAAGTTAAAGCAGGCTGCAGAAGATTTAAGATCAGCAACTAATGCAGCAGCTAGTGATGCACTGAAGAAGAAGCTGGTCAAAAGACTTGAGGTTTTGAACCATGAATTTATTCAGTTGGCAACAAAATGAGTTGAGACACTTCACCCTAAACGGGATTTTCTACGTTTTACGGACTTCAAAGGGGGGAAATACAGCTTTTCCTCCCCTATCCCGTCCATGCAATTTGTGCCTCTGTTCGAGCTACCTATAGAAAACAACAAACATCCCAACTTTGAATGGAGGGGACTGGGGAGGGGTGTGGATTCTTTTGTTCTCTGAAGTTACTGTATTTGAGTAGAATGTCTCGACAGTTTTGTTGCCAATTGTTGATTATCCATTTTGTTTTGTTGCTTAATGTTTGTCAAGCAAGTCGAGCTCTGTGACAAAAATGTCCTGCCAATAAAATACCAGGTGACCTTTGGCGCAAAAACGTTACGAGAAACTTATCTGAGTCCTCAATGTCAAACAGGATGTTAAAAACATTGTCAAATGGCAAGAGTAATGTATTCTTCACTGTAAAGAATATTTAAATTTTTATGAAAACACCGCTTTTGCGTGAAAACATGATATCTTCACACATTCAAATAACATGTTTTTTGCAGACGTGAAAAGATCGCTATTGCTATGGTTACATTATAAATAGTGCCTTTCGCTGCCAAAAATATTAAAGTGAAATGGTATTTCATTGCTGTGTATATAATAAGTAAAATATTACATGGCCGCTCAGGGAAAATAATTGTTTCTTGTATTGAAAAATATTTCACTTATTCGTGAATATTTTTCATCACTCCAAAAAAGTGAGTTATATTAATCGTGCTTCTCTTTCATATTAGGCAGCCGCAAAGGAGGCCGCAGGCCAGGCTACACAGCTGGTTGCCGCAGCTCGCATGGCAGGTCCTTCTAATCGGAATCAAACTTCTCAGCAGCAGTTGAACGATCAGTGCAAAGTAAGTGATTCTGCGAAATTCTGTTACAATCACTGTAGGGCTATCGCTAAGGACTGGGGTGATTTCCTTGCAGAAACAAGGTAAAATAAAGTAAATAATGATTTGGAGGTAGCAAATCCACAAAGTAGTTCTTCGTCTACCTGATTCCTCGTCAAATTGGCATTTGGAAATGTTGGTTTTTGAGGAGAGGGAAAAAAACGGAGAACACAGAGGAAAACCTCTCAGAGCAAAGGAGAGAACCAACAACAAACTCTACCCACATATGACATTGACGCCGGTATTTGAACCCTAGGCCACATTGGTGGGAGGCGAGTGCTCTCACCATGGCGTCATCTCTTGCTACCCAACAACAGGAAAACAGATCCATCAGATTTCCTAGCTGTTCAGTTCCTGCCCGCTAATTGCATTATAACAAACAACTTGAAATCTTAGTATTCTTAGCCGTTTTGACCACCTTACCCTTTTAGTCTAGTGATAACTTTTGGCTAGGACAACACAATAATGAGCTTTGCTTACAACAGATAAATTGCCTTTGGAATTTGTTCATTAGGAAGGCTTTGACTGTATTTCTTACTTAACGGTTTCTTCTTTTCAGCCTGTTGAGGAAAATGTAAACCATCTCGTTGAAGCTCTAAGAGAAACTACACGAAATCCTGATATGGCTGCACCTCAGCTTGGGCTGATCAGTGCATCAAAGGAGTTTATTCAGGTAGCTACAAAGTAACTTGGCCGTTACAGTTAGTGCAAAATTCAGGTAGCTATGGAAGAAAATAGAATTTCACCTCTCAAAAGCTATGAAGTGGGATTTCACGTCAGAAATCCAACAGTCTTAAGTAGTAGGACAAATTTTGAGTGCAGTTTTATAAGGACTATTTGTTACGTTCCTTATTGTTACGGTATTTCACAGAATTGGTGAGACTGCGGACAAATAAGTGAGAGTGTTGTTATTTAGTACTTTTTAAAACATGTCATGATTTTCTATGCTTTTCAATACACGTTTCAAAATAAAACGCTATAATACAGAAAGAAAAAGAAGAATGGAGAGAAAAGTAGGAGCCTTCACTTTGAGAGATGCGTATTTCTAGGTCTAGGTGTAATATTTGTCATGCTATTTTTTTATTTAGCCAACAACTAAGCTGGTTGCCAATTCCAAAGCAGCTCTTCCAACAATCGGTGATCCAATTACTGCCACACAGCTGGCAAACTTTGCCAAATCAACTGCAACTTCTCTAGGAGAGCTACGTGAAGCAGCAGATAAGGTGATGATGAGATTAATCCTTCGTTTTAGTGGCACCATATTGAAGAAGTGTTCCAATTTTAGTTTTGTTTGATAGATTAGTTACTGCAGATGACAAGGCAAGGACAATGTAAGATAAAGAGGAGAAATTAAACAGTGCAAACGGTACGGGTTTTGGGGGACACCAGAGTTTGTGTCTGTTGAACTGTTTAACCTAAGGTCTTGGAAAACTTAATTCATGGAAAGTCATGGAATTTGAAGAGCTTAAAAGAGTACCACCCTGTCATTCAGTCAATTAGTGAGTTTATTCTGGTCAGTCACTTAATCAATCACTGGGGTAGCCAGTAAGTAAGTCAACCAATTATCCAGTCATTCAGGTAATCAGTCCATTGGTCAGTCGGGCAGCCAGTCCCATTTAGACACTTGGTCACTCAGTCAATCAGTTGATCAGCCAGTCAGTCAGTCAGGGAACCAGTCAGTCAATAGGCATCTCAGTTAGTCAATCAGTTGGTTAGTCAGTCACTCTGCCAGTCAGTCAGTTGGTCAGTCAGTCAGCCAATCAGTTGGTCTGTTAGCCAGACAGACATGCTGTCATTTTGGGTAAAAACCCATATTAATTCATATTCTTTTTTTCTGACAAAGGTACAGGTTATAATTTTTCCAAGAGCAAAATTTACTATTGAAATGGAATATTTACGCATTAATTCAAGGCGACATGGTAGTCACGTTTTTTTTTCGTTTGTTTTGGAAATTTTGTCAGGCTGCTGAGGTGTGTGGAACACTGGAGATTGACAGTGCTCTGGACACTGTTGGCGCTCTAGGCCGTGATCTCGAGGCATATGAGAAGAGTATAGAGGAAGGCAATTTACTTCCATTGCCTGGAGACACTGTAAGTATCCACAGGGAACACTAATTTCTTTTCTTCATTATTATAATACAGGCAGTTCTATTAAGAGACACTTCGTAGGGATTAGACTGTTTTGCCGTCAGAATTATCAGAACTTTGTCACGTGTGAATTCAAGTACCATTATGAATGCAGGGATTCTCAGATGACTCTGAAATCTACAATCACTAACGGATTCAACTTTCAAATAATAAATTCATTAATGGAATCTTGAGGAGTATACTTGACCTGGCTTTACTGTAATTTGTAATGTATGAGAACCACGAAAATAATTGTCTGCCATTGGTCTTTGCCCATTTTGTAGGCGGAGTCGTGTGGTCTTGAGCTCGGTGCTACATCAAAGTCTGTTGGATCATCAATGGCACAGTTGTTAACAGCTGCTTCACAGGTAAGTCAAAAGACTTGGTATCCATCGTACGTTGAGTTTAGTTTTCTTAAACCTAGACAATTTGTTATCAACGATCGCGGTCACCGCGAGGTTGCATCATTCTCATTAATTGTGAGGTATCTCAGTAATTGGTGATAGCACCAATATCAACAAGGTGCCCAAGCAGAGATCGTAGAGTTGAGTACTACAATCAAGAGAGATAGTAAACCTTTTTGAAGGGGCTAAGGAACGCCATTTGGTATCTTTTTAAATGCTAATAGTTTTTTTGTACTACTTGAATTCCCCCCAAAATGGTCAAATGCGGGGTAGGGGAGTGATAGACAGGTAGTCTCCCAGAAGTTTTTAGCATTATAAGCAGGGCGCAGATAACCATTTGTAAGTGGTAAACCAAAACCGAGAGAAATGGGACTGTCAGACAAATTGGAAAAGAACTTCCCTAAACTATGAATTCATGCATAATAACATTGTTTTCAAAGATGTTCATGGAAGAAGTTCTAACGTTTCTTTATTAGCTGAACAACATGCCCTTCTCGAAAATGAATGGCTGTTTTAAAAAGGCAAAAATTACTCTTATGTTTACACGCAGGGTAATGAAAGCCACACAGGTATAGCAGCAAGAGACACAGCCAGTGCACTGCGAGTACTGACAGCAGCTGCGAGAGGAGTTGCAGCAACATCAGATGACAAAGCATTGCAAATGAATCTGATAAAGGCAACTCAGGCTGTTGTTGCTGAGTCAGCAAAATTAATCCAGGAAGCAAAGAATGCGATGGCTAATCCTGGTGACCCCAACAACCAGCCTAAGCTTGCTCAGGTAAGGATACTTTCCTTTATATTTCTTTTGATAATAAACACACAGGAATACTCTATTTAGAACAGTATTAACAACAAGAGAGGGGATTGGCTACCTGTTAAAACTAAAGGTTAATTTAAACAGGCAGGCAGATTTACAAATAGTGTTGCTATATTAGGCTTTTTTCCTCGTGACTTACCTGTGCCCAGGATCGAACGCAGAATTGTGACCACATCATATGTAACTTGTTGTGCGAGCAGCCCCTTGGGATTGTCAAGTGAGTGAGCAAATCATTTAAAGCGAGGGGAAAAAAGGGTCCAGCCGAGGGCAAATGCACGCGTCAGTTCGACTGCTCACATTCCATAATATGTGACTGAGTTGTTGGTCTTTCCTTTTTTAGATTCATATTTGTCAGAAGTATTGTATTCCAGTGATTTTTTCAAGGATGCTTTATAATATCTGTTGTATAGATGTTCGATCCAAGACGTGTCTCATTCAAAAGAAAAAGTTTCAGTTGGTTATCTTTAGCGACGCAAAGACAAGCGTCAGTAAAATAATGCTTATTTTACCCTGAAAACAGCCTAGACAAGTTTAAACCATCTGCACGCACAAACATAAGGGCTTTTTGTGCTTTGCTTGGTTTGTTCTAATGTGTATGGTTAGTAAGATCATTTATCTCATGATTTTTAACTTTACTCAAACCACTTGATTTTATCCTGCTTTCAGCATCTAGCAAAGGTGAAAAAATGCAATTAACAGCCTGTGGGCGTATCTTTTTCGTTTTACAGGCAGCTAAAGATGTATCTCAGGCACTGAACAACTGTGTTAACTACCTGCCTGGTCAGAGGGATGTTGATGAAGCCATAAAAGCTGTTGTAACCTCCAGTCAGAGTTTAGCTATTGAAGATGTAAGTTAAAAACAACAACATTTGAACTTCTTCTCTCTTGCGCTCGATTATGTTCTAACTTTTGAGTCCATGTATGAAATCTGACAGCATGACCATGTTAATGACACGTTTTCATTAGTAATTTTGTACAGTAGTATTTGTTTTCCCATTTTATGGGATGAATCAGCTGTAAGCGAAAATGAAACGTGATGGTTAAATGTCATCATGGTAGCCTAATCTAATTTTTCTTCAAAAAATAGAAAACGTATTGGATAACATTTATCACCATATAGTGCAGTAAAGTGGTAGATGCATAGTTAGACAAGAAAAAAGTAAGCTTGCATCACATTCACAACAAAATGTCTTTGTAACAGCACCATACTCATCGGGGAGCAACGGTGGCACATTGGAGAGAGCACTTCCCTACTACCAATGTAGCCTGGGTTCAAATCCCAGTGTCAAAGCCATATGTGGGTTGAGTTTGTTGTTGGTTCTCTCCCTTGCTCTGAGAGGTTTTTTTCCGGGTACTCTGGTTTTTCCCTCTCTTCAAAAACCAATGCTTCCAAATTCCAATTTGATCTGGAACGCACGAACACGTTTAAACGAGTTCTTAAGAGCTCTTAAGTGCCTTATGGGTAAATATATTGCAATTTACACTTTTTGTTTGGGTCTTGCAGTTTCCCCCTACATCAGAGGGGTACCAGGTGGTTCAAGAGAGGCTAAGCATGACAGGAGCAGCCCTGAATGCTGCAGCCAGTGACATGGTGACAGCTTCACGAGGAACATCCAATCAACTGGCTGTTTCAACAAAGAAGTTTTCACTTTCTTATCAAGATCTCTTGAATAGTGGACTGAAGTTAGCCGGCCAAGCAAAGGTAACAATTTGAAGTTGATTTATCATGGGAGTGTTAAGGTTTGGCGTGATCAATTTAGGTTTCTGGGAAACAGCCCACCTACCCCTCCCCTAAGCCAACATTTTGCTTTGAGTGAGCTGTAGGTGATAATGTTGGCTTAGGGGAGGGGTAGGAGGGTAGTTTCCCATAAACCTAAATAGATCTGGCCACGCCTTACAGATCAGTGAGATATTAACCTGTATTTTTTTGTTCTATGTTGTTAGGATGAGGCAGCAAAAGATTCTCTTGTGCGGAACTTAAAAAACACATCCACAGCATCAAGTAAACTTCTTCTGGCTGCCAAGTCTTTAGTTTCCGATCCAAATGCACCAAATGCAAAGAACTCTTTGGCTAATGCTGCACGGTCAGTAGTTTTTCCCAACTTTAAGGAATACCAGGGACGTCATTGTACTATCATACTTATATGTTTCTCTTGTGGTCTCTGAAGTGTAAGAAATTGTTCAGTCATTGGTAGCAACGTTTCTTTGCCAACCATAGCTTATCCCTCAGCACATTTCACGTTGTATGTAAAGACCTGCAAATACTTGTTCCTAGACCACTGAAAGCCTCCAAGTAATCCGTTTATGAACAGTGAATAACAGCTGGTCCATATTTGTCTTACAGAGCTGTGACAGACAGTATCAATATGCTGCTTAATGCATGTATGTCAGCCGCACCTGGGCAGAAGGAATGTGACAACGCTCTTAGAAATATACAGGTAAGGTTTGCCATAGATGATCCTTTAGCCTTCTGTTGATACTGCACTTTAAAACAAAATCTTTTTTTTTGAGTATGATTTAATCACTTTCTCTTTCATCATGTTTTTGCGTTTTTATTGTTGTTTTTTTGTTACTGTGACAGACGTAATCCAAACTCCCAGAAATCAAGCATTGTGGGGGCTGGCATGTTTGCTCAGAATCTGTTTGAAAAAATCATAAAATGAAACTTTTGTAGCAATACTATTGTATTTTACCATTTGTAGTTGAGTATTTTTCAACACAACATTTTGGAGTTTGAGCTTCATTATACTTCACTACTCTCGGGACTGAAATGGTTAATCCTTTTTTTTTTGTAGGCTGTGAGTAACATTCTAGACAATCCAGTTGAACCTGTCAACAGCGATACCTTTTTTGACTGCTTGGATAAAGTCACCCACAGATCTCAAGTAAGCATGAATCAGTTACGCTGTTACTCAGATGTGCTCAATTCAGTTTTCTTAAAGTTTTTCGTAGGCTGAGGGCTAGGGTGTGGGATTTATTGGGGATCAACATCGTCTCTTCAGAAAAGATTAGCTGGTATTTTCTTGGATAGTAGGTGGCACATTTTGCCGGCTTCCAGTTCTTGTAGGAAACCCATTTAACTTGTGGATAGGTTTGTACGTTCTTTGGGTTTTGTTACGTGATGGGTATAACATTCAACTCTGTGAACACACCCTTCTCGTAGATGGACACAGAAATGGTTCCTGCCTTTCTGTAGGGCTGTTCTTCGACTCTCTATGAGGCAAACCCCTGTCAGAGATGGACACTGAGTAGCGGTCCCAGTGGTGTTCGTGTAAGAAAAAGTAAAGTGTAATGAAATATTGGACCAGTGTCCACAATGAAAGGCTCGCTTAACAAAGAAGGCTAATTTATTTCAATTGACCTAGTGTACTGCTGTTGTCAACCAAACAAGGAGTCGCAGCTTCTGACCAAAGATCACAAAACATAGGTTTGTGATTCCCAAGCCTGTAGTTGACATGATATTATATCTCCTTAGGCGAAATCTTAGTTCCAGACCCTGATTAAATTTGCTTTATTGTAGGATCTAACAGAGGCCATGCCCAAGATTTCTAACAGTATCAAGTCTGGCGATTTTGGCGAGTTTGACAATGGAGTGAAAGATGCTTCTGTAGCAGTCTGTGCATTAACTGAGTCTGCTGCACAGGTGAGTTGTCACCGATACCAAAACTCTGCTTTTCTATGAATTTCGTCCTATTTTTTACTTTTCTTTCTCTGGCAACAAAATATTTTCATTTTTGCACCAATTTCATCCCTCCGTTTCAGTGTACCTCACCGTAGGGGCAAAACGTGTCTTGAGAAAACAAAAGTCCTTCCTGGGTTGGTGATATTGCAAGTTTTAATTGCACTGCAAACACAGGGACAGGAATCCGCTAGTGTCTATTTTGGAATGTGGGGAGAACGTAAGATTATTATCGTATTTAGGCCAGATGTTTCGGTGTAGGGGCGTGGATAGTTTTATAAAATCCCTTCTTTCTGAAATGGCCTTTCGTTTTTCAGGCAGCATATCTGGTAGCCGTTGCCGATCCGTCAAGTGTTGCAGGTAGACCAGGTCTTATAGATCAGGCTCAGTTCATAAACTCAAAAGACGAAATCCTGGATGCTTGCCAGAATCTGCTAAACCCAGAAGCTAGTCAGCAACAGGTGAGCTTCACTGCAGCAGCCACATTTAGGCGCGATTCATGAACTGCTGTTCACGAAGAAATAACTAGAACTATTAGAAGGGGTTAAAGATAGGATTGTTGGTACTATACATGAAAACACGCATGGAGTATCCACAAAAAAGCAGTGTCTAACAGAGTGGTGGCTCCTGATAACAGCAGGTTAAACAACACAGCAATACGCATCATCGAGTTAGAGTGTGTTTTTTGCTAATGCGTCTACAGTATACATATAAAACGAGTGAAGACAAAGTGCCTTTCGGACTTCCAATAACCCCATCTTATGTTTATTTAAGTGAAGATGTAAAAACTTATTCTCGAGTGCCGTTAAACAAAACCAAAAAGAAGGATGATGGAGGATCAGCCGGTATAAACGTTGATATGGTGCTGTCAATTTTTCGGCTCAGCCCATATTGAAATACTACATAATGTTGACACAATTTTGAATTATGTCAAACTGACAGTAACCGCACCCCACATCTATGTATGTGAAGTACTCTGAGCTTATTCTCAACCATTTTCCGGGAAGCAAACGATTGACATAATAAAACATCATGGCCGAACGGCATTGGAACTCCATGACGATAGAAAAACACAATAAATTTATTTTAATATTATGGAGCGTCAGCCTCTACACTAAAATGTGGTATTCTTAGTTTCTCAATATCCCCACCCTACATCTTTGCCAGTAAACTACTCCAGACATCGGAGTCCTGACGTTTCTTGCACAGACACAGGACACTTGAGTTAAAAAGCAAACAAGAAACAATAAACTTCACTTTCTACGTGTGAGTACGTGATGTAATAGTGTACTACTGTTAGTTCGTAAGGTTTGCTGAGGTTTATATATTACAACCTTGTAGCTCCCGTATGAATTGCCCCTTTCATTCTTAGAGTCGAACATGGAGACAAAAGTTAGAAAAAAGTGATTTTTTTTATGCTTTGATGAGAACAATGGATCAAAAGCTCTTTTACAAGATGATTTTCCTATTTTTCTTGGGTTGTTCAATATTGGTGTTAAACGTTTTTGGTTGTGGTTGGATTAACCGTCAACTTGTGCTGATAGAATGGAATCTTCCTTTTCTTGGTAGGTCCTAGGAGCAGCTACTGCTGTTGCTAAACACACATCAGCTCTTTGCAACGCCTGTAAAGCAGCATCCGCTAAAACAAGTAACCCTGCAGCAAAGAGACAGTTTGTACAAGCAGCCAAGGATGTTGCTAATAACACTGCTAGTTTAGTCAAAAACATCAAGGTTTGTATTTCATCGATTGGCTGGGCATTTAAGAGACTGATGTCTTTACTCTGGCCCCAGTCGCTCAAAAGGTGGATAGCGCTATCCACTGGATAAATCTATATGCAGTGGTAGCGGAATTGGTTTCCCTGATTCTTATCCGCTGGATACGGATTTAGTCAGTGGATAGCTCTATCCAACGCGGGGCCTGAATGCTATTTTAACGTGAATAATTTGAATGCTGTATCCCTTGTCAGTAGCTACTTTTCGATGTGACTGTTTCTAGTCGAGTGCGACTCGAGTACAACTTTGAAATTTAAATGATTGGAACCGGTTTATAACTTCCCAAGCTTTTACTGAAACTGAAACGTCTTAATAGAGGGACTGGGGTGACAAGCGATTATCTTCAGTAAAAGTAACGATCTTAGTCGGAAAAACTTGTGTTAAACGGTCAGCCTGTATTAAGCAGTCAATTAGCCATTTCCTAACGGTGACAGCTATGAAATGCAGGTTTGACTGTCTTTTGATTTCTTATCATTGCAGGTTCTGGCAGGTGACATGACTGAGGCTAATCGTGAGGCATGTGCTGAGGCCACAAAGCCTCTTATAAACAGCGTGGAGAGTCTAACAGCTTATGCGCTGTCACCAGAGTTTGCTCCTCTCCCGGCTAAAATAAGCGAAGAGGTTGGTGCTGGTATCTGTTCAATACCGGTGAAAGCACTGTGAAGCCACCGTAAAGTAATGCGCAATTTGAATAGGCTTAAAACCGTGAAGTCTTGTTTTTGTACTTTATGCATTTGGCAAACACATTACAAAAGAACTGTCAAGCATTAAAAAGTCACATTTTGTGGAAAAAGCAGCTGATTTTAATGTACATTTTCGCCCGGTTATTGGACGGATTTGTGCATGGTAATGTGAGTAATGCTTGAAGAGCGGCCATTACAACTCTATCCCCGAGAAAAGCAGCTGGTAAAGCAGTTTCACAATTCGTGGATTTTACATCTTCGTTTTAGATCCCAAACGTCATTTACACAGGCCTCGTACAGAGTCTTGGATTCTTGAAAAAGTCTTAAAATTTGCAAGCCAGTTTTCCAGCCTGGTAAAAGTCTGGAAAATGAAGATAAACTCTGGTAAATGGTTAACAGTTTGGAGTGTTTGTTTTCTTTCTCAAAACTGCATTGCAATTTGTTACTTTACATTTGCATGTCATCATGGGAAAACCTTGATTCTTTTGTTTTTCCTTTTTTCTTTCTACCACTTTATTGGTAACGCCCTGTCTGGAAAAGAAAGTACTGTGTTAGAAAAAGGCCGGTGAAAGTCTTAAGTTTTGAATCTTAAAATCTTTACGAACCCTGTTTACAGTCCTGTAGCAAACAGTTATTTTACTTTATACAGGCTCGTTCAGCTCAAGTCCCTCTGATTATGGCAGGCAAGTCCATGGCTACTTCCAGTACAAACTACTTCAATGTCGCAAAAGCACTTGCTGTCAATTCTAAAGATCAGTCTGGTTGGCAGCAACTTGCTCAACAGGCCAAGGCTGTGTCAGATGCCATGAGAAGGCTTATTACTGCTATTAAGTAAGTGGTCCCGTAGCAAGTAAGACAGACCTTTAGATTCTAAGACGAGGACGACTACGAGTTCGAGATTTTGGAGGGTTTAGAGCTTTAAATGAAAGGAATTTAGAAAGAAATTGTTTGTTTTGTTGATCTCTCTTTGGTCAAGTGAAATTAGTTTTTAAAGACCATTCTTATGACGAGAGGGACTGCGAGTTAAAATGTTATGTCTATTTTTGCAGAGACAATGCCCCAGGTCAACGAGAATGCGATGAAGCCCTTCAACAAATAAGCCAGACAATAAATCAGTTGGATCAAGCATCACTAGCTGCCATCAGTCAACAGCTAGAACCAAGACCTGAAAATTCACTACAGGTGATATTTCTTGAAAGTCTGCCTTGACATTGAGGTTGATTTGGCTTTACTGCTGATTTGTGGAATTAGCGAAAAAGCATGTAATTGTTTGTGTGCAAAACCAAGCAAAACGCCCATCAGATTACTAGCCTACAGAATAGCTATTTTTTTCGCGTTTTTCAGGCGTGCAAAACACGAAGAGGGCATCCTTTGCCCTGTCGCGCGTGTCTCACGCGTGTCTCGGGCTCCCCACTCGCAGCATGAAATGCTTCCCTTCGCTGGCCTAAAAAACGTGAAAAAATGACACCAGTTTTGCAGTCTATCATATTACAGATTACTGATTCAAATCCCTTTGTTCGTTGGTTAAAAAAAAGGAAACAAATCGCTTGTTCAGGCAAAAAGGAAGCTGCTTACCCTTCAGAATGACGTTTAACATGTGTGATGCCCAACAGGAATACACGTTCGTTTTTGACGGAAAAGAGCGACGAAGCTTTGGGAGGGAAAGTTTAACTTTGTGGATGTGTTTTGTCATCAGGGATTCCAAGAGCAAATGATGCAGAATCTGAGTCAAATGACAGATGTTATCGATCCGTTAGCTACAGCAGCTAAATCTGAACCAGAGAACATTGGTCACAGGGTATGTAAATTAAACGAAAGTTATTTTACAGAATAAATGTGCAATGTTATGCGATTTATAGGTATGAGAATGTTTTTTTTAAGAGCCTGGCAAAACAAAGAAACACAATTGAGTCGAACCTATGAATGAAGATCTTAAATGGGTTAGTCATCGGCCTACTCTGTAGGCGTGTCTCTAAAACAAAGGACCTAAACACCTAGAAAACGGTAAGAGCTGAGACAACGGATTATAAAAACTCGGACCTCAATATACTTGTGTTGTTGTAATGAGATGCTGTTTCGACGCCCTTTTGTCAAGGTCTTAGGTCTAAGCTTTCAATACCTTACTCTGTGCCGCGCAATTCCTCGAACATTCTTTTCTAGTTGTTTTACTGGAACTTCATATATAACTCTTTTTGGCGTATTCCTTTAAGCTAATCATATGATCAAGCGACCGCGGAAGGATTAGCTCAGTCGGTAGAGCGCTTGACTGTAGAGCGAGATGTTGCGGGTTCGATTCCCGGGGCCGGACCAATACACGGGGTCTTAAAGTAACGAACGCTAGACCTTTGCGAGGCTCGGATACCACGTAAAATGGCAGTCTCCTCTCCATTAGGAAACATGAAAACAGCGTCCCCTGTTAAGGTTGATTTCCACTGACGCGTTTTTGACTACGTACATAAATTTTAACCATGGGTAAATAAAATAGAGGTAAGGTAAAAAGTGCTGAACGTAAACGAGAAGTTGAGCGAGTTTCGACTTTTATGCTTACGAGTAACCTTTCATGCATTACCTCTATTTATTTGCGAACGTAAATTTTACGCACTTACGTACGCAAAAATCACGCGACAGTGGAAATCAAGCCTTAGTGAATACATTGACACTCAAATAAAGTGCGTTTCTTTTCTATCTTTCGATATATTACAGGTTGCACAGGTGTCGAGTTTCTTAGCTCCGTTAGCTGATCTAGCAGTGGGTGCCGCATCGCGCATGGCAGATGTTCAGCGTAAGGTGGACTTGTTAGATCAGGCCAAGACTGTCGCTGAGTCAGCTGCTCAGCTCATGTACGCTACTAAAGAAGGTGGTGGAAACCCTAAGGTGAATTGAAAACTCTTCATTATGTTTGCAAATTGCTCCTAAATTGCCAATTCGGCAACAGATAATTCATACCTGCAGATAGCAATGTGACACACCTAGCACCCGAACAGCCAGTAGTAGTCTTCCCCTCTTAAACCTTGACGTCCACGCCCTACCTAAGCATTTCATCAAAGAGGCTATGTCACGCTATTTGATCTCTTTTTAAAAATAAACAAGAACTTTTTTCTCCTCAATTGATCCAGTTTTGTTATCCAAGAATATATTTAGGCACTAAAACTCTTTCCTGTAGTCTATTAGAATAGTCATCTATTGGAACTTGAAAAGGGTTTGGCCAACTTTTTCACAATTAATGCTGTGTGGTCGAGACAGCAGCAAAAATGTAGAAATTTTCAAAAATAATGCGACTTTTTTTAATTTTAACAAACATGTTTCGACGGTACATCCGTCATCGTCAGTGTGACGGTTACAGTTTAAAGCGATAAAACGTGCCTGTTACAATTTATACGTCACTTTGCTTTGGAAAACAATACGCTATGTAATTGTTAAAGTTAACGGAGTTAATGCGCGCACGCATCTATAGAGAATGCTGTGTCTGCCAAAAGTCGCCAAAAAAATTATTGTGGTTATTGCTCCCTGGTAAAATTTTCTTGGTATCTTCGTCATAACTTTACAGGAACATTTTGTTTATGGTTAAAGGCATCAAGTAATGATGTAAGCACAGAGTTGACCTGAAACAGCAATATCCCCTTGACATGGCCCCTTTAAGAATAGCCCCTCTATAGCCAAGTAACTTTTATTTGAGTGTAAAAGAATGAATGAGTGAGTTTAAAAATAAACAATGGTGCTGCGTCGGTTGGTGGGGTAAAACACAAGAATTTGGTTTCATCAGCTAAGTTGACAAAGTAAATTTACCAATGATTCATAAGCTGACTCTTCGAGTGCCATCCCTTCGTCAGGCGAATACGCTTCATTTTGAATACGATTGTGTGAGCACACCATAGTTAATAGTTTCTGGGCAACTTTTGCATAACAGCTCCATCAAACGTCCAGTGTCAGTCCGAGGTTCTTAAGTGGTCAGTCTGTTTCTTTCCTACAAGTTCTTAACCAAAGCAAATCTGGTATTCTCTTCGTAAGTGCCAAATAAGATGTGCGGAGAACATTGCAGGAAATGTGCGCGTTGATTTAAGGTTTCAAGGTTAAATGAAATAATTTGAGTTAACATTAATCACCTTTAATGATGTTACAGAGTGTTCACAGTCATCCGGATATTGATGAGGCCGCCCAGGGAATGAAAGAAGCTGTAAAGGATCTTGGACAGACGTTGGAAGAGGCAGCCAGCGAATCCGGCGTGGTTTCTGGTTTGATTGACAGTATTGGAAAAGCAGTGGCTGAGGTGGGTTAACTTATGTATCACGAGATGAAGTTGACCGGACTGCTAGCAGTCCCTCGGGATTATCGCGTGTGCGAGCATGTTACGAGCGAGCGAGGTATACGCGCGAGTCCCTTTTTGACTGGTTTGCTCTCTCGAGTCCTACCAAGTTTCGACTGACAGACTGAAAAGGGACTCCTCGCAGTTAAGTGATAACCCGATAGTTATTTATGGGTTGTGATTCAGATCTAGACAAAGCTGTCTAAGTTATATTTTCATTTCCAGGATTATGACTTCACTTTACTAGCATTATTAATTGAAAGCGCATGGATGACTAAAGAAAGAAACCGTTAAACGGAACAGTTTGGACAGTCAATTAAAACCTAACCTTCCCTGTTAACACTGTCAGTTTTCTCCTTTTGGCGTGTTTTGTCAGTGTTGAGAAGTGATGAACAATATCCTCTCTCCCCAATTAAGGGTTTTTTTCTCGCGTTATGTCATTGAATCATGTTGGACTACCTCGAAATTACATTAACCCTTTAATCCCCAATATCCACATACAAATTCTCCAAACTGATCTTTATACATTTTCTTAAAGGATTAGTTGTGAGAATTTGACAAAAGATCAAAGCATATTCCCTTTGGTGATCATTTTATTTATCCTCATAACCTTTACTCTTGATGATCTGCTGATGTTGTTAGGAGAAAATTGATGTTGGTCACTCTTGGGACTTAATGTGTTAAAACTTGCTTTCTCTTTATCATAGAATAGGCAAGTGTCTGACCAGAATCTTTCTGTGGGATTTGTAAAAGGTCTTGCTTTGTTTGTAGATCAGTCAGCCCCTGAGTGATGACCGTGCGGAGAGTGCTGATGTTATTGATGAACCGTTTGTGAATTACCAAGAGAGAATGACTCGGAGCATGAAGGAACTGACCAGGAGGGGACACGATATGGTGAGATTTCTCAGATCAAAATGAGAAATAATCTTATCGTTTTAGTCTTTAGTCTGTATTGCTGTCTACTTTTCATTATCTCACGAGAGATGTTGTTTTTAAAATTTGTTTTCTTGTTATTTGTTATATTTGGTCCAACTGTGCATATTTCCAGCTTTAGAGCCTTCTACAGTTCAGTGGCAGAGAATTGTAAACTGGCAAATCATTGACCGACGTGACACTTATTTTGTTATCAGATATCGCACAGTTTACACGAAAAAGATTTAGCCGAAGTTTTCCCTCAGTTGTCCTTTTACGAAAGTTTGCTCGTTATCATGGCGCGACATCGACGTCGAAACGTCGTCATTTCTTCATTTTGCTCAAAAAACTACATTAAAAGTCGCTGGGCTGTAACCAGAAATACGTTATGGGTGAAGAAACCAATATGAAAAACCAGTAGGTTTAGCAGGCTATGCCTTTAGCTCTTTAGGCTGGCTGAATACATTGTTGTAGGGAAATAAATAATCCCTAGTAGGCTTTAAGAACTGTCAAGCACAATCTACAGCGGATGATGTGGGGGAGCCGTGACATAAGGCAACTGTGCCAACATCATGTTTACTGGGTTTGTGTTTTAGGTCGGTAAATCAACAACTGATCCAACCAAACTTGGTCCGCTGGGAAAAGACATCAGTAAACTTTACAATGATATTGCAAAGGACACTAAAGGTGCTGTCAAGACAGTTGGCAACCCAGAGGTATGCGCTGTATAGTAGCACTTATTACAAACCCACAGGACGTAACTAGCAGTGAATCAACGCGAATCCGTTAACAAACGTAACGACAATTGTGTTTATTATACGTTGTACTCACTATCTTTCTTTTCATTGGCTAAAAGCCTATAGCTAATTTCTGAAATCAGCGCAACCTACAGATTAGTTAGTTATCGGCTAGCAGATAACTGTGTAATCTGTAGGTTGCGCGCGCAATGCATGATTTCCAATAACAATATCAATTCAGGTTCCTTGCGACGGTGTGTTTGTCGTCATTTTCTTCAAAGCAATGTATAATATAACAATTATAAGATTCGGTTTTTGTAATATCCTAAATAATTACGGTCTTGGTAAGTGTTATCAGCCTCGACCTTCGGCTCGGCTGATATAAACACTTTCCTCGACGTTGATTATTCCAGATATCACAAAACCTCATCCAATAACTGTTTATCATTAGTGTACCGTAGCTGTAATGCTTAAATGTGCATGGCGGCGTTTACAAACAGACGGGCTTGTCCTAAGGTACCGCCTTGAGACCTGTAGATGGACAAGGTGAACATATTAAATACCTATTTCCGATATCGTGCGTGGAAGAAGTTTTTTTTCCATGATTTGCGTGGGGTTTCTAATAATAAGCTACTCACGGGTTTTCCATCTTCTCTGAAATGAATGGTGGGTAACGTGTTGGGGAATTATGTTGTTTCAGATTGCGCATCGTATTCGCACTGGTGTACAAGGTTTGGGCGAGGCGTGCATCAGCTTGATTCAGAGTGGAGGAGCTGTGCAGAGCAGTCCCAAGGATCCCTTCTCTAAACGAGAACTCGCTGAAAACTGCCGACATATGGCAGAAAAGGTAACTTGTGACAGTTGTTAATGACAAAAAAAGGGTTCAGCGAAGAGTTTTACGGAGCAAACTTCTTCCTCAATCGAGTGAACGAGCTTATCGGTTACGTGATCGCTCATCGCGTGTCCATTGTGAAGCTCCCTATACAACATGAGCAGACAACGTCGAATTATTTTGCTGTGCAAAACTCTTTACTTTGAAAAGAGAAGCGTACATTGTTGCGTTCCTTGTTGTAGAGTTTTATTTAAGACAAACCTCCGCGAAAGTGAATGATCGTGTTGACGGTTTTCGTCATATTGTGCTCGGAAATATGTAAGTATCATTTGGTTTTCTTGTTTCGATTGACTGAAAGGCAAAAAGTGCAAGAGAGTCAGTTTCTCGTTGTGGCACAGAACCCATGAAACTTGATGGCGACACTTAATCAAAACTCGCTCACTACAAGAGGTCACAAGAATGTCACTCTGTTTTTGTACAACGCGAAATAGAAATGTCAGCACGAATTTTAAAGGGGCTGTGTCACGGAGTGCAGTTCATTTTGTTTAATTTTGCCAATTACTCGCCCTCAATCGCTATGGAACTTAAAGTAAGCAATGAAATTACACTTAAATGACAAAATCAGAGATCCTAGACAAACAAATATGTCTCCTGAGCATTATTTTTGAAGTTGCAAGCAGCAGGGATCAACTTTGAAAAACTGTTAGGCTGAACAGTTTTATTGAAATCCTAATTTCAATCCGTTTCAATCTTCTTCAGTTTTGCCGATCCGTGACATCTGTTGTTTCTGTTATGTTATTTTAACCTTCCTTTAAAGTTTTAAGCGGTTATTTTTATGTATCTCTTAATGTAACAGGCATTTTGTAATTTCCTAATTTGGCTGAATTTCGTGACACAGCTCCTTTAAGAGGCATATTGAGTGCTGGTCACTTTGGTCAACAACTTCCATGCAACTTCAGGTGACTTGTGAAGACGAGGGACCATGGATACATCAAGTTAATGGCTATTTTATTTCATATTTTATCATTTTGCTTCTCAGGTTTCTCATCTCCTCGCGGCTCTCCAACAAGGCTCACGTGGAACCCAGGCTTGCATCAACGCAGCGAGCGCGGTACAAGGAATAGTAGGGGACCTGGACACTACTGTGATGTTTGCGGCAACTGGTACGCTGCATCCAGAGACAGAAGGCGACACATTTGGAGATCACAGGTTTGCTTCAGTTCCCATTACCCTTATTTGGGACCTTGACACGGAGCTTTAGCATCTGCGGCGGCGACGGTAGCGAAAACGTCACGCAACAAAGGAATACGCGCTGCTTCAAACTACTTCGCTCTTATTCCATCTCGTTCAATTTGTCATATTTTGGCGAATTTTTCTGGAGCAGAATTCTAAACGTTTTTATCTAATTTCCGAAAAAGAAAACGTTAGTCGTTTTCGCGTGTTCACGTCCTAACAAAACGTGAAATTAGAAAGTTGGTAGTCGTGCGACAACGGTAAAGAAACGTACAAAAAAGCGTGGTTCACGTGAAGAGTTGTTGTTTTGCCAATCTAAACCTATGGCTTTTTTGCCGTTGCCGAAGTCGCTGCTAAAGCTCCCTATCCGACGACGGCTACCACAACGGGGATATAGAAACGATAAGATTAATACCCAAAACATTGTTTCTGCGCGTCCAGTACAGTTTTTGTGTACATTTCTTTGCCCTCACTGCACGACCTCGAGGTGAAAATGCCTAATTTCACGTATTATGGAGGACGCAAACAAGCGACGACGAAATATATTCAGTAAGCGAGCTGAAATAATCGTGATGAAAATTGAAAGATTTTTAGCGACGGTTTCGCGGCCTTCACCGTCTTCGGATCTTAAGGGCCCTAGAAATGCATTTTTGAACGTGGGTCATGGTCCTCAGTGATGGTTCGTGATTCAACATAGAATGATTTGAGTATTTTTTTATGTTACAGTGTCACCAAGTTACAAACGCTGACCCAAACTTACCTCCTGTCTCAATTTCGTTGTTAGTAAAGCACTGTGAAGCACATTTGGTGAAAAACCATTACCTTCGTTTATTCATGGTTATGGTTAACGTAACTGCTTAATATTTCCGTGAGCATAGCTGAGAGTTTCTTGTAAAAACAGTTATGTATAGACGGTTCATCGTATACTGTAGTTTTCCATAAAATAGCATAAAATAGATTCATTGCGTTAACCCGGTTATATGATTCTTCTCTTTATTCATAGTCCCCGCGGGGGATGCTGCTGGGTAGCTTGGACTTCGGGCACGAGACTCCGTTAAGCAGGAACGCCTGACAAAGCCCTTGGCCTGCTACACCGGTTATTTTTTTACATGCCACGTGAGGTTCTCCCCACGTGCGTCCTCGAATATTTTGTATTCGTTCTAACTAAACCGGAGCCTGCTACGCCGGTTACTCGTCTGCGTGGGAGGCTACCAGTGATGCAGCGCGATTTTGCTTTCGAAAACTGATTCGAACGCTCGCATTTAAAAAAATAATTTTAAAAATCGACATTGCGTAAGATAGCCAGTTCAAAAAGCTTTAATTTGATATAGTTGGGTAGGCTTTGAGGTATTGCGGGCAGTTTAACCGGAACGGGCTACAAGACACCCCTGAAATCCGGTAACCTTAAAACTGCATTCCATCCCACTGACTAAAGCAAAAACTAACAAAACTGCAACAAACAATATTTTACTTATCTGGCATTATTTGTGATCCCTGTAGAGAGGCTATCCTTCGAACAGCTAAGACTCTGGTAGAAGACACCAAGAACCTTGTCTCAGCAGCACAGGCATCCCAAGATGTGCTGGCTTCGGCTGCCCAGTCTGCAGTTGGTTCAGTTTCTAATTTAGCTGACAATGTCAAGTTAGGAGCCATTGCTCTTGGGTCCGATGATAGTGATGCTCAGGTATAAATCTCATTGTCAGTGTCAAAATACTCTAGTACATAGGTTTGTTTATGTAACAATTTGGCCAGAGTTGTTCAAAAGGTGGATAGGGGTTGATTTCCACTGTCGCGTAATTTTTCCGTGCGACCGCACGTAAAATGTACGTGTGTCAGTGAAGTAGAGGCAATGTATGGAAGGCTACGCGTAAACGTAAAAGTTGAGCGAGGTTCAACTTTTACGTTTACGCGTGACCTACCATACTTTGCGTTTATTTTTGTACTCGTGTAAAATTTACGTGCATTCGCACGGAAAAATTTCGCGATAGTGAAAATCCACCTTAACGCTATTCACTTAATAAATCTCTATCCAGTGGATAGTGCAACTGGTTTACCCAACACTTATGCTGGTTAGCGATTTATCCGGTGGATAGCGCTATCCAGCGTTTGAAGAAGCAGGCCTGTTGTGGAATTCCTTTCTGCGTTGAAAACAGTAGTAGTATTGTTAGTGTTACGGACAGATGGAATCACCTGTTGACGTGTAACAAACGTTTGAAAACACAACAATGCCCACACTACAAAACAAAAGCGAACCAGTAATAGTTTTCGCAACTCCAAGAAATTCCCGAAAACACTGCTGAATGCTTATACCTGGCCTGTAAAGTGCCGAATTGAGTAGGCCCCCACAATTCCTTCACTAATTTGTTTGTTTGTTTTTTCTTTTCTTTTCTTTTTCTTTTTCATTTTTTTTTTACCAGCAAATGTTATTGAACGCTGCTAAAGACGTAGCATCTGCCTTAGGTGCGTTGATTAACGCCACCAAGAATGCTTCTGGTAAGCCCACCAATGATCCAGCCACAGAGGTGCTCAAGACAACTGGAAAGGTGAAAGATAATTTATCTTGTTATCGATAGTTACGATGCGTTTTGTGATCTGTTAGTCATGTGGTGTTGTCATGCCCTGTTATGATATGTCATGTCATGTTTCTGTATGCCATGGGTTTATTTTTCAGACTATGGTCGCAAGCGTGTCTTCCCTTCTCAAAACTGTGAAAAGCGTGGAGGATAAAGCCCTACGTGGCACCAGGGCGTTAGAGTCTACTATAGATGCCGTCAAACAGGCTGTTCTTGTAAGTTGGATAGTTTGAACAACGTATAATTTTTTGCTTGTTTCAGTTTTGTAAGGTTAGTGGCAGTAGAATGGGCGTTTTGTAATAGTTGGTCACGCGATCAGCCACCTGTAAACACGACAACAATTCGCTTTTAAAAAATGATATAAGCAGGAACTGAAAGAACTGTAAATTTTCAGCTGTATATAAAAATGAGCGATGACTACGGCCGCCAAAAATTAGAAGAATTTGTTTGGGTAAAATAACTCTCGTCGCGACTGAGTAGTTTTCCAAACAATGCCTTGTAAATTTTAAAATATTGAAACTGTCGTAAAATCTTTCCCTTACGCAGTTCAGGGCTCAAATTGTCTGTTTTGAACAAAAGAAAATTTGAACCCCGTAATACCTAGGAGAAATATTTTACGACAGTTTGAAAATTTCAAAATTTACAAGGATTTGTATGGAAAACCTCTTAGCTGTGACTGGGTGGTAAAAGTTTTTTTTCCCCAGGCAAATCCGTCTAATTTTTGGCTGCCGTTGCAATCGCTACGGAACAGAATCAATAGTTTCGCGTTCCAAAACTGGTTTAAGAAATGAAGTTAAGCCTTTTCTCCTGGCTCCGTTTTTAGGTTGTCCAAAATCCCTCCATGCCTGTTCGTGATGCCACACCTGAAGAGCTTATAAGAAGCACCAAAGATGTAACCTTGGCAACGGCTAAAGCAGTAGCTGCTGGGAATTCTTGTCAACAAGACGACATCATTACAGCTGCAAACATGGGCCGCAAAGCAGTTACTGAGATGCTGATCATCTGCAAGGTAATTCAAAACTACAATGTAATAAAGTTTTTTTGGATTGTAACGTGGCTTAAAACTACATTCATGGACAAAAGTCTTGGGACACTTGTATTTCTGGGGCGTTTTCCAATTCACACAGGTCCATCCCCTCCCCTCACCCCACAAACAATGTTAGACGCGTATATTTATAATTTTTTCCGAGTTTCAACTTTGTATAGGGTGGGGAGAGGCAGAACTGCAAGAAATTTTCGAAAAGGCTGCACTGTTTTAAGAGGGAACCGAGAAATGACCGAAAAATATGAATATTGCAGTAGTACTGTCCCAAGGACTTTTGTCCAGGATTGTAGTGTTCACAAGTAACCATGGTTTTGCATGTGACTACCTTGTTGTATGCGCATGGTGTTACCCGACATAAATGTCGTGTTGTAATAAATGCGGCATTGTTGCGTAACGTGAAGGTTACGAGATTGACCGATATCATTTTGATTGTTTGTTTATTAGGCTGCCGCCCACAAGGCAGACAATAATGAAGCTAGGACCCAGGCCCTTAGGAGTGGAATGGAGTGTGGCGCTGCGTTTGGAGAAATGTTGGATCTTGTTCATAATGTAAGGCTTGTAGATTCTTGGCTACAAAAAGACGGTATTAGGAAAAAAAGGTGTTAACGGGTATCTTAGAAACCATCACCTTGACGTCCTTGTGCCTCCTAAAAAATGTTGTAATATGTTTTTGTTTTACTTGACGAGTTGATCTTGATTTGTTGGGTTCATCAACAGATTGTACAGAAACCGACCCAGGAAAAGAAACTAAAGCTAACACCGCAATCCAAGCTTGTGGCTGACCATGTTGCTAAACTCGTGCATTCTGCTGAGGCCTTAAAAGGTACAAAACCATTCTAGTAGCCTTGATAATGGATGTCAGAGAAAAACTGACATAATCTTTCACATTTAAAATGTCGTTGCAATGTCAGAGGATACATAATTCATGCAATAATAAGTTTGTAAGAGAAAAAAACGAGGTTCGGGACCTTCTCAGTGTTAAGCTATAACTTCGAATGACGTCGGCCGTGATTCTCGTCTCTACCTGAGCAAACCCCCCGCAACCCACACCCCACCCCCCACCCCTCGCTAGACTGCGCAATCTTTTCGTCTTGTGACAACAGTCTTAACTATAATACACGATCCTCAGTTGAGAATGTATTGGAAGTACCCAAATTCCGCTCAATCTCTGGTCTTCAAACTTTTCATGTAAGTGGAACTCATCTTTCGAACAGTTCATGTGACAATGCTCTATTATAATTGCACATAAGAGAAATTTTAGTAAACTCTTAGCGAACACCATATTAGACAGTATGTCAAAGCCCATGCCACTGTATATTTTAAGTATTTCAGTATTTTTTTATGGGGTTTTCTTTTTGGGCCATGGTGTAAACTACTGTTTTAACACTAATTTGTATTCACCCGATGAAGGTTCATTAGTTTATCTCTCCTCTACCGCCCTTTTACTTCTTCATTGTTATTTCTTTCCCCAAGTTATCCTTGCCTCCTTAAATGCTCATCACAGTATGATGTACTTGCTTTCAGGTGCCGACTGGGTCAATCCTGAAGATCCTAATGTTATTGCTGAGAATGAACTTCTTGGTGCAGCTGCTGCCATTGAGGCAGCTGCCAGAAAACTGGCCGAGCTAAAACCAAAACCCAGACCCAAGGTACAACAGTCTCTCCTTATTTTCTTTTACAATGTTAAGGACCCTTCCTCTTTCTTTGAATGCTCACAATATTGGTTTGGTTAGGTATGTCACTGTTTAAAAGTTCTAATAGTCTATTTATCAAAGCAAGTGTTCTGTTCCCAGAATTTAAATTCTTTAAAGAGAATTTTTTTGGAATGCATTACTAAGTGAATTCAATTAAATTTATCACTGATTGGAATACGCAGCAAATTTAGTTGGCTTGTCATTACTGAAGCCCTTTAACTAGCTGTGTTGTCGAATTGAAACCAAACAAAGCCTAATGCCTTTATAGTAAGCCTAATATCTTTATATTGTCCTCACAATGATTAGTTAAACTTGCTTATTTTGTTTTCATTTTATCTTGGTAAGGAGGCAGACGAGTCTCTCAACTTCGAAGAGCAGATTTTAGAAGCCGCCAAAGCTATCACGGCCGCAACTGTGGCACTAGTCAAGTCTGCATCAGTCGCACAAAAGGAATTAGTGGCAACTGGAAGAGTAAGTTACTTTTATACCCAAAATCCTCTATAAAGCCCTCTCCAGTGACCTATTAGCCTGCGAAGGCAGACGTATTTCCGGTCATCGCTTCGTCGAGTGAAGCGACGACCGGAAATACGTCTGCGTTCGCAGGCTAGGTACCTATTTATTTTAAGCACGTTTAGGGCGGGGGGATTATTTAAGAGATCGGGCTTATTTGGTTTAGCGAAGGTGATGGTATCAGTTTTCCATAAAAAAAACTAAAACTCAAATTTGAAAAGCTCAAGTACATGAAGTTGAAGCTTATCTAGTCGAAAATCAAAAACAAATCCGGACTTCTAGCGTGTCATTAAACCATACCGGATCAGTCCACGTGAAGTGTTACATTTGCGGTTAAATAATACAGCTATCCTTGATTTATTTCGTCGTGAAGAGTGATATGTGGGAAGGGGGACGGGATATGATAGAGAATTCACGGTACTTAAAATTTCCTTGCGGCTACCTTGCAGTTGATGATTTCTTTTCATGATGTTATATTTAACAATTATTCTTTAAAATCAAGGTGAATAGTGGCAAAATATTCGCGGCTCGGTAAATATTCTTAAAGCCACTATTCACCGAGATTGAAAAGAATAATTGTTTTAGTATATACACACGAAGTGATCTCAACAAAATCAGAGAGGAAACCATTTAAAAGTACAATTTGATTGACAGATCAAATCACGCGTAAGGTTAAGAATAGATCTTTGCAGAATTTTCAAACATGGCAATTCACAAGTTTATCATTTCGCAAACAACAGCTTAATGGCTTAAATGGAAACGCTAAAAGTTTGAACTGTTTCCTTACCTGAGAAGAAAAGTAGAGCTTTGTTGTTTTCTGTTGACACGCCAAGTTTATAACCAAAAGGGTTTGTTGTGTCGTTCTTCGCGTGAAGTGCTGACAAAAATGGTGGCTCGGTTGCTCGAGGTAAGACGTCGTCTTCCTGTATCATTCTTTTTCCTGTTTACTTGAAACGTAGAATTTCTGCAAACGTTTCCTTTTAAATTTGTTTGTCATAAATGAACTTCGATTTTTGAGCCCAAATTTTCTTGTTAGAAAACGCTGAGTTCACGAAACGGCTTCTTATACGCGAATGCACGGGAGTTGTAAACAATCCATCGAGCACAAAACTCAGCTCCAGTAAATTGAAAAACGCCGTACAATATCGCGTATTGAATCCTTCCAAGACTGTACTTGCCTTAAAAAAAGTCAGCCCTAGGATTTTGTCCACTTTTAAAAGATCGTTCTCTAAAAAAATGTGAAAAACACCGAGCTCACACATTATCCACTCGCTAGGAGGTGAATATTGTTGAATAGTCCGAGATAGCGAACCAATCAGATTGCTTAAATCACCAAGATCACTGAGTGTGTATATACTAATAACATTTATCATGATAAATAGTATAAATTATGCCTTGGCAATGTGGTAACTTAGTCTATAGTTAATTAAAATCCCTGAACTTTTGATCACTGTATTTTAGGTGTGTTCTGCGTCCACTGACCCCAATGAAGATGGGCAGTGGTCTCAAGGACTGGTCTCTGCGGTAAGTGACAACTACCGTCTGCCTTTTGTTTGGCTTTACACACAACGAGGACGAATTAGAACTTGTTCAAGTACAGTCCTCGATCATTCATCTCCCGAAAAATTCGCCTACATTTTACAAATCGAGCGAGACTAAATAAACGCGTTAGAGTAGCATTAAGCTCTGTAATATCTCACAGCAATAAAGTATGAATTGAGAAAGGTCTTTAAACCTAAGTCGCAGATACAAATAATGCACATTTTTTATACATACTGTACAGAGGAATACTCACCTAAACGCTCTGTCTTAAATTTGCATATCACATTAAATAGTGCTTTGTACGGTATCAACGCACTCGTTGTTTTTGTATCAGAAATCTCACTCGTTTACTGCGCCCTCAAGAGGATAGAGTTGCTCTCGGCTGCGCTTCGAGCACCTCTTACGTCTCTTTCGTGCTCTCCAAACTTCCCGCGTGCTCAATATCTCGACATTGCACGCTGACGCATTAAGTAGTTGTTAGATGTATTTGTTGTCATATGATTTTGTAAAGCACCAGAGTTTGCAGTTAGGGTAGAGAAGGCAAGTTGTTTCCAGTGTTAACCGAAACATGGTCACGTGTGTTGTATTGCAGGCGCGGATGGTAGCAGCAGCCACCACGACATTGTGTGACGCTGCAAATGCTGCTGTCCAAGGCAACGCAAGTGAAGAGAGGTTGATCGCTGGTGCTAAACAAGTATCTAATTCTACCGCGCAATTGCTGCTGGCTTGTAGAGTGAAGGCCGATTCCAACAGTGAGGCACAGAGGAGACTTCAGGTATGCACTATAAGCTATTTTCGGTTAATTGCTCCAAGACTCTTAAAAGTGATAGACAAGAGCGTTCGAAGTACCGTAAAATTCCGAAAATAAGTCCCTCCATGTATAAGCTCCTCCAAATATAAGCCCCCCGAACTCGTAACGCAAAAAACCCTCCGTTAAATCCCCCCTCCAAATATAAACCCCCTTGGGGCTTGTACCTGGAAATTGCCTTCAAGTACAAAGTAAAACAAAGCAAAAACGGTAAATTTACTTCCAACTATAAGGCTAGCCCAATCGATTTTGAAACGCAAATTACCCTCCGTAGGTAAGCCCCTCCAAATATAAGCCCCTCTAAAAGGGCCTTTGAAAAATAAAAGCCCCGGGGCTTATTTTCGGAATTTTACGGTGGGCCCCTTTTTACTACTCTTAAGGACGGTGTCTAGCGCATTTGCCCTCAGTTTAGATTTCGCTTGTTTGATGCTAAGGACGCTTTGCATTTGTCAGAACTGGCCGACCGGAGCATTACCGGACCAGTCAGTTAGCGAATGAAATCAGCTTTTTCCAAGGGTTTTTGCTGAAAAACCATCTCCTTCGTGCATACTATTTAGTATTTGACTGATCTAGCTGGATAGTTTTGATTAGAAGTGAAATTCTCGTTATGACGGGAATGGTCTGGCCGGTCAGTTCTGACAAATACAAAAAGCGCCTTAAGTGTTCATTTACCTCATTTGGCCAATTGGACCACAAAAGACGTAAAAAGGTGTCTCATGAACTTGCGGAGGGTTGAGAGTTTAGAGATTGTTTGAATAGGCGATATACATGACAACTCTGTCAGAACCCACAGGCGCAGATCCACACCGGCTTCCAGCGTTTTACGGAAATCGGTCAGATTTTTCATGATAAATATATTTTCAACAAAAATTAAATAAAACACTTTCCAAATTCAACTCTGGCCAATATCCCGTCCAAATGACTCGGAAACCGATGCAGGAAAGAGGACTTAAAGGAGTTAAAAATCCAAAAACTCCCCCGGGGGAGCCTGCCACTGGACCCCCTAGAAGCTTGCGCCTTCGGCGCTCGTTTAGGAAATCACTCAGTATTTATCCTAGATCCGCGCCTGACCCACCTCTCACAATACACACGCAATCAACGGAACTGTAGAAATTTTGAGAACATATATAAATTTAACGAGCTGCGAAATCTAGTCAAATTAATTCGCGGTCATGGAATCGAGTAGAGCTTGGCATATTTCAGGTTTAGCTTTAGTCGGCACAATTTCAGAGAAGCTAGTAACCGTCTTTTGCCGAGAAAGGTTGTTTTTGATGACTATCTTGTTTGTCTGCAGACCGCTGGCAACGCTGTGAAAAGAGCGGCAGATAATTTGGTTACCGCAGCGAAAAACGCCGCCATTTTTGAAGAACAAGAGACCACAGTCATCATTAATCAGCGTTTTGTTGGGGCAATGGCACAAGAGCTGGAGGCTCAAGAAAAAATCCTGCGTATCGAGAAAGAGCTGGCGGCTGCAAGGAGTAAACTGAGTCAAATAAGACAGGCCAAATACAGGGCTGAAGAAGACGATTAATGCAAACATGTCTGAAGTAGAATGTAGTCGGAGACTACGTCGAAGCAGTTATTGAAGTTCCAGGAAAGTGTGCAGTCGCTAGCCGGCAGCTTGAATTTAGGCAATAATTGTTACCAAAGAGGATGTCAACAAATAGCTAAAATTTATAAAGAATAAGGAGCAACTAAGAAGGCCCAAATCAGCCTTTCTTGAGTTGTTTGGTTTCTGTGTATAGTAAGGGTCTCTGTTTCCTTTCATGTTTTCTATAAAAAGGCAATCAATATTGGTTCGTTTTGTTAAGTTCAATGCCAAGGTCTCGTATTATTAAAATGCAGTTGACAAGAAGTTGAAAAAACGATGAATTTAGCAGCATATTTAGCTGAGTGCCAGCCCGTGGTTTGAGCCCTAAATTTAGTTACTTGGTAATATTTTATTTTCAATTAGCAAAAATTGAGTGTTCATTCTTCGAACGACTGTTAAGTTTGGGTCACTAATTGCGGAGAAAGCATACTAAAAAGACCACAACCCATCTAAATTTTTACTAGGAAAGACATTAGATAATGAACTACACGCGAACACTGTGGATAATAGTACTTAGTAAACAAAGTATTTTATACAAAACAATGCTACTTAAATGAAAATCTGAACATTACCAACATATTGGACGGGCATGTACGCTTACAGAGAGTTTTAAGTGATACAGAGCTGAAGAGAATAAAAACAATTTTTAGTAAAAGAATTAAAGTTTTTTTCTGAAGTAAACTGTGGTTGGTTTGTTGTTCGTTTTAATTTAATTAGTTTTAGGGCCTGTTTAGATGAAGGTGGGGGACCCCGGATAGGTGAGGTAACATGTGGCGGGTCCCCCCACCTATCATGTAAACGTGATCAAATTAAAATTAGAGATTATATAGACAGGTGGGTTACCCCAACTAAGCGGGTTACCTCACCTACCTGGGTTCCGCCAACTCCATGTAACCAAGCCCCTAGATTCCATTGGCAGTGGCGACTTGTGATGGTCAATTTAAAATAGAGTGACGAAATTTCATTCATCTCACAATGTGTCAAACCGTAAATCTCTTTACGGCCCCATCGTTTTGGAATAAGGACGAAGCCTCAACTGCCGTTCTCGCCCCCTTTTGAAGAATGTTTTCAGTAGTTGGCTTCGGTAGTAGTATAGTAGGGACCAGTTACTCATTTTTTGGCGCAAGCATTCATTAACTTGCGCCGGAATACATTAACGCTCTTTATGTCATAGCAGTTTGTCTCATGGATACAATGTGGTGGAATGTCATTACGATAAAAATTGCCCACGTTTGATATATTAAAATTCTGACATGACTTCGAGGCGTTAGGATTAAAATTGCAAATTTTTCACTACTCCATTGACTCGCAATTCCCAGAAGAGGTCTGAGCTCAAAGAAAACCAAACCAAATACAGAAAAATGGCCAGTAAGCCTCGTAGTCGTGTTAGAATTTAAATATATCGAACGTTGGCCATTGACGTGCTATTCCCACCCCGCACGACCAAAGGCCTGTTCACAGGCTATTATTTTGGAATAAACGCGAAAAGAAAAGAAAAAACGGGAATTCGTTTTATTAGTGACGTTTTCGCTGCCGTCGCCGTCGTCGATGCTAAAGCTCCCTAATAAATACCGCGAAGGATTTGTTGACCGCAAGCGTAAGGAGGAGGTGGAGGTGGGTGAATGAGAAACTACTTTATTTATTTTCTTCTAGGGCTCCGTGCTCCCCATTTTACAGTCGAACCTCCGCTAACTACCACCTCTCTACAACGGCCACTTTTTCGTTCCGGCAGACAAAAAATCCATACATTGACTCTTGTTTAAAACCTCTCTACAACGGCTACCTAAAAATATACAATGGCCACTTTCTTCTGTCCCCAAGGTGGCCATTGTAGAGAGTTTAACTGTGCTTAAAAAATGGCTTATAGTTCTATCTGCTTGTCAACCAGGAGAATCGAACTTAACCAAACCCTAATTGTCTACAGTTTTTAGCCATTCAGGTAGTTCAAAGAATGCATGCAATGCATGTACAACCTATTGCTCATGAACACTCACTATAAGGCTTCCAGTGCACTGAATTTTACATTCTTTTAATTTAAAAGGTAATAATATTCTCTACAATGTTGCCTGGTTAATAAATACATCATACAATAAACAATAACAGTATATTCTGTATTAATGTCGGGTTAACAGTGTTCATTCGGTAAAATCAAATAATTTAATCATTGAAAGGCTGTGCTTACATTGGCCTGAATTATTAACCATTTATTCAGTAGTCCTTAAAAAACCCATGTCAAACATCATCTGCCCTGGCTTTATAAAATAGGTACAACCACAAAAAAATCTAATGTACAGCATTTGTTTGCATATTTTTGTCTTTTTCTTTTTACAAAAAAATATATGTCCTAAGATGTGTGAACAAAATGTACTAGCTTTCTTAGTATACATTTCTTCATGTATCACCAGTCATTATAGCCAGGAACTCCTCTTCATTAACTACAGGAGAAAATAATAAATAAACAAAGGAATGAATAATGAATAAACATATGAAAGTAATTTGAATGATGAGTAGCAAAATTAGAGGAGTTCATAACACTTCAGTCCCAGGTAATGGCAAAAGCGTTTGTTGAAAGAGTAGAGGAATGCCTCCGTGCACAATATTTTTTTCTTTTTTTAGCCAGTATGGTTCTCTGTAACAGGGCAACATGATATTATACTACTTAGCAGGCAATGGTTACTTGACCTACCGGTAGCAGTTCCAATGTACATACACTCAACCCTCCATGTGTAACTTAGCCTGTTCCAAGCGTTCAGATTGTGGGCTTAACACAAAAAGATGTGAGCAGAAAAAAACCGCAAGAGGGTGGGGTTGGGGGGCTACCTGAACACCTGGAACAGGCTACAGTGCATGTGCAATTATCTCTCTTGACTGACCACCTCCCATTAGCAACCACCCATCCAAAAAACAAACTTTTCCCAGTCAAAGCACTTGCTTGTTGGGCAAGTGTAGCTTGTGAATAGCCTGTCTCTCCTCACTCCTTCAGAATTTACTAGCCTGATTGTAAAATTAATTCCACTAGCACAGGGCTATCAGACACAACTTTCTATGCATGCTGGGAGTCTGAGGCGGGGTGAAGGCATTTCTCTGCTAATGGGAACTTACTCAGGGGAGGGTTGTTAATGATGATGATGATCATAACAATAACAATAATAATAATAATAATACATGTACATAAAATGCACTTTATTTGAGCATGAAAGTACAAAATTGAGGACACTATTTTTACATCTTCTACTGGAGAAGGGACTTCCATTTTATGTGGTCATCCGAGCCACTTGAAGGTCTAGCTGTTTGCAGGGCAGAGCAGTATCTTACTAGGTTTTCCTCTAAATGAATCAGAGAATGGTCTAGTTGTTCATAAGAAGTTTACGGCATTTGTCAAGAGCGAGGGCAATAAGACAAAAATTAAAAGAAGAGAAAAGACACAAAAAGGAATTCTTCAAGCATGCCATGGATACAGAAACTATTCTTCCATACTCAGGGCTCAAAGTTAGCGACTAACTGGTCGCATATGCGACTGGATTTTTGTTTGTGTGCCTAAAAATTCATATGTACTTGCACCTGTGCGCCGTAAAACCCAAAGCACAGTGCGACTGACTTACTTCCTACTATACTTACGAACTCGAACTAGAAAGACGGTGTATGTTTAATCGGTCTTTTCTCCCAATGGATTCTACGAGTTCTTTTTCGTTTCGATGTTTTACTCCATCCCAGACTCTTCTGTTTTGTAATAAACACGCTGACACATGCAAATATATGTTACAAACGAAAAAAGTACTTTTTGTGCAATGCACGATCGTGTCGAACGTTCAGTTTTAACGTCAATCAAAACAAAAACAGTGCGGATTAAGAGCCTTTTTTTCCAGGTAAGAAAGTTTTTTAAGTCGTATTCCAGTTACATGTAAGTCATTGCGCATTTAACAAATTCATAGATTAACTTTCATTCTCGTTCGACACACTCATTGTTGTCAGTATTGAATTGTTTTTCAAGTGTAAGTTTTCTTTAGTCACAACTGTACTGTCAAAGGAGAAACTAGTATTAAAAATCACAACGGTATTACTGTGTAGCAATACAGGTTGTTTTTCTAAATAATTTTCCTGCCTATATAATATTTAAGCAAAAAAATCTACAAATTTTAAAAGACTCACTTTCACCATCTCCATCTTTATCAAACTCATCAATCATGGCACGCAACTCTTCGTCTGTCATGTTTTCACCCAGCTCTCTAGCTACTCGTCTTAGATTTCTGAGACTAATCTTGCCACTGTCATCATCATCAAATAGTCTGAATGCTTTAAATACTTCCTCTTGAGGATCTCTGTCTAACATCCAGTCTGTCACTAAAACATAATGAGTAGAAAACCTTTTTCGTGAATTATGGTGTTGCATGTAGTTTGTGGAACAGTTAATTAAGGATGTAAGGTTGCGAGACTGGTTCAAAATTCTCGCATCAGTATGTATTCTACATGTACTTTCAGTATGCATTCTACATGTACTTTCTTGGCACTGAAATGACATCATTCTGAAAAAAAATTGAATTCAATAAAAAAAATTGTGGCTTAAACGTAATTTAGGCGAAGTTAGCTGGAAGCAATACTGGCCAGCAGTTTTAATAGTGGCTCATAATCTGCAGGTTACAAGGATCAAGTTCCTGAGATTCATGGTGTAATTACATTCTAAGCATGTTTCACATCTAAGCATACACTAATAGCGTACAATGAAATTTGTTTGGATAGTGTTTTGTAGTATTTTTAAAGTAATTTCAAATGTTAATTTTTTGCAGTGTTTTTGTGTTGTATTCGCCCTTTAAGTGTGAAACAATTAATAAAAGCTATAAAATTACAAAAATAATGTTTCACATCTAAGCCGCCTTTTGCAAATTTCTTCCTTGTCCCTCCTGATCATTTACAGTCAAGTCACAAGGGCCAGTTGTTTGAAGGCTGATTATTGCTAATCCAGGATTAAACTTCAGAGCTCTCATTAAGTTTTAAAGTAGACAGCTAGGATGTAAAAGTAGGCAGCTTGGCACAGGGTTTTCATTTGAGGCCGGAGGCCGGACGTTTCGTCCGGTCGTTTGCCATTCCACGTCCGGTACTTTGAGATCAATATTGGCGATTTTTTTTTACTACTGTATTATATATTTTTCTCACTAATGCATCTCATGAACATACTGACTAGAGGATAACAGAATAATCAATTACATTCTTCAAAACGGCCATATAACTCTTTTTTCTTTGCTTATTGAGCGGCGGGATATTTTATTGGTTTCCCCTCTTCATTTAAACGGAATTGAAGTGACTATTTCGTTCTCATTCCTGCTCGGCCAAGTCTTGAGGGAAATCCCCAGGTAAAACAAAATTCTGTTGTTGCCATTCTCCCTCCCCCTCCCCCTACCAACTGACCATTTTCATTCAGTAATTTACTTTTTAAAGAGAATTTTAGTGAGCGCCAGCATTGCCTAGGAAACTGTTTCCTTGGTTCCAGAAACGCTGGAAATGGCGTTTCTGAGTATTCTATTTTAAAAATTTCCTGGGGGAGCATGCCCCCAGACCCCTCTAGGTGCTTGCGCCTTCGGCGCTCGCGACGCGCCTTACGGCCCCAAGAAAAAATTCACGTCTGGTGCTTTCAGAAGTATGTCCGCTACTTTACAAAACAGTTGAAAACCCCGTTGGCAATCAAGTATTGTAGGCAATTTGCTTCACCCTATTTTTTCCCCTACTACAGAGCTTGGTCCCTGGCTATTCAAATGCCTTTTCTCGAATAACTTTCTATAATTCTTTGTACAGCATCCAACGAACAAATTGAGGACAAAAAGAAGTAAACTGAATTTGCTTTCTAAGTTTTCACATCACCCTCATTCTGAACCTCAAATTTCTCACTAACCCTGGGTGATCTAAACCCAATTTTGTACGGCTCAGCCCAGAAGTTTATTTCAATAATGAAGAGACTGTGAAGTAGTCAAGGCTGCTGTCTAACGGGAACCCGATCGACAGAGGTACCTACGATTTACCCTCGGGCGACCAAAATTTCAAACAGGAAGCCCGAAAAGGGCACCTCAAACTTATAATTCTCAGGATAAATTTTGGTGAACAAACAACAAAACTCCCTACTCATTCTGCACTATTGAAATGAAAACGGAAAACATTTGGTCATCGGACTACCGCTGCAGTGCAGTTGAAGTTTCTCGTCTGAAAATGGCTTCGAATGAATTTATAGTCTTTGAAAAACCTTCCATAATAAAATCATGACTTTTCAGCGGCATTAGAAATGTTAGGTTGCTATTGCATGAAGTAAAAACTGATAAAAAGTCATGATCCGTAGAAAAGCAAGAGGTTTCAAATTACATGTGACATATGGCATGCAAGTTTTACAATACTTTTGCAAGTTTGTAACATTTTCTATCTTGCTGCAAAAACATTCCATTTTTTTAAAATGATTTATGCTGTCGCACGCAATGCACATAAATACAAACCTTCACAAATATAAAAACAGTTAGTTCAAAAGATGGACTTGATACAAAAATACTGGGTCAATTTTCCGAACTTCAAGATAAAAAACCTTCCATTGGTCCTTTTTATCGCCTAAAAACTTGAACTTAACTTAGCTTAAATTGTACACACAAGTACTTTTGGTTGGTGCGTTCGCTGTATGTGCAAATGATTATTGTTATGTTTTTCGAGAGATACCGTGTAAATTGTTTCTCGAAATTCTTTCGAACTTGGTGAATATAAAATTGCTGGTTTCTCAAAACTCAAGGTTTTCGCATTTCAAAACTTGATTCGTTCGACTCTAAGTATTCTTCTAGTTTTGTCTCATCATGCAATAGCCTGTTCACAGACCCTCTATTTTCTCTTAAGAGTCCATCAAGCACGCGTGATAAAAAACAAAAACCTGTGGGGGATTTACTGACCACCAATGCAAGGGGGTAGGGGTGGCAGAAAAGAAAAGTACAAAAACATCTGTGTACAGGCTAGTCACGTAATGCTCCTTAGCATTGTGTGACAGGTCAAAAGGGAGACTTAGGTTCCGAGAAGCATGAATCAAGTTTCAAGGATCTGGTCGAGACAGTCAACTTAAGATACAGACACTATCAGTAGAGTCATTCTGGTGAACTAATTAAAACTAAGTTCAGATACAGGGTTCTCTTCTTGAAATACCACGAAGTGAGAAACCTCTAGATCAAAAAAAGGAGACTGGCCCTTGAATTGACCTTTTACTATAATGCTACTATTTGTACCCTAGAGTTGGATAAATGATAAATCGATCAACCAATTAGTGCACCAGTTATCGTGTGCCAGAAGTTTGACATGTTTAATAAAAGTTACTGATTTTTTTTAATTGGGCTCCTAAAAATGTGGCACGGGCTCCTAACTTTGAAGGGCTCCCAAAAAAATTTCTTAGGCAGCAGCCTTGAGTCAACATAACTTTTTCTGGCTGGAGGCTTACTTTGCCACAAATGACATTAATATTTTTAATTTCTTGTACTTACTGACTTCATTGAAGTCATCAAATGTGATTTTCCCTGATGCCTCCCTGTCATAATCCTTCATGATTTTTAAAACATCTGCTTTCTTCACATCAAACCCAAGAGCCCTCATTGCCACCTACAACATATAAATTAATAAAGATAACAAATGTTAATATGCAGCTGTAAATTTACTGCAGCATTACCTGGTATAATAAGAAATCAAAATCTCAGCAGGTCTCATACAGTACATGTACATTAATAAATTGCTCCTATTTAGGTCACACTTACTGCACACAAGATCAAGAACATATTTGAGGATTTTACAAAGATCTTTACGATTCCCACAAAGATCTTCAAGAAACAATGTAAAGACCTTCAAATATCCTCCAAGATCTTTGTGAGAACCTTGATGTACTTGGTAAGAATTTTGAAGATCTTTGAGATTTTTTATAGAAATCCCCAAAGATATGCACTAGGATTGTAATGCAGATCTTCAAGCTTAAATGATCCTTGAAAGACTTTGACCAGGATAACACATTCACAAGACACAATAAACTATTTGATGATGGCAAGATATATTATATGTGATTCCTTGATATCTTCAAATGTAAGGTATTTCCAAAAAAAAAAATTCCTATAATAATTAATTTACCCATGCAACAGAAAAAGGTCAAACTTGAGAGAGTTACTTGAGATTGTTCAAACTCACGTATTACATTCTAAAAAAACAAGTAAATCTGTTAGCAAGTAGCAGGAAACATTTATTTTAGACTACGCAATAATACATATGTTACAGGTCAAATTTGACCTTAGGTTAATTTTGATTTAACCTAAGTTGATCTGTAACATATATACAAAAGAGTAAAGTAAAAGTAATTGAGGAAGACATAATTTCAGTGGTACGGCTGCACAAGTAATCAACGACACACTAATGGCATAAACTTATAATTGACAAGGCACTTAAGTTGTCATGACTATGAATTACATTCCTGACAAGTTGAATAAAGTATGATTAAAAAAAGGAATAATAATCACTTACGAGTTTACTGTACTTTTGTTGAACAATCTCTCAAACCAAAGAGAATATGACTCACAAAAACAATCCATCATGGAAATGTGGTGCAAAATTAAATCTCTGCTATCTCCAGATTAGACAAGTACATGTACATGTACAAGTTCAGTTGTATTAAACCAAGTCAGATTTTCTATTACAGATAGTTGGCAATTATTGAAAGCAAGCTCAACATTCTGAACTAGAGACTTCTAAGAATACTACATTATAAGTATCAAATACACTAAACACGAAAAAGGGTGGCTTCAGATGATCTTCGCCTAGTTCAATTAATGTAAGTTAACATGCTAATTTCTTCAACTATTTATCACAAAGAACAGGAAATTTGATACCGAGAGAAGTATGCAAATATTTCTGAAACTTCGATCAGCTAGCCCGATGGAAGCCAAGAATATCTTTCTTTCCAAGACATTAAGTTATGAAAAAGACAAAAGGGGCAACAAAAAAAGGAGCGCACGAATCTTATAAAACCCCAATTTTAAAAAAATATTTATAAACGCACAATGCCGTCTTGTCACAAGATGAGAAAAGACAGACCGCAAAACGTACGTTTTCATTTTATGTTACCCAGCCATTGTGCCCTTGAAGAATGGTTTAATTTCATCCCTTTGTGTTTTTTTCAAGGCCCAAAGAATAATTACTTGGTAAAAGGTCAATTAGTGAAAAGTCGAACTCAAAGGCAGGTCACACAATCATTAGCGAACAAAGGACAGCAATTTCCAAAATCCCTTACGCGCCAACCTACAATGCTAGCCTCGATCTTGCCCCTACGTTACCCCTAACGTTCACTAAAGACATCATCACAGCAGAGAAGACAAATGCAAACGCATAAAATAAAAAGGAACGTTACCTTAAGTTCATGATAGTCTATTGCTCTGTCTTTATCTGTATCGAACAAGTCAAATGCTTCTTTGATTTCTTGCTTTTGCTCTTCGCCAAGTTCGCGCCGTTTGCCCTTAGATCCTCTTCCCTTGCTAAAATCGGGCGTCTTTAACGACAGACTCATTTTTCCAATACCTTGCAGGTTATGATTTGATTATATCAAAATCTTTCTTAATAATTTCTTTGGCTGTTGTTATTGTGGTCCATACAGGACAACAGACACGCTTGTTGCTTTGGAAAAGACGCGCAAATGCGACGGCGGTTAGACCCGTATTACGCATGCGTTGATCAATAAGAAAAATCCTGACTCGTTTTCATCCACCCTCATAACGAGGCTCAACATGGCGCGCGAGAGCGTTTTGAACATGTTTACATTTTGGTCATTTTGTAGTTAAGGTTTACTTCAAAATTATGCAGCCGCCAGATTTACGTTTTATCGTAAACCGCACTATCTTGAAGTACTTAGTCTGTAGTAGTGATATTTCTCGAGATTATCTGGTGATGCTTGAGTATTTTGAAAGTTTTGGTCAAGGTATTTTCGGTGACGAGATTTTATCGCAGATCATTAAAGACTTTCCTGGTGAGCTCACAGATGAATTGTTACTTGTTTTGTCACCTCCACATCTGCGACATTTGAAACTCACGAGGTGCAGCCGGCTGTCCTGCAGTGGACTTCGACAAGCCATCGCTAAGTAAGTTGATGCTCCCAACCTGAGATAAAGGCGCGTTTGTTTGTTTGTTTGTTTGTTTTGGCATGTGGAAAATAATCACTGAAATCATTCGAAGAGGGAATGATCGAAGGCTACGGCACCCTGATATGGGAAATTGACAGCAGGCGTGCGACCGATATTCAACAGGAGGGATAAAATACTAGTAGTTGCAATTATAAAAGTGCCTATAGTATCCCCTTCTACTAAAATCCAACTAGTGGTCTATTATCAATGCTGCGTTCTGATTGGCTGAGCTACTACTAGGCTATATGTTATAGCCTACTAGTAGCGAAAAGTGCCGGCTTTGAAAACCAAAACAATGGCGACTGAATTGCGTTTTGCTAGCTAAAGTTGTTTTGTCTTGATATGTTTGACTAACGAGTTGGATTTTACTAAAACAATTATTCCTCTTGCCTTCATGGCCTCCGAGTCAATAGCTCATTCGGCCTGCGGCCTCATGGGCAACTGACTCAGAGCTCATTCGGGCTCGAGGAATAATTGTTTATTATTCCTCACGTTTCCACAGTAGAGACCTTTAGATTCTAAGACGAGTACGACAATGAGTAGGAGATTTCCTCAATACTAAGTAGTACTTGCATGTGAACCAGCGTCATTTTAGTGGGAAAAGGTAGTAGCTGTCATCATTTTACCACGACTTTTAGCGAAAATATCGAAGTAGCAAAAACAAGTTATCAAATGTTAGAAGTTTTATCATTTTGCGATCAGGAAAGGATGTAACCTCCTTCACTAAAGGTAGCAGTGCTAACTTTTCTAGTGAGAAATGGAAAAATGAAGCTTTGTGGGGTGTCTTTAATTTGAGAATACCTGAAAAAAATTTTAAGTCAAATCTCGAACTTGTAGTCGTCCTTGTCCTTGAATCTAAAGGTCTCTAGTGACCAATCAAATACAAATACTGGTAGAGTGGAGAGAGGCAGACTTGAGTTATGGTTTAGTAAACAGTAAGCTTCCTTCAAAATTAATGCTCTTAATACGCCATAAATAAGACTTAATCAGGACAAAATAATGATCTGACTTTGTGGCATCTTTAATGTTCCCAAGGCATGCCGGGGGTGACTGGTATACCGTATTTACTCAATTAAATGCTGCCCTCGAATAAACACCGCAGATGGAAGCAAAATTAGCAATAAACGCTGCATTGAAATTGCTAAAAATTTAATAAATGCCGCAGAATTTAATCAAAATAATGCGTTATTTTTGCTTAAGTGCTAGTCTCATTTCATGATCATTGGAATGTTTCTTACAGATGTCATCAGCTTCAAGCACTTGACTTCAGTGAATGCATTCACCTCCTTCACCCAACTGTTTTCTGTTGTCTCAAGGACAAGGCAGTAAACCTGGTGTCCTTGTCTTTGGAAAACTCAGAAGTTGTTTCTGATGACATTGTTCAGGTAGGAAACTTGGGTGTACTGGCCTAAATTTTCTTTGGCTTGGCACCACTGGTTTACCAGACACTGGACCTGTTCCAAAGAGGACCAAAATGAATTTCAGGCAATTTTGTTTTCAGAACTGGGAAAAAAGCATACCCAGCTACTGTAAGTGGCAATTAAATGCCCATATAGACCATGTGTACAACTTCTCACCCCCAGAATGAAGAGCAGGGATGTTACAGGCTAACCGCCACCCGGTTAGCTCAGTTGGGAGAGTGCCGGTCTGCTGAGCGGGAGGTCACAGGTTCAAACCCCGGCTGGATCAACACTCGGGGTCTTTAAATAACTTTTGCAGTGACATCTGCAAACGGCTAGACTTTCTAGTCTTCTGGGATAAGGATGAAAAACCGTAGGTCCCTTCTCACAGCACTTACACTTATCTGGTTCTTGTGGGACGTAAAAGAACCCACACTACTGTTTGAAAAGAGTAGGGGACGTAGACCCTAGTGTTGTGGTCAACCTTCACTCACCACATCATTCACATCATGGGTTGGGTGGGTACAGTAAGCTCACAAATGGACTGAGAGCAGCTGCCAGTGGCCCCTTTGTATGCTGACGTCCGAGCTTACTGTTCACATGTTAAAATGTATCGTAAGAGGGCAGGTCTGTTGTCCTCTCATCCACGACTCTTCAATTTCAGCAGCTGAAAAAGAGCTCACCATCAGCTCAAATTGCTCTGGAAATCAAAGACATGGGATAATTTTGAAGGTGCAGCTCAGAAAAAAAAAGCCTGCCTACCTGTAGCTCTAATCTTAAGCTACATCCCTGGTCAGAAGAGACCAACTAAAATGACATAGTCTTTTTAGAGCAAGTTAGTGCTTGTCCACACTAGCAAAAAGCTGTTTATTTTGAAAAATCTCAATTTTCTGTGCTTTTCTTGTTAAGCAACTGTTCAGTTGTCACTAAGCCAAGTGATGTTTTGACAGATGTGATGGCGTGTTAAGAGTACAAGACAGTGTAAATAGTTTCCAGTGCGGATAAATTATTTATAAAAAACAATTTGTGCAACTAGTCAAAATATTAACCACCCAAGTGTAGTGAAATTAGAAATAGATATTAAGTACAACTAAAAACTGCCAGAAAAGAATCTGAGCCCCCAGTGGGAATCAAACCCATGACCTTCCAGATTCTGGTGGGACGCTCTAACCACTGAGCTATGGGCAACTCACTATGATTCCTACCGATATCTGGAAGATCGTGGGTTCGCTTCCCGCTGAGGGCTTGGATTTTTTCCAAGCATTTCTTAGTTGTACTTAATATCTATTTTGAGGTATTATTATTATTTTTGTTATGTTAAACCAGAACACCATGCACACCAGAAATATTTCTGGCATGTTATTGTGTTACATGGAAAAAGCCCATTTGGTGTAGTTTTTTGGCTTGCTCACCTGTCCTGATTGTGTGGTTTACTTGTCCTTTTTTAGCCTGAAACTTAGGGTTGGTGGAATTTTAGTTTCTGTTACAATGTTCTGATGGTTTAAATTAATGGATATTAAGTCTCAGACTCAGACAAAAGAAGTGAAAAATAAAACTGGTTTGAAATTACAAATGAACCCTTATTAAGTCGCCACCTTCTATATCATGAAATTCAGCCAAATTAGGAAATTACAAAATGCCTATTAAATTAAGAGAAACATAAAAATAACCACTTAAAATTTTAAAGGAACGTTAAAATAACATAACAGAAACAACAGATGCCACGGTTGGGCAAAACTGAAAAAGACTGAAATGGATTGAAATTAGGATTTTTGAAAACTTGATCCCTGTTGCTTGCAACTTCAAAAATAATGCTCAGGAGACATATTTGTTTGTCTTGGATCTCTGATTTTGTCATTTACATGTAATTTCTTTGCTTACTTTAAGTTCCATAGTGATTGAGGGTGAGTAATTGGCAAAATTAAACAAAATGAACTGGACTGACACAGCCCCTTTAAAAGGCAGGTATCAAAGTCCCCAAATAAACTGTAGAAAAGAATGGGAAATTAAACCTCTGTTAAGTGGCTAGGGCCACTTTTTGGCTGTCCCAACAAGAGTTCTACCATTTTGACTGTTCTCATCTCTATTAAGCGACCATTAAGCTCTTGATACTCTTAGTTTGGCTTTATAATGAAGGACGATACAGTCATAGATGGAAGGTGACAACCGATAACGAAGTAGTAATGCTACTCCTGTTGTGTTTTTTTTTTCCAAAAAAAAATTTACGTGATGTTTTTGCTAAAGATTATTCTAACTTATGATGAACCTTTATTGAGCGGCCAATCTCCATTGAGCAGCCACTTGCCAATACCCAAGTGTGGCCTCTTTATAGAGTTTCAACTGTAAAAAAACTTAATTAAACACATAAGTAAACCACAATACTTATTACAAGTTATTTTTGTTAATTTATTATGAATATTTTCATAGGTGGCATTGATCTGCTGTCCTCAGTTAAAACACCTCAATCTTTCCAGCTGCAGACACATAACTGATGCTGCATTTGAGTTGTCCAGGCCTGAAATGAAGAGTGAGTCAAACTCAACCTTAACTACAAATTCACTAGCATCCAAAAATGTAATTCTTCCTGGAAGTAAGCTAACAAGTGTGGATATATCAGGGTGCCAGTCTCTGTCAACTACAGCTGTGAAATATCTTGCAAGCATGTGTGGTGCTAACCTGAGAAGCATTAATCTTGCCTGCACAGGAGTTAATTGCACAGCATTGCTGTACCTTGCAGGATTAAATATGGAAGAGTTAGGAAGAATTTTGCATGATGCTGATCATTCATTGGTCAATTCCACTGCAGTGGGAAGTTATATTTCTTCTGATAACTGCAGTGGTCAACTGTTGACATCAACAACTGATGGTGGATCCTCTGTCATGCATAAGCAAAGTACAAAAGGCAACGACCTACATTTAACACACCTGCAAAATGTAGAACAGATGGCTTTTAGTAAAGAGAATGAACTTACAATGCATCATGAACCTACAAGTATCCTGTCAGAAGACCTTCAAGGTGCAACTTCAAATGATAGCATTATTTCAGAAACTGTCATGGATTGTCATGGCTGTGATGAAACTTTGTTGAATGAAATTGAGCTGTCAACATTGAAGGATGCTATTCCAAGTAGTCCCAAGTGTTCAATTTGTACAGCATCAGAGAAACGTCTAGAGAACTTCAGTGTAACAGAATCTGATGGAGAGAGTGATGACAGTTACAAAACAGCTTCTGAAGAGTTTGATCTCATAACCTGTTTTCCTCCACCTCCAGGAGAAATTAATTTTCGTTGTAAGGAAACTCTAGAAGCTGAAAGTAGATGTTGCACTGAGCATGAAAATGGTGCTGATGGTGCATTGTCAGTGGAAACCAGGGATTGCGAATCTTTTTGGAATACTCCAGCTGGAAATTCTTCAACATCTAACTTGTTGGAATTCAATGAATCTTCCTGTAAAGAGGCTCATGTATCCAACTCTGATACTGTGCTGTGTTGTTCCCAGGGCTGTCAAGGGAGCATCAAAGATGTTGAGGCAAGAGATCCTGCAGATCTTTCTTGCAAACATTTTCATGAAGGTGGAGGTGATGAAGAAATTTTTGAAGATTGCTTCGGTGAGGAGAGTTATATCTCAAATTCTTCCAAAGAGAAAGCGGGCAAGAAATATGATGCATGCTTCCATCAATCTGTAGTTGAAAAAAGCAGTTTAGGGAGCAGTTATTGTAATACCTGTTTTAGTGATGCAAAACTTTCTTGTATGACTGCTGTAAATGAAGACAAACCTGGTGTGACATTTTGTGAGAAATCAAAACAAGAGGAGGTGAAATGTGTTGAATCTTGCAACAGCACTGAAAGGGCAGATTCCACTGATCTTCAATGCCAAACTGTACTTGAGAAAATAACAGATGTGAAATCAGATTTTTGCATCATGCCTTGCACAGAAATGGATCATAAAGACATGAAGGAATTACATGTAGTGGACGACAGAGTTGGGTGCAATTTTTGTGGAAAATTACACATATTACAAGGAGCAGAATCAGATTGTCCTCTCAAGCTTGATGTGAACAAAACAGATAATGGATCTAGACACCTTGTTCATGAGTTGTGCCAAAATTTGTCTAGCTCTTCAAAGCTATGGGTTGATGAGAAGAACAGTGGTTTAGGGCATGCCATCAAACCTTGTTGGGAAGACACAGGATTTTTAACACCAGTTGTTCCATGTGAGAATGTAACAGAAAACAAATTACACAGGCCACGTTCTGAGATGGAACAAAGTAACTTTAGAAGTTCCAACTTTTTGCCATCCCATAGGAAAGTCCTTCAAGTTAGCGATTTGCTCCAAGCCCAGATCTATCAGCCGCAAATCACAAGTCTGGACATCAGTGGTATATGCTATCAGAACAAACCCTTAGGTGTCGTGTGTTTGAAGGTTTTCTCTGGAGCCTGCAATCGTTTGAAGAATTTTGCAGTTTCATGGACTGGACTAGATGATGAGATGCTGACCTATCTTTTAAAGAATGAGAAGGAACTGGAAACATTATGCTTGGTATGATTTACAATTACACAGCACAAGGCAAAATTTTCCACAGGGTTATGTGCCCTCCTCTTTCTGTACTTCTGTTCTGTTCTATGGACCAAACTCCTACCCCCTCAATTTAAAGATCCTGAAAACGTTTGGAAATGATATGTGATTTTCAGCTTTTTTCCAAGAAAACTAGTTGTGTATATTTCTTATGAGCTTATGAGTGAAATGCATGGGAGAAAATGGCCATGTGCTTACCTGCTGGTGTGATTCATTTGTTATGTCTACATCTCCACTCCATTACTCTGAAGACTATTGGCAGTCTCCTGATCTATGCCTTTTCAATACCTACTCTTACAAAAATCTTTTTCAAATTACTTCCTGTAGAAATTTTTATCCCTGTTACATTAATGGCCAGACAATGCCCGGTAAATAGGCCCTTAACAGCTAGATATTCATGGGTACAAAACCCCCATGCTAGAGAGCAAGAGATGCCCTGTGAGAAGACAAACACAAAAAAAATACCATTTTAATTAATTGGTTAAATGTAATTTAAGTAAGTTAACCACCACGAGCTTAGCGGTCAAGTGGTCCACGAGCTTAGTTGTCAAGCAGTTCATGAGCTTAACAGTCAAGCAGCTCACAAGCTTAGCGGTCAAGCAATTCACGTACTTAGCGGGCATCCAGCACTCAATCCCCTAAGTGCAGGCTCACATGGTACGTGGTTGCTTTGTACGCTGCCAGGATCTCTGAGTTCTTTTGCAGTGCCCTGTGGAGTGGTTGCTTTAGAGTCTTCCCCCCACCTCCCATCCCTTATTTTTCTTCCTTCCACTGTTTCATCAGTGTGACGGGTGCCTGGAATGGGGGCTCATGGCTGGGTTGTGGGAATTTGCCAGCTATGGGGGCAGTGTTCTATCTAGGGGCTGGCTGGCCACAGTGGAAGCCCCTGGGTATCCCAGGCTCCCACCTTCCACTTAACCAAGGCAGTTGGTTAATTGATATGAGCTCTTTGTTTGGCTTGTCTCTCTCTTGCTCTCCATCTTGGCGGTTTTGTACCACGTTAATTACTAGCTGCGAAAGACCAATTTTACTGCAACTTGTCATGTACTTGATTTTAGGTTGACTGTGAAAACCTCAGCAGCATCTCAGTGAGTACTATTCCTGTTCATTGCCCTAAGCTCACCAGTTTTGACCTCAAGGGAATGTGTTATGTGACTGATCATGGAGTCATGCCATTAACAAGAACAAAAAATCTAGAGACACTTAGTTTGGCTGAAGCTACTATCACTGATTCAACATTACAGAGTATTGCTAAAGGTTGTGGAGAAAAGGTACTATGCGACCATTTGATGTAGATTTATTATCCTTACTGGGCGCAGTCTTGCCCTATAGGAATGGGCATTATTAGGACTCATAGGTGGTTCTATTCAGGGTCCTCTCCCCTCCCTTCCTAATGCCATTAGTTGACTACTGATGAGGAGTGGAGCCCAGGAGTGGCCATTGCCAAAGATTGTTTTTTGTCTCTAGTCTGTGTATCCAGTTATTATATTTGGTTATTTTTTGTAACGCATGAGCTTCCTTCAAATTTCTCCCCTTCCTCTTAAAAAAGCACCTGCTACACGGGCTATTTAGTTCCTGGTGCTCCCTTACGTCCCACAATTAAGTCGCGCTAGAAACGGGCCTATGCCTGTTCGTCCTTTTAATGATTTATTCGATGTGGCAGAATTAACTTATGCAGTCAACGACTTTCTTTCTAAAGCATGTCTAATATAATTAGTGACCACCATAATGCAAGATTTTTAAAAGTGAAATTGTATTGTTGTGAATGTGATCAAGCCAAAGCAGTAACATGTCAAGTGAAAAAACAATGTTTTTGCTAGCGACAGAGTCAGATCCGGAGTCGTAATCAGAAGTGTAGGACTTAAGGATCTAGTGAAAGGGGCGTTCTGATTCCGCTTACGTCTCCGTCGTTAACGATCTAGTGAAAACTGTGTTGTCGAAGTCGTAAGCAGAAGCAGAATAACTAAACCAATCACAAAGCGTGGGAACGTGCATTGTATGTGATTGGTTTACCCTTTCGCTTCTACTTCCGACTCCGACAATCTGGTTTTCACATAGATCCTAAAAGACGGAGTCGTGGCGGCGTCGGAAGAAAGTGGAAGCGTTCTGTTTCTTCCGACTCCGATTCCGCTGCCCTTATGACTTTGCTTGGAACTCTGATTTTTGATTTTCAGAAGGTCATAAGCGCTCTTACATGCTGTACGACTCCGCTAACAATGCCGACTTCGACTCCATCGCTAGTGAAAACCAGCCTTCAGCAAGTTTCTCTATCCTTTTCTCCCCAGTTAAAAGTTTTAGATTTATCATGGTGCGAAGACCTCACAGATAGTGGAATGTCGATCATAGCAAATGGCTGTCCCTTCCTCCAGCATCTTAGTCTGCGTCAATGCTCGGCTTCAACTTTCACTCTGGATGCGCTGGCAGCTAATAGTCGTCACATGTCGTATCTAAATATTGCTGGAATTGATGGGTTAACAGATGTTGCGCTTGGTAGCATGGCTGAAAACATGCCATTGCTTAAGGAAATAGATGTAAGCTGGAATTCCAGTCTGTCGGACGTAGGTGTCATTGCTCTTTTACAATGCTGCACAAAGCTGAACAAGGCTGTGTTATGTGGTTTAAAGCGAATCACTTCCCAACCGTTTTTGGCTATTATAGGAGATTTAGGGCAGTGGTTTCTGCTCGAAGAACTTTGTAGATCCAATAGACGACCTCTGAGGAATGTTAGCGAAGGAAAACTGGCTCTAAAATTCTGCGACACGGTAAGCTCATACTGTAGTTATCGATGTCCTTGCTCAGTCGTTTTTAAGCCCAGGATGAACCTCAAGAGAAGCCACTGCCAACAGTTTCATCCCTCTCTCGCCCCACCCCAGTTTTCAAGTTACGGTAATCTAGCAAACTTCGTTCAAGATTTGGGACCGCTTTTGTAACTATATTTGTAACTATATGGTTAGAAGTTTGGGTCCGAAGGCGGTCAAATTTCAGCCTGTTCAAGGCTCCTAGATAGGGACGCAGTGCCCCCACGGTAAATAAGGTCAAACGAACTGGACAAGATGGGCGCAATCGCTGCATGTAGCCTATCTTCGAGTTTGGAACAGGCCAGTCAGTTCTGCATGGTAGACAGGTACTGTTGGTGAAAACAACTATAAAGTAGGATTGATTAAGTGCATGGAGCATCTGTTCAAAGCCCACCTATGATATATTTTCAAATGTGTGAAAAAAGTCCTGGAATCAGGGATGTCCCCTCCAGTACAATCGTACTCTTTTGCCAATTTTTTTTGCGGCAATTAGAAAGACAAAAACTCAAAGCCTGTTTAATAATATACGCACCAAGCCATTGAAAATCCCAAAAGACTCCCTTCTTTCTCCTAAGAGCACTTTCCTTCCTTTAACATAGCACTCTTTGTAGTATTAGTTAATTGATTACCATTTTCTTTCCCTAGGAAACAGCGAAATCCCTGGGGGACCAGATACCGCATCGATCCATGTCTTACGCCCCATCGTTACGGCAAGTCCTACTAGAGTACAGCGACAAAGTCAACGACGATCATCTGTCAGCCATTGTAGCAGTTTGCAGAGGAACCTTGTTTGTATCAGATTATTATGCGCAGCCAGTAGAACCGAGATGGATATTTAAATAATGACGTTTTTCACGCCATGCTATGCTTGAGCTAACGTCAAATCGTGCCAGAGTGTTATCCTTGTCGTGGGATATCGTGTCAGTCCAACTGTATTTTGGCGAGTCCTTAAGGCGTGTCAAAATGCAAGAGATGATTAGCATATCCCACGATACTAGACACTGAAGTAGTGTAGTGGGGACCGGTTACTCCTTTTTCAAGTTGAATTTCATTAGTTTGAAGTGGAGAACATAAACACCGATGGCGTCATAACCTTTTGTCTTTATCTCCTGAATCAAATGCGGTGAAATCTCATTAACATAAGGTCGTGTACTATTTTTAGGTGGTTTAACCGGTTTGACAGTTTGTTTAGTTACTTTTAGGTGGATACATGTCTTGGTTTTTGATTGGTTGACTAAAACCTAAGAAGTCTTCATTGGTTTATTCTTGTTGTCATAGGAATCCTGAAAAAACGGAGTAACCGGTCTCTACTGTGTGTATCACTTAACTATCTAAGATGCTTATCATTCAACTTCGATAGGAGTTATACAAAAGCACCCTTACTTATAGCAAGAATGCGTGACAAACTGACTTGACTCTTGTACAAGTCCGGCTTTTCGTTTTCACTTTAACTATCCTTTGCAATAGTGTAATTATAGTTATGCGAATAAAGGTTGAAGGGTTCATACATGATGCACAGAAATCTCTAGATCATAATTATTTTTGTGTCGGTGTTAAATGATGATCGACAGCTGTCACGATCCTTTGCCCACATCATATCAAGGTTCTCGTGAGGACTGTCGGTCGTCACCCTTTATCACAGGTATCCCAAGCTCACTATGAGTGCCCTGAACGACATTATCCTACTTAGCTAAGTAATTATTCATACAGCAAGAAAATTATAAGACGTTGTATGGAGAAATGTTCTTTGCTCACTAAATTACCAAAATGTACATTGAATATCGCTTTGAAGCTTACCTTTAGCGTCTTCTTGTTTTCCTTTGTATTCTGACTGCATTTCAGACCTCCTAGGCACTGTTAAAGGTCTTTTTTGGAGCGACAGTTTTTCACCCAGATGACAGTAGAGAGAAGAGAAGAGAAGGTTTGCTCCGCTCTCGGCGGCGATAAGTTCCGTGACATTTGCGACATGGAGACAATTCCGCCAGAAACAGATGTCCTGATAAATAACGCACATTTTCCATCATTCACATCGCCAAAATTCCCATTTCGAAGGTCCTAAATCGCCAACGAAGTGGGAAATACACGGCTGAGGTGAGGCGTGTCGAGAGCAGACCCGCAACGGACTCCAACCGTCACGTCGACAATTCAAACCGACGCGGGCTGGCAGGGTCAAATTGTTCAACCGTCAAAGGACAATTGGAGCATTTAGCCTACTGGGCACAGTAACTGATTTTTCACTTCTCACATTGCACTTCGGGGTCGCGGAAGTCAAGCATCGCGTGTGATAGTGACATGTAATATCAAAACATGTCGCGTTGCCCCAAAAAAAGACCTTAAACATTGCCTAGGAGGTCTGAAATGCAGTCAGAATACAAAGGAAAACAAGAAGACGCTAAAGGTAAGCTTCAAAGCGATATTCAATGTACATTTTGGTAATTTAGTGAGCAAAGAACATTTCTCCATACAACGTCTTATAATTTTCTTGCTGTATGAATAATTAATTAGCTAAGTAGGATGATGTTGTTCAGGGCTCTCATAGTGAGCTTGGGCTATACCTGTGCCTTTACTAAAAAAAAAAGACACTTAAGTGTTTTGTTCATTAAACGTTTTCCCTTCTAATCTTTTTCACCATCGCTGCGAACTTCTTACAAACCATGCACATAGGATCACATACTGTACCTTGACAACTGCAACGCAATGTATGGACGACCTGGGGGGGCCTCTACTGTGGCCAGCCGGTCCCTAGACAGAGAACTGTTCCCTAGGCTGGTAATCCCCGCAACCCTGCCATGAGTCCCCACCACGCACCGAATCGTTTGGGCACAGTGGAAAATATGGGTTGGGAAGGAAGGTGAAAAAAAAAATGAAGTCGAAGAAAGCACTCCACAGAAAAAAAACGTTACGCTTTAGCACGCTGAAATGTGCTTTCACGCTATGACCGAGAGTCCTTGGAGCATTCGCCGATCTCTGCTACCGCTGACTGCCATGAGCACGTTGGCTGCCCTTTGATGTCAACTCAGTTAAATTGAATTTATCAACTGAAGGATGGGTGCCTGGGTTGAATTGTCTGAGGGCCTCCACGGTCATCAGCCGGCCCCTAGACAGAGGAACCGCTCTCATGGCTGGCAATCCCTGCAACTAAGCCATGAGCTTCACACCAAGCCGAGGGACCTCCAGGTGGGCAAAAGACACCCGGAGTTAAAGGGCATCATGGCTGGTGGACAGAGAGCCTGAAAACGAAAACGTCAAATCCCGAGGCACTGTCGCTATATTTAAGAGCCATACCAACTTAAGTAATCGCCCGGATACATCAAGGACAGATTGCACGTTGTCATGGTGTATACCTGCTAGGCATCGCTGGACCAGCAGCCCATTATTGTAATCAAATGGTCTGGCAGTCCTTGCTGGGAAGGTGTGGTCGCTGCCCTTATCCGGAAACTGTGGCCTGAAAAGGATCCTGTTACTTCAGCCGCCGACAGGTTAGACTGTATAATGTTTGACAGCTCTGCTCGTGTCAGTGGCTGATCGTTGACATATATGAAGAGGGGACACGGGGCTGAGACACGCAGATGAAGGTATGCGCTGATACAGGTTATCAGACCGTTGGAAGTGGTTTCACGACCTAGATAGAAAAAACAGCCTACCTAAAAGGGTATGTTTTAGAGGCCTAAATGTGGACTTCTATTTAAGGCAAGACGGATTAGACACGGAGACAATGTAGCTTTTCTGATTCAAAGTATCTCCTGCAGAAAGAATTCAATGAATTGTTTTTGTGCAAAACTGTAGACACGCCTGGTTAAAGATGCCAGCACATACACTAGATAAAACAGGCATTTCTGAATGATAGAAGTGGAAGCCGGTCCGAGAGATCGGGGGATGGGTCGTGCTGTAGGAGCTGCATGTGGCGCCAAAAGATGAAACCTCTGAAAATGAAAAAGGTCGAGGGCGTCAGCTATGGGGTTTAACCTTCCTGCCACGTGGGTAGCACCGTAGCCGAGAGTGCCTTTCGTACCAAATGATTCTTGAAAATCAGACAACGGTGCCCACTAACGAGAGAGGAACAAGCTATAACCGTCCCGCGAGCGGAGGAACTCTCGCCATCAGGTCAGATTATCATCTTTATTAACGAAAGACTTTGTTAAGACGAATCGGGCGGTCTTCCCTTCTGAAGCCACGAAAGTGCGGTGGAGTTCGTAGGGTATGGAAGTCATCCAAGTAATAACGAAGAACGTCAGTGCTATAGTTGTTTACTGGGATCTACTCAACCAAATCTGCAAAGGCTGTATATGTGAAAGGCGCCAACTGTAGCCCGAAAGTGAGGGGCTAAATCAACGTAAACTTGTCTTGCCACTGCATATACAGGAGATAGTGATCGTCGGGCTTTACTGGAACAATACGGCACCGTCTTACGAGCCATTATTCATTCAATGACGTCGTCGTCCACCGACATGTACTGAACTGAGCAGAGTTCCCTGTTAAAGCCGTCTTTGACACCGGCCCTTTTTCGTGCTGGACAGATCAAAGATCAAGCGCCGTTTGCCTGGTAAATCTTTCATTGGAATTAGGCCGAAGCGACTGATGTGAGGTTTGGGAGAGGTGGAGATGAAAAGAGGCCTGCTATGTTACCTCTCTTCAACTAATGTATTAAATATGTGTCAATAATTGTAGGCTACAGTATTGCTAACAGTTACCTAGGACTTTCTGCGAGAAAAGTGTAACAGACAACGAGTTAAAGCCTTGGCACTATAAGCCTGACGATGATCCGTAACAACAAAATCCACTCTGGAACGGTTCGGGTGTCACGGCCTTGAATTACTGAGATGAACCACATGTTGGTAAAGAGGAGGCAGGAACCAGAGCGTGGAAGTTATACAAGTCGGGGTTCATTTTCGACCTATAGCTGAGACCTGTGGCGGCTACGTCCTTGCGAAAACGGTGTTAATTCTACCAAGCTCTTCTCTGTTTTTTTTTTTTTGCAGTTTGTTTGGGACTTGTAGTGACCCAGATTCCCCCATCTTGTCGGCTGGAACATGCACATAAGACGATGGACTATATAGTGAAAGCTTGGACCTAAGTTAAAATGGCTGAATTTTAACCGTTTGCTTTCACTCGGGGCGACCATTAAATTTCCCTCCAAAAGATGTTTGAGTTTCATGTTCATTGATCTTCAGATTATCATGGGGAAGATCTGCAATTTCCACGAATTGACCGCTTGTTATCTTGCTAACCAGCTTAAGGGAAATGAGTGAATAACCTGATGCGATGGGAATAAAGGGAGTTGAAGAAACAACGGTACTGCCGGCTCGAAATGACTGGGGAATCGTGGGCAATGACAGAGACGGAAGATCAAAAGATGGATTGGAAAGGGTACAAAAGGTAGACATGGAAGAGGGAATGCTGATTTAACCTAAACAAGAGGCCCGACTCACAGAAGGTTGTGTTAACGGCAAAGAGTTGTCCGCCGAACTTACACTGGGAGTCACCATCTCCTGCAAAGGTGCAACTTCGCCACCGCGTTGAATTGCTACGAGAATACCAGGAAGGCTATCCGACAAGGCTTTTGCTGTTGCCTAAGCTAACGTGTCGCTGTTTAATTAATAAAGATTTGGGAGATCGAAGTGGAGTTGGATGGTGAGGTTTCTGTCCTACGAGTGACGACCGATTGAGAAAACCTGCATGGCGTGAAGGCCGAAGGAAGGGTGTTGTTAGTAAGGGAAAGTATGCGAAGACATTGGCGGGGAGAAAAAATTCGAGATAGGAACAGCTGAAGATAGGACTGAAGGCGATTACTCCAGAAGATAGCCACCACTCTACAACGCGCTAATATGAAAACGAAGATATAATGATTTTTCCTCTTACATGTATAATGAACTTATCCATCAATTCTGGTATTCTACCACCAAAATAATTAAAAATTGCTCGATTCGTTCCTTTATTTAAATCTGTCGAGCAGGATATATTTTCAAATTACAGACTTATGTCTGTTTTACTAGCATTCTCCACAATTCTAGGGAGAGTAATGTGCAATCGTCTTTAAAGGTCTCTAAATGATTATAATGTATTGTATAGCATATATATAGTGTTGTCTTGTAAACATCACTCCACTGCTTGTCCTCTAGCATGT